ACTATAAACCTTATATTTAAGGAGTAACCTTTTATTTATAAGGAGATTAATATAATTAAAACTTATAATAAGTTAGATAATTAAAAGCTAATAATAAATAATAGATCTACTTTAAGCTAACTAACTACTATTTAAAATATATATTCTAACCTTCTAAAATATAGTTTTAGGGAGATACTAATCTTAATTACTTAAACCTTCAAGTAAAATATACTAAGTAACTATCTTAAGATATTATAAAGGATGAGGAAAACTTATAAAATACTATAGAAACTAATTATAAGATAAAGAAAACATAAGATAACCTAACTTATAATAGGAAAATATAATAAAATCTCTAATACCTTAATTAATAAAAAATCTAATGTAGATAATAAGAAGATCCTTAATAAACTTTATTAAAACTATTCTATACTAAGAATATATAAGAATACTTTAACTTTAAAAAACTAGCTATAGGCTAAATTTAATCGATAATTATATTATTATAAGAAGTATAGCTAATATATTACAATAATTACCTAACTTAATAATAATAATAGTAATTTATAGTATAATTATTATAAAGAGCTAAAAGCTATAAAAGGAAACCCTCTTAAAGATATTTTCTTATATTTTATAAAATAAATTAATAATCTATAAAATATATATAGAGATATACTATTAAATTAGATAATTACGAAATAAAGATTATACTAATTAATATATACCTTTATAGCCTATTTATACTAAAGAGAATGATAACTAGAAGAGATATATATAAAAATAATGTAAAAAGGGTTTCTATAGATAGAATTACTATTAAAAATCTAAAAGGAAGTATTAAAGTACCCTTTTAGAGATATTTTATATAATAACTATATAGTAGAACTATATACTATTAAAGATTAGATACTAAAATATTATAAAGCTATTATATAAAGAATAACTTAAGCTAAGAACCTTATTACTAGCTATAGTTAAGGGTTAGCTTTTAATATAAATAATAAGAAAAAATATAACTATAGATATTAATCTAATAAAAATAATAGAAAAATACTCTTCTAAGATAATAAACCCTCAAGTATTTTTAACTATAGTAGAGATAAATATATTAACTAAAATTATCTTAAACCTTAGTAAAAGTATTATAATAGGCTAAAAAATAGAATAACTTAATATAATATATTACTATTACTCTAGATATATATTATACTTATAAATATAAAGAAAAGAAGAATTAAGCTTTTATTATAAAGATATTAATAAATAATATATATAGAGTCATAATTACTATATATAGTCTTATTAATAAAAATATAATATTAAGCTTTATTAGTTAGTATTAAATAAAAGAATACCTAACTAATAATAATATAATACCTTAATAAGTTATAGTAATTAATAGATATTATGTAATATCCTATAAAAAATATATTAAGAATTTAATTATAACTAATAGCTTTAGTAAAACCTATACTATAAGTATAGAACTAAACACTTATAATATCTTAGGATATAAGTTTATACTAGGATAGGATTAGCTATATATAGTAAACCCTATTAAAGATTTTATATAATATATATAATAATATAGGCCTACATAAAGAGCTATAAATTTAGTAGTAAAAGAGAGTATTAGAATTATATTACTAGAAGATTATATTATTAAGATACTAGAGTAATAGCTTTTATTATATATTTAATAGAAATTATTTAAGATAAAGCTATCTTTATATTTAGTATATAAATAGATAAGCCTATACTACCTCTATAATATAGTAAATATATTAGTATAATATTATAAATATAATTATATAATTAAACTAGTATTAGGAAAGTAACTATTATATAACCTAATCTATAATCTCTCTAAAGTAGAGCATTAAATATTAAAGGTATACCTTAAGAATATATTAGAATAAGATTAGATATAATATTTAAAAAGACTAATAGGGGTACTAATTTTATTTTAAAGAAGAATAAAGACCTATAATTAGTTATATATAAATTATTATAGCTTAAATATAATAATTATTAAGAATAGCTATCCTCTACTCCTACTAAGTAAATATTAGATAGACTAAGGGATATTAAGATATTTATATAACTAGACCTCTATAATACTTACTATAGGATCTAAATTTATATAAGTAATAAGTAATTAACTACTTTTTTATCACACCTAGGTATCTTATAATGGTACCTAACCTGTAACCTATAAGTTAAGCCTAGGTAATACTAACCTATAACCTTAATCTAAGGATATTAACAGTAAATAGGGTTACTTAAGCCTATAAGATACTTAATAATATAGTAAGGTAGTTAAAGGAGGAGTAGGGCTAAGAAGTATATATACTTCTTAATTAAGCTTAGAGATATATAAATATGTAGGTAAAATAATTAAGGCAAGTAATTAAAGGGTAGCTATAGATTAATAACTATAATTAATTATAAAGAACTATCTAAGTATATAAAATAAGTATCCTTATTTATTCTATCCTAATCTTTATAGTACTTTAGATAGTCCTCTATATAGTATACTAGATAGTATATTTATTAAGATATAGTACCTATATACTATATTATATAAGTATAATAGTATAAGTAAATTTCCTAGGCTTTATTATTAATACCTGTAGTATTAAAATAGAACTAAACTATATAGAAGTATTAATTTATGGCTAGAACTAGTATATCACATAAGTCAAGTCTACTTATAAGTAATGAGTAGAGTTTAAGTCCTAAATATTTTAAACTCTACTCTTAATACTAAAAATACACCTATTTTATATAGGGGAGGCTTAAAAATATACTAAAATATAGTAAAAATACTGACTCTTACTCTACTTACTCTTCTTAGCATGAATTTAAGTCCTAAACCCTAACTCTACTCATTAGTTAAGTCTTAAATCCCTACTTAAACTCAACTCATTTAACACACTATTCTAGTATAAAGGGAGTAATACTTAAAAGATTAAGAGTATTAATCATATTAAACTATAGTTTAATATTTATAGAAGCCTTTATTATATAATTAACTAAAGCCTTTGAATTTAATAATTATTTTCTTTTTTAATTAAAACTATATATATTAAAATTCTTTCTTAAGGTAATTATTAGCCTTATATCCCTCTTTATTATATTTATAATAAGCCTATTTCTTTTGGTATATTTAGTACTATCCCAGGGAGTCTTTTTAAAACTTTTAATCAAATTTAACTATAATATTAAGGTCTATTATATTAAGGTTTAATAATTATAAGTAGGTTATATTTACTAATAAATAATTAAATTTATTAAAGTAATCAAGGTAGCTAGCTATTATTATTCCTTATTTATATTAAGTAATATATTATATAACCTTATTAAATAATATAAGATAGTTAATATCCTTATATTATATGATTTAAAGATTTTATTAAGCCTTTATAATTGTTTAAATTAATATATATTTAGAAATAGATAATTTAATCTTAAATAATATTACTATAAGCTAAGTAATATATATTTAAATATTATCTTTATTCTATAAATATATATTAAACTCCTTTTAATATTTAGCCTTATAAAGTAGCCTATAGAAGTTAGTAAAACTTTATTTCTTAAAGATTATAAAAATTAAAAGAGCTATATAATAACCCTTTAATATAAAATTACTAAGGTTCTAGAACTAGACTAAAGTATTATTATATAATCTACCTTTTATATATATAACTTTCTTAAATTTAATTAGGTTCTTCTTAATAAGAAATTACTTATTAATAGTCCTTTTATTACTTAACTTTTTTAAGGTATTTATACCTTCCTTACCCTATAATTAATATAAAATATTTTTACCTCCCTTTTTATCTATATCTTTAAGACTATATTATTATTATTATTATTATTATTAGAGTTCTATAGTTTAGAAGTAAAAAAGCTTTTTTATTAATAAGGTTTATAATTATTAATAAGTATTTAATAATACTTTATTAAAGGTAACTATAATAAATTACCTCTATTTAAATAATATACTATTAGATAAGATTCTAGTACTAAAATTAAGAGTATATTTAAATATATCTAAATAATTTTATAGTCTAGGAATTATTTAGGGCTATATATAGGAGATATAAGTAGTTAATAACCTATTAATAGAACTAAAGTAGTAAAACTTTACTTAGTACTATATTAATTATATAGTTTAACTGATGTATAGTAATATTCAGTATTAAAATCACACTAGTAATATCTTATATAATCTACTTAGTAATTAGTTTAATATAATCTACCTAATATAAGTGGATACTAAGCTGTGCATGATACTGAGCTATACAGCTTAACTTCCCATAGGAAATCCTTAGTTTTAAGTCCTTTAGATCTTAATAACCATTGATTATAATAGGGTAAAACTATTATATTATATCTAATACTATACTATAAGGCTTTTTAACACTTTTATACTATTTTTTATCTTTTATCTAGCTTGAAATATAGAAAATATGATATTATATAGTGTGTCACACAAGTTAAGTTTACTTATAAGTAATGAGTAGAGTTTAAGTAATGAGGCGAGTTTGAGTTAAGATTTAGGACTCATAATATGAGTTTAAGCTCTAAATATTTTAAAACTCTACTCATAATACTAAAAATACACCTATTTTATATGGGAGAGGCTTAAAAATATAGTAAAATACAGTAAAAATACTGACTCTTACTCTACTCTTACTCTTCTTAGCATGAGTTCAAGTCCTAAATCCTAACTCTACTCGCGAGTTGAGTCCTAAATCTCTACTCAAACTCAACCCGTGTGACACGCTAATATTATATACCTATAAGTAACCTAGTTCCTGAAATTTTTATATTAAACTATCTAGAAGTCTTCTTCCTTAATAAATATAGATATATATCATTATATAAGTTCTATTATTAAAAATATAGGTCCTATAGCTATTTGTTATTGGGATATTTAACCTTTAAAAAAAGTACTTGAATATAAAATACAGTGCCGCGCAGCTCGCTGTCATGCGCAGCTCACTGTCCGGTTACATTATACATTCTATCATGCCTTCCATGCACCTCAAGGATATGTCCTTACATACTGTCCTGCACAGCCTGCTGTCTGACTATGTTACCAAGTACATTATTCTTCTACAGATTACATTAAGATAGCTAGTCTATAATTCAATGTCAATGTCCATTGAACTACCACTGATATTACACATCTTATTTTGGCTGGATGCACTCATAGTTTGATTGCTTTCCACTGCTCCCTTGCACATGCCGCTTGAAGATCCTGTATAGGGGCCCCGATCACCATTTTGCTCTGCACTGGCCTGTACTATAGATTCATCTATTGTCTTCTGCATGCTGTTTTGTTCTTTTGGCACTGTTGGCGATACATGCCCCCTGTAGAGAATGAGTTCATTCCCTTGGGGCCTTGGACCAGTCAATAGAACCCTAGGAACTGATCCTAGGTTTGGAATCCCTGGAAGGAAAGTGACACTCTGCTGGTCTTCAACATCGGCAATTTCGCGATCCAGATCATGTATGTAAACAGTGTCCCGTGTATCATCTAGTAGCATCACGTCCGTCGATTGAGGCGAACTTGTTTGGAGAGCGGCTGGCCGAGGCCGATGACCAGAATCAGCACGACAGGCTTCAGAATCTAAAAGAATACCGGTCAACACAGCACAGAAAAACAATATAACCAAGTGCCAGCATCCTCGAAACCTACCTATATGCAAATGTCCGAATTTCTTTGCTAATGGTTGATCTCCATCTAGGTCGCCCTCTGCGGGGCGCTTTTTCCCCGTGACATTGGATTTCCGCATCAGGGAGTCGCGCCATCCACCAAAATCAATGCCTAATTAGCTGTCAAACTTCCCAGCTTTCTGATAACCAAGATATTGACTTATTATCTTATTATTTTGTGTGTAGATAAATATAGGGGCAGCCGGGGGCATTGTCGTTGGGTCACTTGATGCGAGTATCGACATTCATGAGGGATGGGGAGCTGGCCTTGACTCATCTATTCTCGCCTTTCAGGTCAAGACCCAGAACATCCCACCTTCACACTTTCCCGAACCCAACCATCTTTCGCACAAAAACTACTCTTGCGCATTCCAGGATGATTACAGACACCAATGGTCCAGAATGGACGGCTAAACATGTGCGAGAAACTTTTCTCGATTATTTCAAGAAAAATGGTCATACATTCGGTAGGCCTCAAAATCCCAATATTCTGCCAAGTTAAGGCTTACAATTCGACAGTTCCTTCATCACCCGTGGTTCCTCACTCGGATCCCACATTGCTTTTTGCAAATGCAGGAATGAATCAGTTCAAGTCGATTTTCCTAGGCACCGTGGATCCGCAGTCCGATTTTGCAAACCTGAAAAGTGCAGTCAATTCTCAAAAGGTTCTATTATACGCATATTTATTGCTTAATTCTAGATCTAACATTTGCTCATACAGTGTATACGTGCTGGTGGGAAACATAATGTGAACACTATCACAAACCTGATATTTCCGAAATCGAGTTGCTAATTGGCCCTGTCTGGTTTTAGGATTTGGATGATGTAGGAAAGGACAGCTATCATCATGTTAGTTTTTCCGGGTGATACCCTCTGTGAAGCCTTGACTAATGCCTTCATTACACTGCCAGACCTTTTTCGAAATGCTTGGCAACTGGAGTTTCGGTGATTACTTCAAAGAAGAAGCCATCCGTTACTCATGGGAGCTATTGACTAAAGTATATGGGTTGGATCCTGAGCGTCTATATGTCACCTTTTTTGAAGGTAATGAAGCTGGGAATCTTGAACCTGATCTGGAAGCAAAGGAATTGTGGAGATCTGTCGGTGTCCCAGAGGACCATATCCTTCCTGGAAACATGAAGGACAACTTTTGGGAGATGGGCGATCAAGGTCCCTGCGGGCCTTGCAGTGAAATCCACTATGACCGGATTGGTGGACGTAATGCTGCCAATCTCGTTAATCAAGACGACCCCAACGTACTCGAAATTTGGAACAATGTCTTCATTCAGTATAACCGTGAATCAGACCGTTCTCTGAGACCCCTGCCAAACAAGCATGTGGATACTGGAATGGGATTTGAAAGACTGGTTTCAGTGCTCCAGAACAAATCATCAAATTATGATACCGACGTGTTTTCGCCATTATTCCAGACTATCAAGGATGTCACCGGCGCCCGGGAATATCGCGGACAGTTTGGTGCTGATGACCCAGATGGAATTGATACGGCTTACCGAGTTGTTGCAGACCATGTCCGAACCTTGATGTTTGCTATCTCTGATGGCGCAACTCCGAATAACGAAGGCCGCGGCTACGTTGTTCGTCGAGTCCTGCGCAGGGGCGCCCGCTATGCTAGAAAATACTTCAGGGTTGAAATTGGTGATTTCTTTTCCAAGATTGTGCCAACTGTTGTCGATCAGCTTGGCGATATGTTCCCCGAGTTGAAAAGGAAGCAGCAGGATGTCAGAGAAATACTGGATGAGGAGGAGATCTCCTTTGCCAAAACTTTGGACCGCGGTGAGCGGCAGTTTGAGAACTACGCACAACAGGCGAAGATAAAGGGAGCAGATAAACTCCACGGAGCTGATGTCTGGAGGTTATACGATACGTTTGGTTTTCCTGTCGACCTGACTCGCATTATGGCTGAGGAACGAGGGCTAAGAATTGATGACCACGAGTTTGAAGAAGCACGTTTAAGGGCCAAGGAGGCAAGCAAAGGACAGAAGAAATCTGCCGCAGATCTCGTCAAACTTGATGTCCATGATTTAGGAAAACTCGAGAAGATGAGTGATGTCCACAAGACTGATGACACTGCCAAATATGAGAAGGGAAATATCACGAGTCAAGTTAAAGCGATTTATCATGGCAATATGTTCCACTCATCTACTGAGAGAATACCTTCTGGTGAACAGCTGGGAATCATCCTTGACCGCACTAACTTTTACGCTGAACAGGGCGGACAAGAAAATGATACTGGTAGAATTGTCATTGATGGTCAAGCTGAGCTTGAGGTTGGTGATGTTCAGCTATATGCTGGATATGTTCTTCATACAGGATTCATTAAGTATGGCTCTTTCTCTGTCGGCGATACCGTGATATCTGAATATGATGAAATTCGCCGATGGCCAATAAGAAACAACCATACCGGAACTCACATTCTCAATTTTGCTTTGAGAGAAGTTCTTGGTGATGGAATAGAGCAAAGAGGTTCTCTCGTTGCGGCCGAAAAACTCAGGTTTGACTTTTCCCACAAATCCGCTATATCGGACCACGACCTGGAAAAGATTGAAGAGAAATCAACCAACTATATTCGACAAAACTGTGCTGTCTATGCAAAAGAGATACCACTTGCAACCGCTCGGGAAATTTCAGGGGTTCGCGCCGTCTTTGGTGAGACATACCCTGATCCCGTTCGTGTGGTTTCAGTCGGCGTGGAATTGGAGGAGATAATAGAAAATATTAAAGACCCGCGCTGGAACGAGGTGAGCATCGAGTTTTGCGGTGGAACCCATGTTCAAAAAACCGGTGATATCAAAGACCTTATCATCCTTGAGGAGGGCGGCATTGCCAAGGGAATCCGCCGGATCATCGCTGTTACGGGTGAACATGCCCATGAGGTACAGAGAATGGCAGCGGAGTTCGAAAAACGCTTGGACAATCTGGACGCGATGACTTTGGGACCCAAGAAAGAACAAGAGGCCAAGCAGATACAAGTTGAGCTCAACCAACTGTCAATATCTGCTGTTCAAAAGGCGAAGTTCCGAGGGCGTTTTGCGACTATCAATAAGCAAGTCACCGACGGACAAAAGGCACAGCAGAAGCTTGAGTCTAAGAAGGCTCTTGACACTATAACATCTTTCTTTCAAGCCCCTGAAAACAAGGATAAGAAAAGCCTTGTTGTTAAGCTTCCGATCTCTGCAAATGCAAAAGCCATCAGCGAATCATTGAATCATGTCAAATCCAAGTTGCAGGATAAGACAGTCTATCTGCTGGCTGCGGATTCTGAACAAGGCCGAGTTGCTCATGGATGCTATGTCTCAAAGGTAAGCCACCGTTATTTTCCCGTAGTGATGTATATTTCCGAAAAATAACTCTGTTCCAGGATATGAGTGACAGAGGTGCCTTGGCGAGCGACTGGGCAGCTATCGTCTCCAGTGCAGTGGGTGGAAAGGCCGGAGGGAAAGGGCCCACCTCTATTGGCAATGGAGTCAACCCTGATAAAACGGATGAAGCTATCGAACTGGCTTCGGGATACCTTAGCAGATTCCAGCTATAGTCTCCATGTTTTGATCTTGTACTTTTGCAAGCAAATCATCCCCTCTTTCCCCCAGAATCACGCCAGCTTTAATAGTTTGGGACTATGTTTTTACGGAAACAAATTGAGTATGAACTCCGTTTTCTTCTCTTTCTTCTATCTTATCATTTCTTCCACCCCCTTGTATCTTTGCCACTGTAATCCGTAGTTAAATTTACTTCCTTGTAGAGACACAACAATCTTCCACGGCAAAGACCCCACTACACTATTGAGCAACGTCGAAATTTACATTTCTCCACATTGCACAATTGTGAAGTCCTGGTTTGGCTTGTCGCGAGTTGTGCGAGTATTTTCAATCATTTGAATTACATCCATCCCATCAACCACTCGACCAAAAACAACATGTTTATTGTTCAGGAAAGGGGTTGCTGTAGTTGTTATAAAGAATTGACATCCATTTGTGTCAGGACCAGAGTTCTGAACATGATTAGCATCTATATATTGGGGTTTTCGACTCAAATATACTCACTGCCATGCTTAACAACCCCTGCCGGTCGTGTTTTAATATAAAATTCTCATCTGCAAATTTCGAGGTGCCGTAGATGGAACATGACCCTGTACCGTCACCATTAACGAAATCCCCACCCTGTATCATGAAATCTTTGATCTTTAACCGCAGTCAGCTCTGGGCTTATTGTATTCACATATAAGGGGATCGACATGGTCCAGTGTGGACATACTACTCGATGAAATTTGCTATTCTTGTAACCTTGTGGTCGCCCTAGAGGATTTTTGCTCTCTCCTGTGCAGAACTGGCGGAAATTTTCTGCTGTCCGCGGGGTGATATTTGCAAACAGCTCCATTTTAACACGTCCTAGCGGCACACCTGGTTATATATTCATTGTTAGGATTGATGAACCTTCAATCTATACCAGAAGCAAACAGAATGAAGAACGAAGGATGCAGGCAAAAAAAAAAACAAAGCAGGATAAAGGCTGGGTGTTTGGGAATGGGTTTTTAATCAAATAACCATGCGATATACGATTATAGGATCTGGGTACTGCAAGTGAATGTGAACCTGGAAATTAAAGACTTACCACTGAGAGCAATGTCAAAAAACACAATAGGATTAGAGTATCTTTGGGAACCCGAGGCTAGGTCGGTCATTTTTACCTTGTTATAGAGTACTCTGTAAGTATTGTTCAGGTCTGGAAGGTGCTGATAAAATGATCTCAGTGGCGGCGAGACAAGCTGCATAACTACGTAGGTACCTACCTACACACTAGTACTTATATGGGGCTTTGAGGCCCACTAGCTTAATTATTTAGTGATCAAATACAAGTTTCTGATTGATTAATTTGCTACTTTTGTGCGATAAAATATTAACATAAAAATTGTGACTTCAGGTGTAGACCATAGTGAGTATATAGAGGTAGAGTGGGCCCATCTATATTTGCTCTGTGTATCAGAACTATGTAGAGAATAATTAGTTACCCCCCACGCCACCCTTTATGTAGGTACTACCTAGGTACCTTTACAGTACTGAGGCTATATCTCAATACATGTGGTGCATGGATGTACTGGATAGGTATAGAGTAGACCTAAAAAAATATAGGTATTTACTTGGCCCAACCTGCTACCTACCTATCTAAATACCACCTACCAAATATAAATCTGTCTCACTTACTGGGCTTCTTACCTATTACATCAACACTGGCTAGAAAGCCACACGCTACAACCCTTTACCGGTTTGATATTCAAGTGTATTAGAGTCCTGATCATATTGTCTAGCTTCGGAACATTCCAACATGTAATAATAAAGATTAAGAAATATGATGTTCTCGATTTGTAGAGTCAATGGGGGTCATAAGGCATAAATATGGCCTTAGCTGTGAGTAGCTCGGTTGCAGCATGATACTGGTAAGCGTACCTATGACTATAACCTTGGCATTGTTGAATTTGTGGAACTGTACATGGTACGTCGGATAGAAAAACATTCAGGTACCTGTGTAGTATAAGTAATTTCCTTGGGCAAATTTGACGAGGGAACTTTGGGTTGCCATTGAAAAGCATCACATGATTTGTAACCGTCAGAGGCATGGGCACGGAGTAACTACTCCACCTACCTTAGACTGAACTCGTCTCCATCAACTTTATCCTTATTTTTAATGGGATACATTGCCAAAGTCAGAAGTATCATACCAACAAACCATCGCTACGACAGCTGTCAGTAATGCTATACCGGGGCCTCTTTTTTGAGTGTACCTCAAGCTGTACACACACAACGTCCAACTAAATGAACCACTGGTATTGGCTTCACCTGTTGGAGCTACAAATCCTTTGTGGTTTCTTTTTCTGACACTGGGCATTCAAAACCAAGCTTCTCATTCGCAAGCGGACGCAAGCACTGTCTTTTCCAGTCAAACATTTCTTCCAGGGCGTTACATTTTCATCAGGTGGGCATTCTCCGCCCAAAGGGGACTCATAGTCTTGGTCATAAGCGCCACATCCTATTTTCGATATGTCGTCTACAACTACAAGTTCTGCCTCTGGTGGTGCTACGAGTACTGACAGCCCTGGAAATGGTGGCAACACAAGCCCGACGAGTTCACCTTTACTATTTTTTGTCGCACTTGGTTTTGGTGTCGTCTTTACAAATTTATGGTATGTTAAATGTTAAGCAGTGGAATGGTCGCTTTTTCTTACTCCCTGCATCATCCCATTTACTGTACTCGGGCCTAATAATTGCCCATCAGGATTATTGTTGGTGTGAAATACTGTTTCCGATACAATCAGCGAAACCGCCAGTTACGTAACGAGGAGACAGGAGAACCTATAGATTTGGTGACTATGCCTAGACCCCACCGAAGGCGGAGAGAAAAGAAGTTGATGACAATGGACGAGGTTAATGAGAGATTCCCGCTTATCAAGTATAAAGCGTGGAGGTCCTCACGCGCCAATGAAGGCCTTCCAACTACAGGTGGAATAACGGCACCGAATAGCCGACCACAAAGTATGAAGGGTGAAAGCGTTATTTCATCTCAAACTGTTGGTGTTTCTTCTGCAAAAGCTCTGTTAACCAAGGGCAATCGACGGTTCGATTCTAACATCGCGCAGTCATCAATTCCGATTCAGCACGCCGACACACTGTTAGCCCAATCGGACGAGAAGGCCGTGAGCAATATAGAATTCTCTGACCATGCTTCTCCCAAAACAACAGTGGGTGCCGGTAATATGGAAATGAAGCAAAACGATGGCCAACCCGACAGTGAACCCCGGGGCTTAGCCGAGGAAGATATGGGAAATCACATTCGAACCGCTGTTCCTGCCGACCTTTTGCCAAATCCGGGTGATTCCTGTGCGATCTGCCTCGATACAATTGACGACGATGACGATATACGGGGCCTTACTTGCGGACATGCTTTCCATGCTTCTTGTGTTGACCCTTGGTTGACAAGCCGGAGGGCATGTTGTCCCCTGTGCAAAGCAGACTATTATACGCCAAAGCCTCGCCCTGATGCTACTGAGACCTCAAGCACAGGCCGACTGGGTCATCGTTCTGCGACTCGTGCTAATGTACCAAGTCAACCACAGGCTGTCTTCATGGGGGGTCGAGTAAATCCGTTCCGGAGAACGATTATATTCCCGGGGCGCATTTTGCAACCGCCATCCTCTGAAAATGGCACCGGCTTGCCTCAGCCGGTTGGACAAAATCCCCTCGGGGTCAATAACTTACCGGTCTTGGACCATGAATCACGAAGAGGTCGGAGTTGGAGATCGAGATTGGTCCCGGCTCATCTACGTCGTTTTTCGTTTCCCTCTTTTAATTCTTCTACATGGCGCCACGGCACCACGGGGGACACAACCACGGGCCTGAACACACCGAATACGGCTAGAAACCGAACACCTGGTCAGCTTGAGGCTGGGCCTACTGCTTAAAGGCCCATACATTACCACTGAACGAGCACTAACCCGCTTCAAACTAGCCCTCGTTACCTATCGACATCTGGAATGTTAATTGGGACGTTGTTTGATTTGCGGTAGCAAGCATGCAAGCCATGCTTACTGTTATGTATAATTTTATTCCTGATTCGATTTCCAGTGAAATCAGCAAATGTGTTAATGAGAATATCCCCATGGAGGTTACCTCCGAGAGAATATATATATACAATTCCTTTTTATTCACCCTTTCTCTGCCATTCGTTAGCCTAGATCACTCTAATACTGGATAATGTTGAAGGATCTCAAAATTTTGACAACTGAAGACTCACGAACAATAAATTCGCCGAAATTTTATATGTACTAATTTTGGTAGACTAAGCAATTTCCTCAGTATTAAATACCGTTTGTTCTTCAACCCCCCTGCTGACTGCTTGGGTACCTAATATAGCATACCTTGTAATTATGAATTTCCGACTGAACATAATATTACCAATGATAAAGTTACTAAGGTATCCCTCGTTTATTTTAATATTTCGAAAAAAATGATATGGGATAAGGAAGAAGGACAAAAAACAAACGCAGTTCTGGCTTCACTTCTGTGCCTTCGGTGCCCCGACCCCGGCACCTATTACACCGGGCAGCTCATCTTGCCCAATACTAAATAGCATCCCAACAGCGGTACCGACTGCCGCCAGGATCATAATACTGATACCTGTAATCAGGAAGAAGGGAGAGCTGATGTCCCTCTTTTGGCATGCCGATCCACCCCACCGGACTTTTTGGACCGTGCCGTCTGCTTTCTTTAGGATCGTTTCCTGACATTTGCAGGCATAACACTCGCTGGAAGCTTCTGTATTTCCCAAACCGAACTTTCTGTAGCAAGATCCGTGCCCTGAGCAGCTATTGGTTGCCTCAGTACAAGAAGATTCAGAGGCATGACAGACAGGGATCAGGTTTGATGGAATGATCTGCTGTTCAGATCTAGACAAAAATCGAGACGATTGCCAATCAGCTGCCGAGCCAGCCAATCTGGATAAAGTTTGCTCTTTGTTGATGCTTCGAGGCCACATGCTGCGCTTTGATTCAAGAGAATCTCGCGATTCAGAAAAAACTAGTGTAGTAATTTGATTGCCTTCTGATGAGGATGAGAGCGTAGATAGACCCTCCAAAAGCGACTTCAGAACATGTGTAATTGAAGCACTATCTGCATGTTTATTCTGCGGCTAGGATTGACATCAGACAACTCATCTTTCCAAGAGCGAGTGAATGAAATGCGTGGGAGGTTGAACACACCTTAAGAGAAACCTTCAGGACTGTAGTCGATGCAGACTCATCGACCCAAGATTCCAACAAATCAACATGACTGAGTAGTTCCTTGCTATGAAAGTGAGGAACGCCTTGGGAGATAGGGTAGTTGGCAAGGCAATATTCAGCGACCTGCAGATGATGGCTAGTTAGGGACTGTATATGATCTTGAACAAAACTATATGAAATAAGAAAGGGCCAAGTTATTTACCTGAATATCCTTGGAGGAATCAGCTCTATTATGACTGTGAAACAGGCAGCGTCTCTTGACAGGTTGGGTCTTGGGCCCGCCTCTAAAAGAAGAGGCCAGGGCATAATCATCTAGAAGAAAAGATGGCGCAATCGACAAATTTCCTGGGTAGTTCTCTTGGAGAAAAGACCCTGTTTTTGAATTCATGTTAGGTCTCGTAATTTTTGATAAGATCCCGCGAATGACAACATACCAACTTTAGAGCCTAAACCCTCTAAAATGAGTACGCTCTTCAGGTTTTGAGCATTTCCAGCAGTGGCACCAAACAATGGTGATGGTGTTCCCCCAGCTAGATTTAACAGGTCCACGGTGTTTTGGTCTGTTTCTCCAAGAAATGATGCATCGGGAGACTTCGTTCGATGTTCTAGCACAAGTCGAGCGGCGTCCCCTGACACTGTCCAATCTCTTAAGCTATGCCCTCGACTATTTGAATCAAATGTGAGAATAGAAGCACTAGAAGCGCCGGCTCCAAGCGCGAATGTAATCGATAGGGTCAGGAGGCTGGAAAGTTGGAGCATGGCGTTGGAAGAAGGTATATTCGGACTGTTCCTTTACAAAAAGAGGATCTGATCTGTTTGCATAGAGCCTTCAACAATGATAATACATGAACCCTTCTTTCTTTTTTTGTGGTTTGATAAACCTTGTTGGACCTTCCAAGTAGCTTGTTGTGAGTACGAACGAGGTAGTTACTACTTGGCCGCTACCGGAGATATCACGTGCGATAAAGCCTCGTTGTTAATACTCTGAACTGATCATTTTGTCAAGGAGTGTAGCTACGACGTTGTTGATATTTCTTTTTATTCAGTTATCATCTGCATCAAGAATTTTACCGCTTTGACTGAAGGAGGTCTTACCTTATGTGGTAGAAATTTATTTCATGTACTCTGCTTCTTCCCCTCCCTGAAAGTGTCGGAGCAAACCTGATTTCGAAGTGAAATATGTCTTTTAGATGAGAAAAAGCACTCGAATAGCGGTTTCCCAATGCTTTGGACAAGGCAGCTACTCCGAAATCCTCAGTTGTTTTTTCGAATTGGCCCGGTACTGCCTCGTAATTCGAAGTCCACGAATGTTCGCCATGTGAAGTTCAAAAGACCGTGGATCCGGTTAGTATTGAATGAATGTTTTCCAGCTGTAAATTTATATTCTATAATACTCTATATTTTGCTTACAAAGACTCCGCAGGAGGTTTTTCGCCACATGCTTTCTTTATGGTGCTGCATTTCATATATGGAGTTCGTCTGTTCTCGTGCAATTCGATGATACTCTTGACAGTGCCGATATACCCCGAACATCTGGTATAGATGGAAAAATTGACGATCAAGGCAAGAACGAAGGCGGCAGAACTCACGAACACCGCCTGGAAGAATCGGATGACGAAGATGTCACTTTTATCCCATTGGGCTGGCCGCGTTTACGTGAGGCCGAATTTTATGCCGCATCAGATCCCGAATGGCAGCAGTTCATCAAGATATCTCAAGACCGCCAGAAGCTCCAATCATTAAGAGGTATCACCAAACGAGCCGTTTTTTGGGAACAATATGACTTATACGTCTAGACGAACTCGCAACACTTGCCCTAGGCAATGCTTCCAGATCGACTCTACTCTCACACATGCTTGGAGGACCCCTTACCATAGCAGGGTTCTGGCTCGTACATCATTTTCCCTCTCGTTCGCCGCCTGAGTACGGACGTCCAGGGTGAGTGTTAGTGCTGCTTATGATTTCTTATATCACTCACCATTGATCAGTTTAGAGATTGGCGATAACTACATATCCTTGGTCTCTAGGCGAATGTCTTCTGAAGAGAGTGACAGACTACGAAGATTCATGTGCCCCATTTTTGTGGCTCTTGCTATAAATGATGCTTTTCTGGTATTCATGAAAAGGAAGCTTTCCCGATTTCAAAATTCGGACTTTTACCAAGGAACCACACGGGGTGACCCGGTTTTGCGCCAACCAGACAAAACATTTCCACCAGACTTACAACACGTGGATGGACTAAGCCATGTGTCGCGGCCTGAAACACAGCTACCATTGTCTAGAAGCTCCCAGGGCGATGTACCGCAAGGAAACGAAAAACCACGTCTTCACCCTTCATCAATCATTTCCTCCCTACAGAGGCTCCCATTACCTAAACTGGGGCCCGATTCTGATTTATACGTTGCATCAATCGCTTTCAAGTGGAAACTGAACGATTGTTGGGCTCACGAGGCCCACACTCCTCGCCGCGGTACATTTTACGTCGCTGGTCCCGTGGGTCTCAAAGGTCCCAAGGGATTTTGCAGAATTGAAGTCAGAGGGGAATATGACCCGGGAACATCTAGCTGGACGAATGTCTCAATGCACCTGAAAGATCTAAACGTTTTTCACCAAAGAGCCCTTGGTGGCCGGAAATAGGTGATTGTCAATAATTCCTAGGCGAATTGTCAGATGTCTGTAAATCGGCCATGCTCAGATATGAAATTTGATTGGGAATAACTTAGTAACTTGCAGATGGGAGTTCCATTGGGATCGAATATTTTGGCCCATGGCTCTGGGGCACACCCATGTATGATCAACTCACAACTCACATGCTGTCATCATGATAATATATTATTACCATTAATATGGAATATGAACTTATCCATTGAATGTAATCTAACTACCACATACCTAGGGTACCCCGCGGAGATAGGGGTAAACCATGACATGACACCTGATGATTTGAGCGAGGAATGATGACATATAGGTACCTATGAAGTTCCTGGTCTTTGCCCCACCATCTTCCCTTGTGTGTACGGACTATGGAGTAGTGACCCCCTCCCTCGCTCCCTCTTCCCCCCATCTCACTTCCAACCCAACTACCGTTCCCGTAAACCCAGAGACCTAGAGACCGGTGACCAAATATTCACTATAACTGAATTTAAAACCCTTTGGGCTTCATCATTTGTCCTTTGTCCCCATTACTACGATAATGGCTATCCCTCCAAAGTTTGCAGGACACAAGCTGTTAGATGCTTCTGGCCAACAGACTCATCATACACTTGAGCTATGTATGAATCCCAAGTACTGTGCCAAATATTAATTATTCCATGGGAAAATTGACTTTGATATTATAAGATCTCGACTACGTCTGCCCTGTCAGTCTATATTATGCGTCCCTTCTACACAACTCTAATTGATTATTGTATTTAGTTTTCAGCGAAGATGTTCAACACCTTCTATGGATTTATCAGACCCATAATTGCTGAAAATTACTCCACTAAGCTCCAGGTTATATTTCGCCAGCATATTCAGCCTTGGCACCCATCATCAACATTAACCCACGAAGCCGGTGCCGCTGTCTTGAAGGTAGCCCCAGAAAAATTCTGGGAGTTCAGTGCTGTCTTATTCAAACACCAGAAAGACTTCTTTGACGTTAGTGTCGTTAATGAAACACGCAACAAAACATATGAACGATTGGCAAAGGTTGCTGGAAGTATTGGAATAAATGAACTTGAGGTACTCAGGTTGTTGACCATCAGCGAGAAAGCTAGTGATGATGCACAGTTAAACACTGGAAATGGTGTGACGAATGATATTAAATTGATGGTGAAGGTGAGTACTAACATCCATTGAGAGGTCAGGGGCATGTAATGTAATCTAACATCATACGTGTAGTCAAATCGCATGGTGGGGGTCCATGTTTCCCCAACAGTTTATTTCAATGTATGACAGCCCGGTTGATGGAATCCTATGATTCAGTGTGCTGACTTCACTAACTAGGGTATTGAAGAGCCGGGAATTAGCAGCAGTTTCACTGCTACTCAATGGGAGCAATGGCTCAACAAAAACGTGACTTGATGGTTTTCACCTCATCCCCGAGGGATTAATGAGAAGAGGCAAAGTTGCCACCTGAGCTTTGTCTGATTTGGCGGGCAGATGTGCATCCTCCGTGGAAATCGAACCATATATCATTTCAAAAGTTCAACATGAAAGACTCGATTGCCTAGGAACAATCTTATGTATGTACTGCACAATCAAATGCAGCATGATTGGTTAATAATAAACACATACGGGGAAAGGCTGTATGTCTGCCATCATGATTACTGCGACACTGGAGCCTGGTAGTTCAGAGGACGTCTGTATACTAGGTTAGTAATAGACAAGACTGTAGATCATATAGAGGCCTCACTTGAACAAAAGAATATGTGGTTCCGGCTCATGTACTTCATAATGCTCCCAACCCAAGCTCTGATGCGGCAATTAGTTTCTTTTTTTGTTCTTCCCGGAAAAGGGGTGCTTGTCAGCATTCATGCAAGTATACCTGTGTGATACCAAGCGCTCGCCATTCTTCTTCCCATAGCAGCTTCAATGTTCCCTTGGCACTATCAAAATAATCGGCTGGAATTTTTTTGAGCATGTTCTTTGGAAGCTGAACATGTCGATATTCAAATTGGTCGTCAGAATACCTATCTGTGCTTAGTTTGGGTCTTCGTACGCAGGACGAGGAGCGTACCTGGCTGAGTAGTGGATAGAGTCGATAAATTCCTCGAGTCTGTCTCGTTCGGATTCTAATAGGAGACGGGGCTTCTTATTTCTCCTGCTTAGATCGATGTCCATCTGGAAATATGAGATTGGGGAAGAGGACAGCTGCAATGATGATGGTGAGAAACCTGAGCATAATTCGAACAATGAATGGCAAATCACACAGGGGGTTACATGGACAAATATTGAAGCGTATTCTACTTACTGTAAGCTGGACGACGCTGTTCTGGGAGATAAAATCCGGATTATCTCGGTCTGAGTGGGGGTTAGGTGATGTATCTTTTTCCTCGGGGAACTTGCTGACAATGAATTTGAATCAGAGACGGGCTTCAGGTTAAGACTTGAAAGGGTTGAATTTCTCACGGAGCCGATGTTTGAGGAAAAGAGAAACCAGAGGAGTGGTGTTGGGGTAAAGACAGGCAATGAGGGGCAGAGAAAGCTCCGATAAAGATGTTGCTTTCGCATTATTATTATCCACGGCGGGACCTCTTGGAACAATCGTTCAAAACTAAATTTAATGCCTTTATGCCTGAGGCTTCCACAATACACTGATCTGGATACTACTTCCAAAATGATGGTTAGTATGAATAATGCTCATACAAAATTGCCATTAAAAGATAAATAGGCATTTGTTACTATTCTTAAATGAGAAATTCACTAACAACAATCCATTCAAGCTGTTATTCTAATGTATCAGGGTGATTGCCTCTTATATTTCACCAATTCAAATAATAAGCTTATATCTAGAAGCAGTACGGAGTATCTACCATCTACAGGACTTGCTCAACCCAGTTTGGCTAACTCAAAGTTTTTAGTCCATGGGTACTCCGTACCTTGATGTGATAGATAGATATTCAAATATTGAATATAGTCAAAGTGCCAGCCACCCAAGACCAAGCGGTTTACAGTATGTACTGGGTTAATGAATTAACTGAAAGCTATTTAGAACTTTATGCTCCTAACCATTTCGAATATCATCAGGAAGCCCCCCCTCAATAAGCCTGAAGGACCGATGCCTTTCAAGGGTAGTACTCGATTCATATACCTATGTGTTCCTGTTACCTGTTAAATAGGACAACACAGAGAAAATTCACATTGTGGCTGTATAAGAGTTGTTTTAAATGCATTTACTACAGACCACTTCCAATGATGGACTTACAAGTGGATTGTACATACTAGATAGATACTACAGGGTAAATAGGGGCGAGTTAAATTATAGAGTGAATGGTAATGGATATATATAGGTATCTAAGGTACATACTTAGTATCCGGTACCGGTATTACTACGAAGTAATTCTCACCTGGGCTGGTAGGTAGATACTGGTACCACACCTATGTACAATGGAGCGAGCTGAGATCTAGGTAGTAGCCGTTGTGCGGTTGCTAAGTGGCTTACTTAATAGAAGCGATAGCCAACCATGGTGCTAGGTCTCCGAATTTTTTTTTTTTTTGCGCTCAGCCGAGAGGGCAAAAAAAAAAAAAAAAAAAAAAAAAAAAAAGGTAAAGTGGGCTTGATCCTTTTTAAATTTCAACCGCTCCCACTTCGACACTCGGAGCGAATTTTATAACTTCTTTCCTTTCCCAACCCTCCTCTTCCATACTGCTTCTCTCTTTATTGTGAATTTATTTCCTTTACTATTTGTATCATGGCTGACGAAGTCTACGAAGGTGCCATCGGCATTGACCTTGGTAATTCTACCGTGCAATAAAAGTGCCCCCTCATTGAAATAGTGCTAATATGATTTTTAAGGCACTACCTACTCTTGTGTTGCCAACTATGAAGGCACCAACGTTGAGATCAGTAAGTTCTTGGATACCCGGTAATGCCTTTTATGAGACGCTGATTGTTCATTTTTTTTCTAGTTGCCAACGAGCAGGGTAGCTACACCACTCCCTCTTTCGTCTCTTTCACCGACAAGGAACGTTTGATTGGTGAGGCCGCAAAGAACCAGGCCGCCATGAACCCGAAGAACACTGTCTTCGATATCAAGTTAGTATTCATTATTTGCATTATGTTTTGATGAACATCTTTGTTCTTGATACTAATAGAATCCAGGCGTCTTATCGGTCGGCGGTACGAGGACCCAATTGTCAAGAAGGACGTGGAGTCATGGCCCTTCAAGGTTGTCGACCAGGGCGGAAACCCTGCCGTGGAGGTCGAGTATCTCGGCGAGTCCAAGACTTTCACTCCCCAAGAGATTTCCTCTATGGTGCTCATGAAGGTAAGTTCTAATAGGCAATATATGTTCTGAATCAAAGGCTAATTGCCGGCAAGATGAAAGAAGTTGCGGAGACCAAGCTTGGAAAGAAGGTCGAAAAGGCCGTTATCACTGTCCCAGCTTATTTCAACGACAACCAGCGTCAGGCTACTAAGGATGCAGGTGCCATTTCCGGCCTGAACGTCCTGAGAATCATTAACGAGCCTACTGCCGCGGCTATTGCTTACGGTCTTGGCTCTGGAAAGTCTGACAAGGAGCGGAATGTTCTGATCTATGATCTTGGTGGTGGTACTTTTGATGTTTCTCTGCTGAACATCCAGGGCGGTGTTTTCACCGTTAAGGCCACTGCTGGTGACACTCACCTTGGTGGACAAGATTTTGACACCAACCTCTTGGAACACTTCAAGAAGGAGTTCCAGCGCAAGACCGGAAAGGATCTTTCTGGTGACCCCAGAGCATTGCGTCGCTTGAGAACTGCTTGTGAACGTGCCAAGCGTACCCTGTCCAATGCTACCCAGACCGCGGTGGAAATTGACTCCCTCTTTGATGGTGAAGACTTCAACTCTTCAATCACTCGTGCTAGGTTCGAGGATCTTAACTCTAAGTCCTTCGCTGGCACCCTTGAACCGGTCCAGCAGGTTCTCAAGGACTCTGGCCTTGAAAAGAAGCAGGTCGATGAGATCGTGCTTGTTGGTGGATCTACTCGCATTCCTCGCATTCAGAAGCTCCTTAGTGACTTCTTCGATGGCAAGAAGCTTGAGAAGGTGAATTTCTATTAGTCATCCGTGGGCGTGTCTCAAAATATGCTAATTTTATCTTTACAGAGCATCAACCCCGATGAGGCTGTCGCTTATGGTGCCGCCGTGCAGGCTGGTATTCTCTCCGGAAAGGCTTCCTCCGCCGAGACCCAGGATCTGTTGCTTCTCGATGTTGTCCCTCTCTCTCTTGGTGTTGCTATGGAGGGCAACATTTTCGCTCCCGTCGTGGCCCGTGGCCAGACTGTTCCCACAATCAAGAAGCGCACCTTCACCACTGTCGTGGACAACCAAACAACTGTTCAGTTCCCTGTCTTCCAGGGTGAGCGTACTAACTGTGCGGACAACACCTCCCTTGGAGAGTTCACATTGGCTCCTATTCCCCCCATGAAGGCTGGCGAGGCTGCTCTTGAGGTCGTCTTTGAGGTCGACGTCAACGGTATCTTGAAGGTTACCGCTACAGAGAAGTCATCTGGCCGTACTGCAAACATTACCATCTCGAACGCTGTTGGCAAGCTTTCTACCACTGAAATCGAGCAAATGATCGATGGTGAGTAAACCTGTATCTCATACAGTCATTTGTTATAACTAATTTGAACCCTCCCTACGCCACAGATGCCGCCAAGTTCAAGACTAGCGATGAAGCTTTCACCAAGAAATTCGAGTCCCGTCAGCAGCTCGAGTCTTACATCTCTCGTGTTGAGGAGATCGTGTCGGACCCGACCATGTCCATGAAGCTGAAGCGCGGCAACAAGGAGAAGATTGAGTCAGCCCTCAGTGATGCTATGGGTCAGCTTGAAATTGAAGATTCCACTCCGGAAGACCTTAAGAAGAAGGAACTTGCCCTCAAGAGACTCATTACCAAGGCTATGGCTACCCGGTAAATGTGCATACCTTGAATGTGTGAAGGGTTAGTTACATACCTGTCCTTTCTTGAGCTCTTTCCTTTTCTCTCATTTTCCTTTTTCAATTTCAACCACGAAAGGCGTAGCCTTCGGGTTGGCTACCGGTGGGAATCGAGATTTTATTCTGGCAGATTTGATCATCCATTTGTGGCTCCTTTCTGTATCAGAGATCTTTTTTTTTTAGGGTTGGGCGCAACATTTTTTTCTCTTTTTAAAAGTACCATGATTTAGATGAGGTCGCCTCGGCAGTTTAATGACTTTTATGAGCCTGGCATACCGATGGATGTCTAAATTTGTCTATTCATTTGAAACGTATTTTTGGGTTGATCTTCTTCTGGACTGATTAAACCCGTAGGTCTCCCAATTTCCCGAAAATACCTGCATTGATCGTTAGAGAAATCGTCTCAATCCCGTTTATGTTGATTCTTTGCTCCACCTACCTCCATCTTACCCTGTAGTGTGGCTTTTGTTTTATTCCCTCTTTCTTCCTCTGATTTTAATCATGTAACATGTGAATCATCCCTCATGAGTATTAACTATTAATCTACTAGACAGAACCCTTTCTATCGTTCTATCTATAAATAATAATAATAATAATTTAGTAATAATAATGATGATGATGATGATGATGTAATAATATTTATCATGGCACCCTGCACACTACTATATACGTACAATATGTACTAGGGAAAGCTCCACCAGTCTGTGCGTTCATTTTTCTGGACCTTCACTCTCTCCTTCTAAAACCGTGATACCTGAAGTATCCAGTCATCTGAAAGTCTATCATATGGAATCACTCACAATCTTGGGACAAATGCGTCGCATCCAATTCACTATCAACGCTCTTGGTCATTGCCGGCGACTTCCTCTTTCAAGTCCTCACCTCAACCCCTTACTCAACCCTCTACATCACCATTATGTATCCCAGCATAAATTGATTGCACTGACTGGAAGACGATGCTTTTCGCACACTCCCTATTTCTACAAGAAGAAGGACAAATTGAACAAGAACACTGGCACAGAGCTTGATACAAAGTCTCCGAAAGGTGGCGTGGTTTCCGATGACCCTCTCGATCTTTCTCAGCTTCAGGTTGGCATTACAACTGCCGTCTCTCGGCTTAAAGATGATTTATCCAAACTTCGTGTCGGTGGTAGATTCAACACTGGGGCAATCGAAACCCTCCGGGTCCAACTCAACAAGGGGAGCAAAGAAGTGGTAAAACTGGGGGAGCTCGCCCAGGTTATTCCTAAGGGTGGGCGAATGGTAGCTATCCTGGTGGCTGAAGAAGAGGTGAGTTTCATTCCGTCCAGCGGATTCCTCATATCAAACCTCTAAAATCTATCATTTTACAGCACATAAAGCCCATCAACTCGGCGATCGTCTCCTCAAACTTATCCCTGACGCCGCAGTCAGATGCTCATAATGCTCTTCAACTCAATATCCTAATACCACCACCGACGAAAGAATCCCGGGATCAAACTGTGCATATCGCAAAAACCGCAATGGAAAAGGCAGCTAGTTCTATTCGCGATTCCAGAGGCGCTGTTCACAAACGTTTACAAGATATGCAGAAAAAAAAAATTGCCAGGCCAGATGACGTTCGGAAAGCACAGGATCAAATGGAAAAGCTAACTGAAAAGGGGCAGAAAGAACTGAAAGATTTGTTTGATGCGGCGAAGAAGGCATTAGAGCGGGCGTAAGGTCAACAGAAAGCCAAAAACCAAAAGCCAAAAGCAAAGATAGGCATTCTTGTTAGCCAAGTACCATTACTGGGTTGTACGTGGAACAGCCACATCTTTGCTTCGTCGGGTCTCCTGAGCTACTTTGTATAATATTTGATCTTTAAATACAAGACAAATCGAACATACCTAGAACACAAAAACAATGATAACAATTGAAGAACAGGAAAGATATATTATACAATAACTTGCAGTCCGCTCAAGAAGTCCGACTTATGCACGTTTGATAGGGCGGCTCGAGGTAAGGAGAGACTGCACCTTTTGGACGAGTTCCGGGCCCTTTCCAGTTGTCTGATATGTCTCATTGTTTCTGAGATTCATGAGGATATTGTCAATGATAGGCGACTCATGTGCTTTCTGAGCGTCATGCTTGGGGTAACTTCCTTGGACAAGAGTTTCAATCAAAGCCTTCCGGTCCGCTGCATTGATCTGGCTAAAACCAATTTCTTTAGGTTCCACAAGATCGCCTTTTATTTGGGACAGCTTGTCTGCGTGTTGTTGTGCCAGCTTCTTGGCCTCCTCTACAGCCTGTGCCTTCTCCTCTTCACTAAAGAATTGAACATTTTGTCCCCTGAACAGACGCCTCCCCAACTCATGCGGTGGAACGTATCCATTTGGATAACGGTCACTTAACCATGACAGCTTCTCGAAAACCCCAGCAGTACGCCCGGTCACGTTCGTTGGCAACGAAGGCCAGGTCTCTTTCATTGAAGAGAAGTCAGAAGCTCGAGGAGAGTAACGGCTAGGAACTGGTCTCGCCTTCTCTTCAAGTTCGTGGAATACAGATTCGACTTGCTTTTCCTGGGTGGCATCGCCTTCTTCCTCATTCGATTGTTTTCTCGAAGCTCTGGTTCGTAGCTCCTTCCGATTCTTGGGATTCGCTTTTGCTGTCGCGGCGGGAGTCGGGGTTCTGGGTTTGCGAGCACGAACTGGCGACCCGCGAGCCTTTTGGAACCTGGGGCCTCGAATAATGTTCGCTGGCTGTCCAGCATTCTGAGATGCTGCGAGGGATCTTGCATCAATTACTCGTTGAGGACGGGCTCGATTAGGGTTAGCGGCTCTGAAGCTCAGTTTTGATGGCGTGGGTTTGTGCATTTTATTCAGTGGGCGAGAAGGTGGAGCCCTCGAGGAACTGTCATGATGGTCTTTTCAAAGCTCCCAATCAGCAAAACGCAAATACCACAGCAGGTGTAGTGGATTCGGAAGGGACTGTTCCCATTGAAGAGGAAAGCAAAGCAAATAAAGCATGAAGGATTTTTTTTCTTTGCCGATTCTTTTCACAGATACAAGACAAGCCAAGTTTGTAGATTCACGTACCTGATGCTTGACTTGCGTTATCCCTCGCCTGTACCGGACTAACAGAGAGTTGGCGGATGGAGGTAATGACTCCTTCTATCAATCCCGTACGTTCGTGGCGTAGCAGGGCAGGCCTCAGCCGTATTTGGAACATATTGCCCCAAATACCAAGTTGACAAATGATTCTCTGAATATGGGGGTGTAGAGGCAGACGTCCGGGCTTTTACTGCACGAGAGGCCTCCGCAAGGTTGAATTTCTGAATCGAATCACGTGATAGATCCAGTGTCCACTCCCACATGCCCAACTTGGCAGCCGCCTAACACCCCTAACACTACTCCGTACATCTTATCTTACGACCAAGCTCCAAAATTTCATCCATCACAGTGACTGTCAAGCCCTGAAGATGCTCCGTCGCAAGCCTACAGCCATCGCAATAACATCTGAAGATGTTTCTAATTTCGAAGACACACGACTGCGCAAATTAGCCGAAGGAGATAATGACCCAAGGAGTACAAAAAACAGTTCAAATACCAATTTCGACCCAAGTGATGAATTAAAACCTCTCCCGGGAGATAAAGCGAGGATAGTCAGATCCCGTGAGGAAAGGATAGGAATCAGTCGGCGCAGCTGAGAGGCTTGGGTCATATGTTGGCTTAAACTGAACTCGATGGTATTCCTTCTGCCATTGCCTCTATCACTGCCGTGAAAAAAATAGTTATCCGCCATCTTATGTCGTCTTTCATTGTTTGCCAATTCTGAATACCTGTTGAGCTGAATGTCCGCATTTGCATCGGCAAGGAGGCGCTGGACCCATCTATCAAATTTGGAAGTTTTGGCATTATATCACCCTGGGTGTGTTCTACTGTCAAAAATGCCCTCAAATCTGTTGCACAATTTATTCGATTTTATCCGATCATGATATCCCATAGGAAGCTTCTGCCATGTGAAGCAAAACATTGATCTCAGAGAAAACTAAATAGGCAGAAGCCCAAGATAAATAGTCGAATTACAATTCTATTATGAAAGACAGGGCAAGGCGCTAAAAGTTATTACTTTTTGCACCATACAGTTGGATTTTATCGAAGAGGGGTAGTGTGTAAATCTTCAAGGGGAAGGGATGCTGGCGTATCTTTAGTTTAAATCGCATAGATACAAATGAAGGCAGGTTAAGGGCAACATGATTATGACAAATTGTGCCGCGGAAATTGGCACAGTCTATTCATCCACTGTACATATGTCTATCAAAATGCCCAATGTAATCAATCCTTCATCGTTGTCGTTTTGCCATGTTCTCGGTTCCCATATCAATTGAATAATTCCATCGTCGTTTTAAGCCATGAGGGTCATACACGCTGGCAACACTTTGTTGCCAGTCACGTGCAGTAATCAAAACTGGCTGGCCATTAAACTGAGGCTGACTGATAGGCTGTGACGGTGCAACTGATGCCACCTTGGTAGGTGACCCATATTGAACGGGGTACTGGGCTGTTAAAGGGGCTTGAATGCCTTGTGGGGGAGTACCCAGAGCCATCGGTGGCGAATTCGTGCTGACAGTTGATGGACCAACGGAAAATGCCATATCCCACTGGCTGCAGTAGATGTTAGCAAAAACATTCAAGTTGGTCTCAATCTCCAGAGTTTCATACTTGATAATTCTAGTGGGATCCCAATTATTCTCATCAACCAGTGGGGCATCAATTGAATGGCTTGAAACCGGATGGTGTGGTAACATTCCCAACGGCTGCAGTTGAGAGGAATCGGACTTCGAGTCTTCAGTACCAGCGGTTAATGGAGGGGTGATAGGATAAGCGCTATAACCCACTCTGTTTGGAATATTGCTAGAAATTTGATTTAATTGAGGTTGATAATGCGAATCAAGTGGCGGCGGACTTGGATGATATGGCTCTGAAGGGCTTCCATAAGGAAATGTTGATTTCAGCTCAAATGAGCGGTTTGTATCAGCAGAAAATGCAAGCCTTAATGAGTCGATCTGTGCTTGGATTTCTGGCATAGGCCAAGCAGAAGAACATTGCTCAAGGATACGCATATGCCGCGTGAAATACTCCCGTGCATCTGTATGAAAATGAGGATCGGGAGAGGTTATTGCGATCTGCGAATATTAGATGCGATCAGTTTGAGTGTTAATCATCCTGATGTGCACTTACTAAATGCAGCATCGTGCATGTCAATATGCAATATATCGCAAAATTAATGCCCCTTTGCATGAAAAGTAAACCCGACAGACCGAAGCGGTTCAAAATGGCCTCCTGTAGCCTACAGAGACTTCTTGCTGAGGAGTAACATAATGCCATGTGGATTTTCCAACCCCCCCCGGCAGCAAAGGACTTCGAGGCAAGTAGCTGCGGACGATGTAGCAAAATGATCCCTAAATGACAATGCGAGTGCATATTCCCTACAAAATGGGACGGAATCCAGGGTGGAGAGCCATCAGCAGGATAATTAACCTGCAAATCTGAGGGTAAGCTTTGAAGCCAATCCGTGAAAAGTGGATTTTTTTCAACAAATCTAGGATCAGCCCCCCAGTCCTTTTGCTTCTTAATTTTATGATAAATGTCGGTCATGATGCGAATATGGTGGGCGTTCCGGACAAAATAAGCATATTGTCTAGAGCGGCCAGCCTCAAATTGGTCCTGGTTCTCAATGTCCAATGTCGGCCGCATATCAACTGTTTCTGGATCAACACCATAATCCGAGCGGCCTACAAATGTTAGAACCAGTAGCACTATTGACACACAGTATGAACGTACCCTGAGGTGCTCCAATCATTACTTCGATGACTAAAAGAGCTTGCCAGACCCTTGTCTGCACTAAGCACTCTACGTGATTCAGATCACAAGGCCTGCCTTCGGCATGGAGGTTGTAATGTTCATGAATATCCAAATCTTTGGCCATTGAAACAATAGTTTTGACAGTCTGCCAAGAGCGATAATAATACCCCTTTTTTGGCAACGATTCTCTGGCTTTCAAAAGAAGGAGTAACGCTTGGATTGTGCTCAAACGTGGTACATCCATAAAACTGGATTCATGCCCTATGCGAGTCTCAAGAATTAGCACACGTTCACGTATATTATAAAAAGGGGCCATGTTTACTGTTGGCTAATGCTAGCCACTGAGCTCCCTGGGCTGGTTCATCCGACAACCTGCCCGCACATGCAAACAGGGCCTCGAGAAGAAGAGGCGATATCGAGCTTCGGTCATTTTGCCATTGGTAATACATATTGGATCGGTGGACGACAGGAAGGTATGGGTGTATGTCGTTGAAATAAATTTTAAAATAATTCATGACCTCGTCATCTGATGGCATAAGTTCGGGGGGGATTCGAATCGTCGACCCAGCTCCGGTGCTAAGAGGTGGCAATCGTTCCTCTGTTTCATCTTGAATAGGGACTTCTGGTTCAGTTCTATCCCTTCTCTGCCGTCTGATATACGGAGCTATGTCTAGGAGTCAGCTATCTTTTCCAGGAGCGATTAACGGAACGGGGGAATCGCACCAATGCCAGTCTCATCTATTTTAAGTTCCCCAAGTACTTCACTGAGATTTTCCGCGGTAGATTGTTCATTATCGATGAATATACTATTATCTGAAGTTCCCAGAGTCTGTGGTTGGGGAGTAGAAAACATCTGCGGTTGTTGATAGGAATGATGGGACATGGAGACTTGTGGCGACCGCACTTCACCATATATGCTAGGGTGATTAGGTGAGTGGACAAATTGTGAAAACATTCCCATCCCGTCATTGTAGTTCGGGATACCCCCCACGGTAGATTGACTGCCGTCTCTATAGGACTGAGGCATAGGAAAGGCATGATGAGAAGTTTCTGCTGCACTGGATGCACCTAAGGAGCTAGTTGCATCGGATTCGACACCCTGGCCCGCGGTAAAGTCGTTGTCTTGTCCAATTGTAGGTGGCACACAGACGAGTTTTAAACGAGTGCATGCTGAGCAAGGCCACGTATTTGTAGTAGCAGCATCACATTTTATTTTTCGCTTCCGGCAACCATTGCACGCTCGCATCACTGGATGGTAGGTATGTCTTTAGTGGTGGGAAATGCGGTTGGGGGCTTATTAAAATCATACCCTTCAGCCTTTTGTGTCTATTATGTTCATCAACGAATACATAATCTATGTTGCAAAACTGTCAGCATCGATAGAAATGGATTCTCTGTTGAGCCCTTGGTAGGAATGGAATCAATATCTCTTGACGGGAAATCTTACTTTTATGACCCTCCCTCGGTGGCCCAGAAGGGGGCGCGAACGAATAGCCCTGCATTATGATGAAAGAGGCGCAAAAGCCAAATAGGAAGCAGATGTTTAAGAATGAGTAGCGGTCAACGGAAGACTTCGGATAATAAAGAGAAGAATGGTTAATCCCTAAGGCCCGCCTTGTTGGGATAAACTTATGTAACTGAAAGAACCTAACCCCTGGCTTCCAGCGATTCTATCAAGTCAGAATCAAATCGGGGCTAAAGGCTGTTAGTGACTGGGTTCTTTGTAACCCGATAACCATAATCAAAACGCGACTGATATCAGTGCGCGTTTTGCATGCGGAACAGTGATTGAGTTGATGATTCGGGCGGCCAATGAAAAGATATTTATGGGAAATTGATAGGACAGGAAGAAGAACGGCGGACGGATTAGAAAGGGTCAACAACAAAGACAGCGAACGCCCTCGTCAATGATCTCGGGGTAGAAGGTACGGGTCGGTCGTTGGTGGCGTCTTGCTTCAGCAACTCAATGCAGTTGCTACAATGAAACTGACACACAAGTTACGTAGAAATAAGGCAAGAAAGGGGGGCGATTTCCACCAAAAGACCAGTTGCGTCTCGAGGCCTCGGCGTGACTATCGTATACGGAAAGCCTGTATGGTCTTGGTCAGGTGGAAGGTTATAAAATCGAGAAGGGAGCGCATAGAGACCATCCACTGGAAGTTGGAAGGAATCAAGAAAGCGATGTATCTCGACACTACAAATTATGATTTAATCAGTCACTATCCATCTAAATAGCAGGAATAAGAAAAAAAAACAAAAGGCATAAGATGTGGGGGAGAGTTGATTAGATATCATGGCATCTTTCTTTCTTTGTTTTTTTTTTTTTTTTTTTGTCGGTAATGATGGCAGTGCAATATGATCTGGCCCTTTAAATGATATTGCCATACAACCACTCGAATTCTTCAACACTGAGGGACGGAAGGGTGGGGAGGGGGGGATAAGATGAAACGGGATGTAGGGAAGAGACATGGAAGGTGATCAATGGTACCTTCAAATCAAGGAGAAATGGGAACGTCTCCAGCCTGCATTGTGGTTGCACACCATCAGCATCTCATTATTAATATTGTTTGATGACTTCTGATTGAAAAAACAAAAAAACTGAACGGAGCTGGCGCATTGCATATCAATTGGCAGGCTCCATCTAGACAAGGATCGGGAGAAATTGTAGAGGCGAGCGATAGATCCCCAAAGCCCAAAGCGACCTAGATATGAAAAGACAAGGAGACGGGGTAGAGCAACGATAGAGATATGAACGACAGGGGAAGCAGGAGCCCACCAATGCGACAATCAATCGCGAAATGGGGATGAGAAGGATGGTCCGTACAATAAGCCTGAAGAGGCATGCGGAAGATGATGCCACTCTAGTTCATGGTTCTCTGGAGGCTGAACACGGTCTGCCCTTTGTGGGTGTTCAGTACTCTCGGTACTCTGTTGGGTGGTCTGGTGTAGTGTGTTCGGTCAAATAATAATGATGGAGAGTAATGAGTGGCGGGCGGAGACCGAAAAAGTGCGGGACACACCACCAGGTCGAATCTCCAAAGTCCAAAGAGCAGACAGAAGTGGGCGCGTGAGAAAAGTAACAAGGTCGCCCAGTACTCGACCTAGGCAAGATAGGTAAAAGGTTGGTTGCAAGGTAGTATTAGCCTCGGAAGTTGAGGGGCCCTGGGATTTTGCCGTAGTTTGCCCAGTAGCGCCCTAATAGCGCCTGCAAGCCCGCCAGTTTTATGGGGAACTTCTCGTGGAGGGACGATCCCAAGAGAAGGCGATGATGGTACCTAGGTAGTACCTAACGATGTACATCCATAGATACAGTAGACGGCTATTTTTTAAGAATCTTAAAATCAGGACTGGTCCACAATTCATCTAGTATGGGCAGATCTGACCATCAGTCCTGGGGGCTGCAGGCATTATTAGAAATTAAGGCACAATGGTATGAATCATAGTAGCGTCCACTATGTACTTACTTTTATACAGTTGAGGGGTCAATCAAAAGTCAACCTTACAAGGAAGAGCAGGGTGGAGGAATGGGACTGAGTAAGAGGGTATTCATGTATAGAACTAGCCTTGCATCCCCTTTCTCTTTCATTTATTTCCAACTTGGGTCAGAGCGAGAAGACAGGAGATGCATGTTATTCTATTGAATACTTCTTTAAATGAACAGAGAATGGCCTGCAAGACGCGAGTGAAAACCCCGTCCTCTACCCAGGTAGGTATGTACTCCTTATGCAGACCTCCTGAAGGAATTCCAGTTTTGTGGGTTCTAAGCTTCTCACGTGTTATTTCATTATCTACCTATGCTCCATGTACAGAGTGAGTGACACAGTTTGGTCTGTACCCCTAAATATCTATTCATGAAGAAAAATACAAAATCCCACTAGGTAAGGTACTATCCCAAGATGTTAAGTCTACCTTAAGGTGTACTATAAACTCCTTTATTAAATTAGTTCATTTGGAAACATGCCATGGTTACAAACCCTGGTAGAACTGTGACTAAATGCTGGCTAGTCTATTAACTAGTTTATCACCATCATGAATGCTCCAAGCAATCATGTTGTAATCTGACTAAGGAATAATCAATCTAACTATTTCCATAGTCCTGATTATACTATGTATATACCTAATATATGAAGTAAATATACTCATTTTGGTGGTCTATCTTCTGATTTAATAATATGCCTAAGTACTGTTTGACCATCACTCTCTCTGATTCTCACCAATGCCTGTTGCTGTAGGATATTGTATACCTTAGTGGATATATCCATGCAAATAATATTATTATTATGTTGATTTTCTCCTGACACTCTAACCTGAAAATAACTATGAATGGTGATCATTTAAAAATAACCTACCTTACCTTCCATTATCCATGTAGGTACGGGTGCTTGTATGTATGTACGGAGTAAATTTGCTAGTATCTGACAAAAGGCCAGAGGCTTGGCAGGGGTATGGCCATATTTTTTGCTGTAGGATGATGTCTTTTTTCAACGCTAATAAAAATAAGTAACATCATGGGGTAGTAATGTCGGGTAGTAGATAGTAAGTTCGGAGCACTTGAGATCAATGGATTTACAGAAAATATTCAAGTAATGTAGATGAGCCCGTGGCGTTTAAAATGAATAATATGATAGAATTAGATACTTTGCGTGAAAAAACAATGTACTCCGTAATAATACACATGAGACGATCGATGATACTTGTCAGATACCCTCAGACTACTGAGTATTATGTGTGTGCCATGCGTGGCAATCTAATATCTGTTACTGTACTCGTAGAACATATAACTAAGATTGAAAGCAAGGGCAGCGCTTCATCTTCACATGGTCTTACATGTTCCTTTGCTCCTATCCTCTTTCTCCTTTTTTCTTTCCCCCACCTAGCAATGACTAAAGATTTAATATAGGTCACATGATATGCTGGAATTCACCATTGCTTGAACTTACTAACTAGCCCCGCCACCCCTCAAAGGTTTCAAGAGCATCGAGAACATAAATTCCACCTTCCCAATCTCCAACTGATCTATATTAGACACCCTTCAATATGGCATCAGAAATGCAAAACTCCAATCCCACCATCCTGAATGCTGCCGATCTGCCTACACGGTTGCATACCGCAGTATCCCACAAACCCGGTGCCTATGGAATCTTTACCTCTGCCATTCCATCGCTTGCGAATACAGACGACCCCTTCTCTACTAGTCCATATTCTCCAGCCGAATCTGACAGCGAAGATGAACTGATGGAAGAACCGATCGATGAACAAGAAATTTATGGTAAGTTACTTCAAGTCTCTATGCCTTGGGGGGGGGGGTCTCAGTTCTCTAACCAGCTTCTAGATCTTATATCTACCATCTCTGACCCAGAGCACCCGATTTCCTTGGGGTCTCTAGCTGTCGTTTCACTACCAGATATCCTTATTAAACCGACTCTCCCAAACGTACCGGATTCGCCTTTACGAACCGTAACCGTTCTCATAACTCCCACCATAACACACTGTAGCCTTGCCACCGTAATAGGCCTTGGTGTTCGTGTTCGCCTTGAACAATCGCTTCCACCACGATTCCGCGTCGATGTTCGAATCAAGGAAGGGACACATAGCACTGCCGATGAAGTGAATAAACAGCTAGCCGACAAAGAAAGAGTGGCTGCTGCATTGGAAAATGGAACACTGATGGGTGTTATTGCGAAGATGCTAGAAACCTGTCAATGATTACTGAGACGCCTTTGGTTTTCACAAAATCTGTCACTCATGCTAGCGACGATATAGTGTGTTGCTCCGTTCAACATGCCACTTGATGACGCAATCTTGGTGATGATACATCGTATACTGTTACGTGTGTACGCAATAATTTTTTGAATATAACCCTACAAGTACATGGAAACCTAGGATCATGATGAGCCAGATTTTCTCACTCAGGCTTCATGTTCAATTATGAATCCAAAACGCCGCTCTCCTTCAGACCTTTCCAAAGCTCCGGCTCCAGAAATTTGCTGACAGTGACATCTTCCGCCAAGCCCTTCCGCCGCCTCGTCTTCAACACAAAATCCCGAGCTGTGGCCATTGCCGGTGCCGTCTCTAACGGCTTTAGCTTGATTTCACGATCCAATGGATCACCAGGGACAACACTCCATTTATCAAATACGAGATTGATAGCGGCTTGGCCCTGTGTATGAATTCGAAGATCGGTCTCGAACCCGAATGAATCTATCACTGGAATTAAACCACGGACGGAGTAAAGTGGTGTCCCTGCGATTGGCCCATCGGAAAGAACATGCCCCCTTCTGCGGGAAAGAACAGTGTAAACCGATGCAACTGCATCTGCGGGGCCCGTCATTGTACACGAATAAATTGGCTCCATCAGGCGCGGAGATGCCATCAAAAAAGATGAATAAATGGCACGTCGGGAGGTTGGAATGATCTGCCCCCCTCCTCGGTAAATGGCTTGGTCAGCAAGGGAAACGTCTGTGAGCCTGAATTTCGTATTTCGAATCGCTGAGAGGTCGATTAGCATCAATGCATATTGGTTTAGAATGGTTGTTGGCTGTATTGGTGTTGTATATAGATTAAAGGAGAATGTGAACTTACGCTCTTCACAAAGAGGACCTTCCCTTGTGCCCCAACTGAAGCCTTGTGTAATAGAGTCTCTAACAGTCCCAAGAAGCTTCTTATCCACCTGGGACGGTAACGTATCGTCCTGTAAGACATTGGGTCCCATTTCGTCTGGTCCGAAAGCCCAGATACTTCTGGCGGCAAGTTTATCCCAGTCGTACCTTTCTTCAAAGAACCGCGCGACTCTTCGAATTGGATCCTTGATGTTGACTTTGCCGCTCTCAATGTCTTCCGCGATACCATCATCCAAAGGTTCTGCAATCATAGTAATCTTGTTCTTTTTGTTTGGCGTGATCGAATAGCACATTATGGCAGATGTCTCAACGACAGTTTCACAGAAGCGGGTGACGGGATCTGAAACCTTGATTTCCATTTCTGAATATAGTTTTCGGAGGTCATGAAGCACGCAGTCCATATAAAGTTCACCTGTTCCCAGAACAACATGTTCACCCGATTCCTCTACCTTAGTGGAGATAAGAGGATAGCTCTTGTTGATCTTACGCAGACCATCCAGCATCTTTGGTAATTCGGATGGATTGACAGGCTCGACAGCAACTTTAAAAACAGACTCCGTCATATGCCGAACTGGTTTGAAAATGTATGCGTCTTCATCGTCTTCAAGTTTTGGGGGCACAAGAGTTGCGCTCTTGACAATGGAATTGTCTACACCACCCAGAAGCACCCAGTTCCCAGCAGGGACACCACTGGTCGGGATATTGTAGCAGGTCTCGGCAATCCATGTATCAGAGATGGTGGCAAGCACCATGTCTTCCTCATCATCGGGCGTGTAACCTTCGCCTAGCACTCGTACTTGTTGAGCAGGCCGGGCCGTTCCACTCATAATCCTTCCAAGTGCATGGAAGCTAGATGCATCTGGGCTACTGAAAAGTTTGGTGACATGGATAATAAGTGGGCCATCTGAATCACATGCAGCCATAGCAGCTGCTACTTTGGTGTCGAGAGGTCCAGTATAGTATCGTTCCAAGCTCCTTGGTGCTCCATCCACCGGGGAGGGCACATGCTGGACGATCATATCCACAAACCCAGCTGCAGGACCAAAAAATTGTTCACAGACCAAGTTAAGCAGGACCTTTGCATCAGACTTGAGCTGCGAAGGCTTCAAGTTGATGCCAACGCTTGCAAGCGTATCCTTCAAGTCTTCTGGACTTTCACTAATCGTGTGGGAATAAAGTTTGTAAATAGGCTCGAGAACAAACTTCACAAAGGTCCGTTTGGAGTTTTCCTCAACACCTTTTCGTGTAAATTTTCGGCTTCTTGGGTTGAAAAAGATATCACCCCAAAGGCGCACAGCAAAATCGGCAGTATCGATTTGAGGGTAGGTCTCAGCGTACATTTTAGCAAAAGATTGTAGCGTGAAACACCAGCCCATGGAAGTAGAAGCGAAGGCGACATTACCCTTCTCTGGACTAAGTCTTCTTCTTTCACCCTGTCCGGGCAAAGTATTCTCGATAACAGTGTTGACCTCTTCGATAACGTGCTTCAATTTAAAGTATGCATCATTCGGCGGAAGTTTGAGCTCTAGAATCAGCCTATCCATTTTGTTAACCACCATGGTCAAGGGAAGATCCTCTAGGATAGCATGTTTGATGATTTGTTCGGTATTTGCCTGAACACCCTCGACGACATCAACAACGAGCACCACACCATCGGCCAGCCGTACTGAGGTAGCCACCTCATCCACGAAATTGACATGTCCTGGAGTGTCAAGAATGTTAAAAAGATGAGATTTTTCCTTGGTTCCCTGTAGAACCAAGCTCATGGGAGCCGACTTGATTGAGAGGCCGCGCTCTCTTTCCATGAAGTGGACATCGGTATACCGAAGTTGTTCTTCCTTCCGTCTGCCTCTTTGCTTTTCTAGACGCTCGCTCAAATCGTGTGTTTGTTTGACTAGCATATCCATGAAAGCTGTTTTTCCATGGTGTAGATGCCCCACAAGAGCAATATTCCTTGTTTGATCAGGGAAATTAAGCAAATCTGTCATGAACTCCCGGGAGTAAAAAACAGGCGGTAGCTCGACTTCTTCGATCGCGAATTTCTTTTGCTGTACTGGAGCAATGATAGGTTCGGAGAGTGGCTGTGCATCTTCCTCCTGTACCAGAGTTTCGACATCTTCACCGTATACTTGTTGTGCGCTGGGGTAATACTGCTTGTCTTCGTGTAGGACGACAGCGTTGGAAGGACCATCTGTAGCAGACGTTAGCACTGGCGAGTCCCAACCTCCTCAAAACGAAGCAGTATATACCGTCAGTTTCCATTGGTTGCTGACCATTGAAATCATCCTCGTCTTCGTTCTCGTCCTCAAATGCTTCGTCGAAAGCAAAAGCTTGCGGTTTTACTTCATCATGCTGGACTTCCTCGTCCGAGTCTGCGGCCTCCCCAATGTAGTTGCCAAACCTAGGAGCACAGTCAATAAGAATTCCGGATTATTGTGGAAAAAAGGAGTTTCTGGATAGCATACTCGTCGTAAAGATCATCCATTGTGTTGTTGAGGATGGTAAGTCGGATTATCGAGTCTTGCGCATTCCTTTTTTTCCTTGCCTGAAAGCTGCTAAGAACCAGGGTCGCCGAATGGTCCAAGCTTGGCATTGTTACGCACCAACAGTAATCACACCCCACCGCTCCGATAGCGCTTACTGTACTACGGTACATTAAAGAAGTATTTATTTCAGCTCGACCCAGTTCATTTCACTGTTTCTGAAGAATCCTCAGGTATTCATTGAGGCCACGCTGGAATTTATACCGCAGACTTTGTATCGAACTCTTCTTTCTGAGTTTCTTTTCAACAATCGTCTAAATATTTTTCTCCCATCATTGCCCCTCCGAAGTAAACTAATCTGCGACTCTGGCACCCACCATGTCTTCGCTCCCTCCAGTATACATTGTCTCTTCTGCCCGAACTCCCGTGGGCTCTTTTCTGGGGTGAGGCTGTATGGTACCTCTGAATTCGAACCCATACTAATAGGTCGGTCTCTTCCAGGTCCCTTTCCAGCTTGACTGCCCCACAGCTCGGTTCCCATGCCATCAAAGGTGTGCTGACGCCCTCTGCCTAATGATGGTTTCTGGTTATTCTAACAGGATGGGACATAGCTGCTGTTGGTAAAGCTGAAGGTATCAACCCTTCGGACGTTGAAGAAGTTTTTTTTGGTAATGTTCTCTCTGCCAAGTAAGTACTGTATCTACACATTTACAAAGACTACCCAACAGGGCATGTGCTTATCATTCTCGAATCAGTGTTGGGCAAAACCCTGCCAGACAATGTGCTCTTGGTGCTGGTCTGGCTGAGTCGACTGTTTGCACTACCGTTAACAAGGTTTGCGCCTCTGGTCTGAAGGCAATCATCCTCGGAGCGCAGACAATCTTGACTGGAAATGCCGACATTGTCGTGGCTGGTGGAGCTGAATCTATGTCGAACGCTCCTCACTACCTCCCGAACCTCCGCACAGGTGCCAAGTATGGCCACCAAAGCTTGGTGGATGGTATCATGAAGGACGGATTGACCGATGCAGGGAAACAAGAACTCATGGGGTTGCAAGCCGAGGAGTGCGCCCGGGACCATGGCTTTACTAGGGAGGACCAAGATAACTACGCCATTCGCACATACGAAAAAGCCCAAGCTGCACAGAAGGCCGGTCTTTTTGACGATGAAATCACACCTGTCGAACTCCCCGGGTTTAGGGGTAAGCCAGGTGTCACTGTGTCGCAAGACGACGAACCAAAGAATGTGAGAACAACTCTCCACAATATTATATTATGTTTATCTATGCCGTTCTTATCAGACTGATATATGTATTTTTACAGCTCAACCCTGATAAACTTCGAGGCATCAAGCCGGCGTTTGTTCCTGGCTCGGGAACCGTGACGGCTCCTAACTCATCTCCTCTCAATGATGGTGCCGCAGCTGTCGTTCTTGTTTCAGAAGCCAAATTGAAGGAGCTTAACCTTAAGCCTGTTGCGAAGATCAGAGGCTGGGCAGATGCTGCTCAACAGCCTAGCAAGTTCACAACTACACCATCCCTCGCAATCCCCAAGGCTCTCAACCACGCGGGACTGACGCAAGATGCCGTTGATGCTTTCGAAATCAATGAAGCATTTAGCGTCGTTGCTCTTGCTAACATGAAGCTACTTGGCCTTTCCGAAGAAAAGGTCAATATTCATGGTGGTGCAGTGGCTGTTGGTCATCCTATTGGCGCTAGTGGTGCTCGTATCGTAGCCACTTTGCTTGGTGTCCTAAAGGCAAAGAATGGCAAGATTGGTTGCGTTGGAATTTGCAACGGAGGTGGCGGTGCCAGTGCGCTGGTGGTCGAATCGCTTCTCTGAATGCGAGGCGGTCTTTTCCCAGCTTTTTGCCATTAGCTCTTAGGAAATCCATTATCTTTACTATTACTATAGAATTTCCACATATATTTGAGCAAGTTAGTCGTGGGATAATGATCTACCTGTAAAGTGTTGGCTGCCGTCACATCCTCATTTACATGCATGGACGGATGGACAAGAATACTTAAATATACACAGTACATTCTATCATGCCTAGCATACCAAGCAGATTGTGCCATTGTGGATACTCCGGCCGCGGAGGAGTCGTAAGGTCCCATTATTTCCTGCATGGCGCTACTATCTGATTGATGTCCTTCTTCGACCGTCATGGATGGATGTGATGCAATGCTTATTTGCATTTCGTCTTCGGGGAGCTTTTCCATGGGTCGAGCTACAAAGATCTCCTTTCGGCCACGCCTTTCCGGAATCCCCATACCTACCTTACCTCTTGATTAAAAAAAAAGGGAAGGGGGCAGCGATAATAAGAATGATTAGTGATTGGCTTTAACTAGAAAAGCCAGTATAAAACCTACCTACCTACGTAGTAGTATATTATTCTGACCAGCTAGTCGGTAAACTCCAATGACAATACATAGATTTCCCCAACCCCGAGCCATGTTTCTTTATTTGGGGGTATAAAATTAGTAACCCCAAGCCATTTTTCAGAGTGAACACAAATAGCAATATATACATGTTTGAAAAGGGACAAAGCGCAGCAGGGCTCCTGACATCGATCAGGTCCTAAATTCTTAGGCAAAAGCACCGACAAAAGCCATCAGCACAGCACCACCTGCAACCGCAATACAAGCTTCGATGCGCCGCCGGCCCCTGAGTGTCTCGTAGCTCGACTCGCTGAGAAAATCTTCTGCAAGAAGTTCTACGAGTCCTGCAAAAAGCAAAAGACCACTGCTAATTGCGTTTGTAATCCCAACCATGAGTAGACCTGTGGTGCTTGCTGGATCATAGAGGTTATGCAAAACTAGCCCAATAGCTTGTCCGATAGGGGTAGTAGTGCCATAGGCAAGTGACATTAGCCACGGTTTCATGGAGGATGGCGAGAAAAGGTCTGGGATTAGTGAGGCTATACGTGAGCCGAGGGCAAACCCTTCAAAAGTCTGGTGGAAGCAAATGGCGACAAGAAGAACCACAAACGATGTCCCTGTTGCAACACTGAGGGCCATTCCAATGAAAATGCTGTGAAAAAGGATGCCGGCCTCCAGAAGAAGACACTGGAGTAGCTGACGCTGTGGGTTCTGAAGAGACAGCGCGGGGTCTGCCTGTCGATGTAATTGATGACGAACATGAGAATGTGACAGAGAGCGATGAGACCGGTCTTCATTATGATTAGAACCTCTATCTGTGTAAGGGTCTAAACCCTCAAGGTCGGTGTCGTCGTTCTCCTCTTTGTCTGTACTGGTGTCTTTCAAGCGTAGCTGGGAAGATTCATCTGTAGAAACTCTGGATAGGGAGCCAGATGCCTGTGATATTATATTCACGTGGTTTTCGTCTCGCATTCTTTCAAGAGGAATATTGCCCAATTCGTGTTGCCTATCGAGTTCTGAATAGTTGGCCCTCTCATCCCGGTACTCACTGGAAGAATCCCGCCCAACGTCGCTGATTAGATTGTCGTACTCGCTCCCGTGCACATGCTTTGCTCCTTTCATGGCAAAAAACATCTCTACACAAACAACAACGAAAACTGAGATCATGGCAACAAACCCCGCCATGGCACGATAACTTTCACTCCAGAATCGAGGCAAACAAGGATCCGTCAGCGAGACAAACGCAGTAGGAAGCAAGTGCACAAAGGCCGTGGCGATCAGTACTCCAGTTCCAAAATGTCTTGAGATGAAGAGGAAATGGCGTGGTATTGGAAGGCGCGGAAATCGACGGGCGAGAACTGGGAATGAACATGCTACAAGATAATACGGATTAGCAACCAACCAACCAGTCATTATCAGAGGGTCCAGGTTACCTAATGTGCTCAAGACAAGTATGAGAAATAGAGCCATCACATGTATTGGGGTGTTGTAGGCACCCCGCTCCCTTGAGCCACATGCTGCTTTCCCAGTACCTGAGTCTCGAATTTCACTTCGTCGTGCAAGCTCGGCTCTCAGAATGGTATCAGGTATGTCAGATATTGTTGGAATGCTGCGTCTGGAGGCTGTGTATGGGTTGTCAATGGAATTGCAAAAGAAAAAAGAAAAAAAAAAAATAAGAGGAGTGACGTCCTCAGACTGGTTGGTATTGCTAATCCCAAGTCTTGATGGCAATCCTATGGTATTTAGACAATAGAACGCTAGGAACCAAGAACTCACCAGAAATCCCCATATAAGTCTCTTGCCCTCCGAAAGGGAGGTTCATCGTCGGCTAAAATTTGTATGATTGTGGGTTCGAGCAACATCCATGACCTAGGGGGTACGCTTCAAATAGCAGCGGAGTTGGGCCAAGGCGAGGTGTCGTACGGAGCTTGCGGTTGGCTCGGCCAGCCGTGAAAGTCGTCAAAACAGATTGAATGGCGAACACTATTATTGACTTAGGATTCGGTGACTGGATTGTAATAGAGATAAGGAGCTTTAAGATAGGTGTATTCAACTCCCGAAATCGAAGGCATGTGGTGGGAAAAAGCAGCAAATATGAGCCAACCGAACACGCGTTAAATTGTTGTTGATAACAATCTTATCAATCAGTGCCATCTCACGCTGCGCCAAGTTTGAACCTAGGCGCGAATTGTGATCTACATACATGAAAGGACATCTTGGAACCAGGACTCATAGATACAGTTGACAATACAAATGCCTTGCCATAGGAATTTAATATCCGCGTGCTACTATATCCCCAGTTTCTAGCACCAGAGTTTCTTAAAACAACCAAAAAACATGGGAGGGATAATAACTGATATACTGACATGGGAAGTTCCAAATATATTGGTGGAAAAGGCAAAGAGAAGTGATGGAAAGAGCTCGATATATCAAGTATTAGATGGAGCTGCCGTCTGCACATAATACTGATGTTATACGTATTGAATTCTTGTAGACCATTCTCTATCTGCTTCTCAACTTAGTCCAACCACTGGTTCCCTTCAGTCGGCTAGTACTGGTACGCTCATTTAAAGCCTCCGGACCGAGACTAGTATCACGTTCCGGCGCTCTTGTTTTCGTAATCGTTGTATGGTTGGAATTATTATTATTCGGTCCGAGTTCGGATGTTTCTCGAATAGGAGATGGAGGCGGTTCCTGACTTTCATCATCCCACTCCCTTTTCTCCAATAACTCCCATTCGGCACTTGCCATTTCCCCCAATAATGTTGATTTAAGCTTGTCAACGATCTTGGTTGGTGTTGGCAGTCTCCACGTTCGCATGAAGTCTGTACCTTCCGAAGCTCCCAGGAATGAATGAACAGTGCCATGTGAATAGTGCCCTAACATGGGAAATGATTTTGTTCGTTGGATGATGGTTTTAGGGGGATCTTTGGCAGCCTTTATTTTTGACTGTATATCACGGCCAGCAAAAGCTTTCATGAAAGTCGAGGCTTGTGCGGGAGGAGCGACTAGTAATTGCCACATATTCTTCCCGATGTCACAAACTTCTTCCCATGAATCTGATGCCAGATTCAATCCTTGGGTTCGGCATAGCCAAGAAACGTTCCAAGCTAACAGCGTAACCCCTTCTAGAAAGAGAGCATATGTTCCAGAATCCTCCCTGGCCAGCTTAGGAAGATTTTTATCTATGCAAAGAGGCCGCGGCCGAGGAAAATAAGAGCGTGAGTCTCCTGCCCGAGATGCACTTGGACTTGAGGACAACGACTGGAAAGGAGAAGCTCTCAATTCGAATTCCCGTGAGAGGTAAGACCCAGAAGGTGCATATATGGTAGGTGTAGGGTAGTTTCTATGAGGTAGTGTTATTTCCGCAGGAAGCCTCAGGGACAAATAGTGTGATATCAGTACGAGGAGGTAGGCAATGTTGGACAAAGAGGTGGATATTTGAGTTGGTGTAGAGCCTATATTCAAAATTAGTATTCTGCAATAACAGGACAAAAGTAAATATGACTTTCCATTCATATCTCTCAAATCTAGGACAGGCACATCTCCGATTAGGAAGGTCTCTTTTAGTTCATCGTCTTTTTTCCTGATTTTTTGCCGCAAGCCGTAGATATTGGCAGCCTCCCGACAGAGGAATATTCGAGACTCGGCCGTTTTGTTATGCAATGAGTGCCAAAGGTGATCCGTCCTTTTGATGTTGTTCTGAATCCCAGTCAACAATGCAGTCTCCCGCTCTGCAAGTTGATATCTCGCAGATTCGGCGTCAGAATATCGTCGTGCGAGAGTTAATTTCCGCTGGGATATTTCGAGGCGCTTGTCCTTAATCTTAGACCTCAAGATCTTAATCTTGTCAGCCATCACTCTTGTCTTTGCGGACGATTCCGCTTGTCTGCTGGTAAAAGTTTGGATAGCCCAGCGACGTCTAGTAGTTGCATCATCATCATTTTGTTCTTTTTGGCCCAATGGCACACTGCTTGGTTTGAAGTGTGCTGCTTGGATATGCCCATAGGCCGCTGCATTCCCGATTTGTTGCCCTGCACTTTCCTTCTCTAATAGCACCCTGGCATTTTCAATTCGTAGTTGGTAGAGCTCAGTGCGGGCACATGTTGGGCAATAAAACGGCAGCCGCGGATCAGGAGAACGAGAGCATATGTGACAACTCATTTCAAACAATATGTAAGATTCTCTCAGTTATAATGATAGGTGGGGTTTTCAATTCCATGGCCCTTCAGCGGTTGGCTGAATGCAGGTCAAACTGCCTGTCTGACTCGGTTACCATGTATCTCAACGGGATAAACGTCATAGAAGCAGTGATGTCTCATGGCTTGACCGAGCAATATCTAGAAACAAAAGAGTATTGAGAATAACATTTTCTGTTTGATCATCGTGGGGAGGAGTGAGAGGCTCTCGACGTCCGCGGTGAACGTCACCTGATAACGTGACATGCTGCATCCATATGGGAAGTTGGGAACATCTCGTAAGGCACGGTCGCGTCCCGATTGGCCGATCACGGGACAATGATCCATGATCTGCTAGGTAGTGCCACAACAACCTATTACAGTATTACTACTACCTTGGGTAGCCCTCCGTAGCCAGGTATATCTTTATCTATCTACTTAACTGTCAGTGATGTCTCCTGCTAACAAAGTCTGGACAGCCCCAATTTGCTCGATTTTATCCTACTTGATCTCTTAAGTTGCTCGGACTTTTTAAGAACCAAAGTCGGGCTTGGAAAGCCAATGTTGGAGGCCTCAACCAGATAGATGAGTTATGGATTCTGCTGGCAGAAACCACGGTGAAAGTCCACCTTCTCATCATGAGCTGTACAGAGTACCCCAAGAGGAGAGTATTTACCAATCGGCCAAATTAGAACATGTGCCGCGGATCGTCGAAGATCTGAGAGATTACAACTGGGAACAACTCCAGGAAAAGTACGCAACTGCCATGGAAGATCACGGCAGATCCGAAGAAACCCTGCGAGCTCAAACTGCAAAGCTGCTTGAGGTATCCTAGACGTGCTCCTTTTCCAAAGTCACATTCTGACCGCAGCCTTAGGTCTTCATGGCTTGGTCTCAAACGACTGTTGATCGCGATGAGAGTAGAGCCCTGAAAAGGTCAGACCTGCAATTCCCTCTATTAAGTTCCTGAGACACGATTTAAAGCGACTGACTGGGTGTATAGGTTCAAAACGCAAATGCAACATGTGCAGAACTCCGAGGAAGAATTAGAAAATAAGAGGAAGCATTGTACGGCTAACAGACCTTCAACAACCCCAGGTAGACCTCGTTTCTGACTATGTTTTTCCTTTCCATAGATATCGAAGTTGTGAGAGCATTTCAGACTGCCCTCTCATTGCTGAATAACCGTGCCAACTCTTGATTGCATCCGGCGGGAATGCAATGTTGGGTACCTTTTGGTGGGGGTTGCTTTTCCTTATCTTATTTGCCCGATGGATCAATGCCATGAAAGAACACCCTGCTTTTACTACTGTGATTGGGCGTAAAATCTCGGCGTACAGCTTAAATCTATATTAATTTCTAAACTAGTCGAGCTAACGCTGGTCGATTTGAAAATTGCCCTAAAAGACGGCTTTTTCCTAGAACCTCCTTAGTAGATTGATCTATCTGGGTGAACTACTGTCACGAAGAGTATCTTTCGGATAGCCTAGCATGACTGCCACGCCGTTCATACTTATTTACAGGAGGGCCAGTGGATAGCACGGGTATTCATTTCCTTGAAACGCTTAGGTTTGATCGTAGATTTGCGAATGCCCATTTGAATGAGTGTGCATTTTATATAAGCCTAACTTAAAATAACCATAGAATGCTTGACTCCCTAATCCTTCTTACATGAAGTGCGATTTTTTTTCGGCAGTTATCGTCAGAATATGAAAAGAAACCCACCGAGGGGTAGCAATGTACTAGCATAATCAATTAAAAAAGGAGAGGTATGCAAAGAAGGAGGAGTTAAACGCCCCACTCCCATCAGTTTCGCGGTGTGTAGCTACCATTGTGCATGTCAATTCTGCCAGTGATGTCCTGCCAGGTGGCATCGAAGCGTCTCCCAGTGCTTGCTAACAAGCCTTCCTCCTCAGCTTCTTCGGCGTCCTCGTCAAGCTGCCGCTCATCCAATCTTGGTGAGCGAAAAAGAGAAGTGATGAAAAGAACAATATATACACCTGTTTGCATAGAATGTAAGTTTCTAGGTATCTAAATACCACACATAACATCTGCTGGGATGAACTTACCAAGAAAAGCGAACTGAGCCCAGAAGAATACAATACCGAAAAACGGGAAATTCATCGTCACTCGATTGAGGAATGTACTAGAAATGCTTGGCGTACATACTAGTTTTGCCGCTGGGTTGTCTGCCAACTCCGAACATGGTTTGATAAGGTGTCTGTTGTTTGAGCAGTCAGGTTTTTCACTGACAGAATCAGGAACACGATCGCAGAATGTTTGCGGTCCAAATGTTGCGTATTGGGGTGCAACGATCATGGATACCGAGTAATTCAAAGCCAGTATAATCAACATCAACATAGCCGTCGCTAAGAGGAGAGCTTGGGGAGACGTGTGGCCTTTTCTGATTTGAAAAATTTTGATCCACAAGAATCGAATGCCAACAACAGCTATGCCAACAACAGAGCTACAAAAGAACAGCAGCACAAGAAGGGTGAAAATAGCATAATCCACTGGGAATACCTTGGCAGATTGAACGAAAACCCAATTGGCGGGGTTAAAAACATTAACGTGTCCAAGTATATATCCACAACGATGCTTGCAAATAGAATTTTTAGCCTTGTCGATTGCTGTCAGCAGCATGGATATCCACGTTGCCAGTACAATAAGAAGCAAAAGAATACCGCTTATGAGCTTGAACGGCCGAAAGACAGCGGCGATTTTGAGCCACACTTTCACAAACCAACTTCGACCTTTTCCTTGAGCCTCTTCAACCAAGCGTTGGCGCCGAATAAGAGTCCTTTCCTCCCGGACAAGAGTGTCTAACTGCCTGCGGTCTTTAGAAGGCAAAAGCTCTGGATTTCCTCCACAACGACCTTCTAATTGGCGCTGCCGCTCGCGATTTGATTCAAGTTGCGTAACTGTAGTCGCCTTCAAAGTCGGACTCGAAACTGAAGGAGCCGTCTTGATTAGACTCATTGGAAGGAGGGCAAGACCACAAGAGGTGTACAAGGCATATAGACATAGCCCGATGGTCGTTAGCAGCCCCAGCGCAAATGTTAGCGCACGCTCGCCATCTGCATTAAAACTGATTAGGCCCAGTAGAGTGAAGAGAGTCATTGAGAACCCAACAGCATTCTGGAATACTTACGATTTTCAGTCAACAGTTTTTTAAAATAATCCATACGCTGGCTGTCTTTGTTGGAAACAGGAACAAAGAATCCAACAAGGAACAACACAACCACAATCGCAACAAACGAGATGGTATATTTGAGAGCACCCCAGAATCGACTTCCGACGCTTTCTTCTCTTGTTTCGGCAGCAACTTCGTCATATTCTTCGCACCAGAAATAGGTAAACGGAATCACGAGTAAACAAAGTAAGGCATCCAAAGAATAAAGGAAATAATACGCAACTGTTAAGGAAAACGTGATCTTGTCCACTTCATTTTGGGTAACCCAATCCTTCCGCCGGCCTAATGCCGATGAAGTTGTGGATGATACGAGGGCGATGTCAACTGGGAGTAAGAGAACAGTTGCAAGAAACGTGGTGATGGCAAAGATGCAGGTCAAAGTTACAGATGGGGAACGATCCCGAGGGGTTTGGTATATGTAGATGAAAACAGAGGCGACTGTAATCAAAATGACTATTGCGATTGCATAGACTACCCAGATCAGGGACGTCTGTAGAAGGGCCATGCTGAAAGAACGGTTTCACATGAGACCTCAGGTCAGGTCAAACTAATAATTACTGTATGACAAGAGAATTAACTGCCTGGTATGTGGTATGATCGGGAAAAGGATGGGTGGGAAACGAACACTAAGAATAAAAGAGATGATTAATTATCCATGGAAACCAAGCATAATGCTGAGACAAAAAGAAACCCTTGATTACGTCTTAAATCCCCAAGTAGCCATCGTCAACTTTTCGAAGCGTATTACATCATCGAACGACTGAGTGTCAAGGGTGGGTCACGTGTTAGATTTGTTGTTGGCTTCCGTTTGGCTGACGTCCATGGGCAGATGAGCAAGACCGTGGACCTCTCGATTGTTTATTTCCACCAGGTCAAACCTTTTCATCTCGGCATTAATTAGCCGTTTATTTTCTTTCCCCCTATCATTCATTTTTTTTTTTTGGGAAATGGTTGCCCTTGTTTTTGTCAGTTGAAGAAACTGGGTTTCCGGGGAGAGTCAAAAAAAAAAATCACCTAATTCAAATCGTGATACCCAAATGCAGTGTTATACCGAGTTGTTGCCTCCCACGGGGGTAACTCATGCTTTGAATGTTCCGTTCATCTCCGCAACAGCCAACAATCTGGTGATTGTTAGGACATCTCTTCTTCAGATATTTTCTCTACTCACAATTACTTCTCGACCGGATGGCGGAATCACCGAAAATCGGTTGACATCGCCAGACCAATTAGAGATCACGAAGCTGGTCCTGGAGAGAGAATATACTCTTCCTGGAACAGTAAGTGGTCTTAGCCGGGTCAAGGTTTTAAACACCAAGTGTGGCGGAGAGGCTATCTTACTTGCTTTTCGAAATGCGAAACTTAGCTTGATCGAGTGGGATCAGGAGCGTCATAGCATTTCCACCATCTCCATCCATTATTACGAGCGGGATGATTTGACCCGTAGCCCCTGGGTACCTGATTTGAGCAGCTGTGGCAGCATCCTCAGCGTGGACCCAAGCAGTAGATGCGCAGTCTTCAATTTCGGAATACGAAACCTGGCCATTCTTCCTTTTCATCAACCGGGAGATGATTTGGTGATGGATGATTATGATTCTGATCATGGCGATAAGCACGCTGATCAAGTTGCTGATATGGAGAAAACCAAGGATGGCACGGCGCATCAAACCCCGTATGCCTCATCTTTTGTCTTGCCATTGACTGCATTGGATCCGTCTCTACTCCACCCAATAAGTCTTGCCTTTCTATATGAATATAGGGAGCCGACATTTGGCATTTTGTATTCGCAAGTTGCGACCTCCAATGCCCTTCTTCATGAACGAAGGGATGTTGTTTTCTATGCCGTTTTTACCCTAGATTTGGAACAGCGAGCCTCTACGACGTTACTCTCAGTCTCTAGACTACCTAGCGATCTGTTCAAAGTGGTAGCTCTTCCACCTCCTGTCGGAGGTGCCCTACTCATTGGCTCCAACGAGCTTGTGCATGTTGACCAAGCGGGCAAAACAAACGCGGTTGGAGTTAATGAGTTTTCTAGACAAGTCTCGACTTTTTCAATGTCAGATCAATCGGATTTGGGCCTACGCCTTGAAGGATGTGTTGTTGAGCGGCTTGGCGATAATAATGGAGACTTACTTTTGGTGCTTTCAACTGGGCACATGGTTCTTGTTGATTTTAAGTTGGATGGGAGATCGGTGTCTGGCATCTCAGTCCACTCTCTCCCTGCAAACGCTGGTGGAAACATCATGAAATCTGCTGCTTCCTGCTCGGCTTTCCTTGGCAATGGAAGAATATTCTTCGGGAGCGAGGATACGGATTCAGTACTTTTAGACTGCCCTTCTTCCCCGTCGAACACCAGAAAGTCCCGATCTCAAACCAAACACATTGGAGATGACCATAGCGACCTTTCCGACGAAGACCAGACCGAAGATGATGCTTACGAAGATGATCTCTATTCTACAGCGTCTGAAATGCCAACAGGAGGTCATCGCTCATCTACAGAAACGTCTACTTTACGATTGTATAGTTTTCGAGTAAATGACACACTCTCTAATATCGGCCCACTCAGAGACATAGCATTGGGTAATTCCTTTGCAAGTATCGCAAGCCAAAAACCTCACCTCGAGGATACCTCTGTCAGCCTGGAGCTAGTAGCTTCTCAAGGTTCCGATACAAGTGGCGGTCTAGTGGTGATGAAACGTGAAATTGACCCTCATGTGATCACCTCCATGAAAGTTGATTCAGTCGACTGTGTCTGGGCAACCTCTGTTGTTCATGGGAAGGGTGCCTTATCCAATGTTTCTGAACAAAAGGAGAAGGAAGAATGCCGTCAGTATGTGATAGCCTCGAAATTGAAGCATATGGATAGGGAAGAATCAGAAGTCTTTTTGGTGGATGGGCAAACCCTGAAGCCTTTCAAGGCCCCTGAATTCAACCCAAACGAGGATTTTACCATCGACGTTGGGACACTGGCAGGTAGAAGCCGGGTTGTCCAAGTTCTGAAGAACGAGGTCAGAAGCTACGATAGTGGTGAGTCACCGGTATGAATATTGTATCCAGCAAAGCCCCTGACAAATTTAGAACTGGGACTGGCCCAAATATATCCAGTATGGGACGAAGACACCAGCGACGAACGAATGGCCGTGGCCGCGAGCTTCGTGGATCCTTATCTCGCAATCCTTCGAGACGATTCAACTTTACTGCTCCTTCAAGCTGATGAAAAAGGAGATCTTGATGAAGTGGTGCTCAGTGAAGATATATCCACTAAAAAATGGCTCTCTTCCTGCGTATACTATGACCATAATGGGTGCTTTTCCATGGTTGATCCAGCCTCGGAAAAATCATCTCGCCGCACTGTACTCTTGTTCTTATTGAGCTCGGACTGCAGGCTATTCGTAAGTCTCAAGGAACCTTTGAAATTTGCGACTCCAAAGCTTATGAAAATGGTTAGATGTTCGAATTACCTGACCAGAAGTTACTGTCAGTCATCGAAGGTGTCGATTGCTTGCAGCCTATTTTGTCCAATGAACAGCCAAAACGATCAGCCACGCGGGAGATTTTGACGGAAGCTATTATCGCGAATCTTGGAGATTCATGGAGCAGTTCGCCTTATCTAATTGTAACTTCGCCCCTACCCTCCATTCTCCAGCGTGATTCATATTCTCTGCGAGGCGTTAAGCATTAAGCATCTAACCATGAAAAAAAAAAAAAAACAGTTCCGAACTGAAAGTGACGACCTTGTGGTATACAAGCCATTCTTAACCAGGGCAGGAAATGGGGGGTTTATATCTTTTTTAAGAGAGACTAATCACCATTTACCAAGAGTTTCTTCTAACATCAGCGAGACCAGGTCTCGCGAACAGCGAACAAAGCCACTGCGCATATTACCTAACATTTCGGGCCTCAGCACCGTATTCATGCCCGGAAACTCGGCGAGCTTCATTTTCAAGACGTCGACAAGTTCTCCACATGTCATACGCTTGAGGGGAGAACCTGTACAGGGATTGAGCGGCCTTGATTCAGCTGGTCTTGGATGTGATCGAGGCTTTGTTTATGTGGATTCGAAGGTACTGCTATATCCACCGCCTGCTGTATTCCACAACTAAACAGGTCTTCTAGGAGATTATCCGTATATGCCAATTGCCCCACGGGACTCAGTTTGGATATCCATGGACTTTGCGAAAAGTTCATATTGGGGAGCAGATTGACCACCTTACTTACTCTTCTTCATCTGAAACATATGTTCTTGGGACTAGTTATAAGGAAGATTTCAAATTGCCTGAAGATGACGAGCTACACCCCGAATGGCGCAGTGAAGGTTTGTCTAAGACCTTTCCCCCCCTCTCCCTTTTTACTGGGATAAATGCTGACAAATTTCTAGTGATCTCGTTCCTCCCTGAAGTGGATCAGAGCTCGCTGAAAATTGTCAGCCCGAGGACATGGTCTATCATTGATAGGTATGGATCAAAACAACATTTGAAAGTATTGAAGTGCAACTGACGTCCTAGAAGCTACCCATTAGGGCCTGCTGAGCATGTGATGGCACTGAAAAACATAAATCTCGAGGTTTCTGAAAATACGCATGAACGTAGGGACATGATTGTTGTGGGAACCTCATTTGCTCGGGGTGAGGATATACCATCGCGGGGATGTGTGTATGTTTTTGAGGTTATCAAAGTGGTCCCGGATCCCGAGAAACCAGAAACGGACCGCAAATTAAAGCTCATGGGAAAAGAGCTGGTTAGAGGTGCGGTGACAGCATTGTCGGGAATCGGTGGACAAGGCTTTTTGGTTGTAGCTCAGGGTCAAAAGTGCATGGTCAGAGGCTTGAAAGAAGACGGCAGTCTTCTGCCTGTCGCTTTCATGGACATGCAGTGTTATGTCAATGTGGTCAAAGAGCTTAAGGGTACTGGGCTGTGCATTTTCGGGGATGCTGTCAAAGGGCTTTGGTTTGCGGGTTATTCGGTAATAAAATCAACGCTCCCAAACCCTATCATTCATTCAACAACAATTCATCTAACTGCTTTTGTCCCCAGGAGGAACCGTATAAAATGAGTCTCTTCGGAAAGGACACTGAATATCTCGAAGTTATTGCTGCGGATTTTCTCCCCGATGGCAATAAGCTGTTCGTTTTGGTTGCCGATAGTGACTGTAATCTCCATGTCCTGCAATATGACCCGGAAGGTAAGTTTAAAAAAGCAGGGTTAATTGTGATTTTAAACTGACCCAAATAGACCCGAGATCCTCGAATGGCGACAGATTGCTGAGTCGAAGTAAATTTCACATGGGTCATTTTACGTCGACATTGACACTATTACCGCGCACTATGGTCTCTTCGGAGAATGAGATACCTGAACTAGATGAGATGAACGTCGATATACCTATTGCACTTCACCAGGTGCTCATTACGACTCAGAGTGGATCTGTGGCTATTGTGACATCTGTATCGGAAGATTCTTATCGCCGACTGTCAGCTCTACAGTCTCAGTTGACAAACACGCTTGAGCACCCGTGCGGATTAAACCCTCGGGCTTTTCGGGCGGTCGAGAGTGATGGCGCTGCCGGAAGAGGCATGGTTGATGGAAATTTGTTGTGTCAGTGGTTGGACCTGAGCAAACAACGTAAGATGGAAATCGCCGGCCGGGTAGGCGCTAATGAGTGGGAGATTAAGGCCGATCTTGAGGCTATTAGTGGGGGCGGACTTGGATACCTGTGATATGATAGCATCTGGGTTGTCGAGAGTTCAAATAGTAATGCTATCAAGATATCCCACAGGCAAAAGATGGGACATGTGGAGGAGGCCAAAGGCACGTTAAGCAAGCCAATGAATTATGTTGGGGAGGGGGGTTTCTTTCTATTTTCGTTGAATATGCCGACCCTGACCCTGACATCTATGTCAACAACCACAATGAAATAAAGTCCATAAATATCTATTCTAGTAAACTCGGTGGCATAAATTTGTTTGAATCCTTGTCTCTTTGGGAATTGTCTCGATAGGATCGAGACAGGAAGTATGATACTATACCCTTTCTATGCCGATCATCAAGTCCAGGGGAATAGCCCTTGCAATATTATCTGGTTCTGAATTGGCATAATGATAACCATTATCTTGAGAGAAACCCAAGAAGGAACAAGTGTTTTAGAAACAAAAGAGAATTGGAAGATGGAGGAAGAGAGAAAATAATAAGCACCGGGCAATCCAAATGATTTGATAAATATTTTTCAGATGCATTTGGCGAATGTTTCCAGACGGCCAGCCGAGTTCGCGAAAATAGAAACAAACAATAAACTCAAAGAACTTAATGTAGCCACCAGCCTCCATCCGATGATTCCCCGAGCCAAAAGGTAGTATGGCATAACATCATGACAGTGGGATATAATGATTTTAGAAAACAGAAGCAGAATCAAACTAAGGAAGTAACATAAAAAAGAAAAGAAAAGAAAAGAAAAGAAAGAACATAGACATCAAGTACTCCAATGCGCCGTGACCTAAAAACCGACCTCTCATCACCAAAACCCGATCATTGCCATTCCCATATCCATACATATCGAAAATCCAAAATTATTGGTATTCTCCCCAAGGCCAGCCAAAATGGAGAACGAACCAGTTCTCAATGATCCAGGCGAGGAAGAGAAAGAGAAGAAATCAGACTGTCGCAAGATTACCCTGGCTTTAAAAAACATCTTCAGCGGCGAAATACCGCTTGCTTTTACCTCGAGTTGCGACAAACTTCATTTCTGGCATATTGGTGTGATGGACCACATGCGGTCGATACACGGCATCGACTGGTGCTTGCCAATCATCCAAGCCAAGAGGAAAGTATTCGTACAACAAATCGGCACTTTCATTGGGAAAAGGAAGCGAGGACGCAAATGGCTGCTGCAAACTTGCGGTATTAAGAAGAGGAAGCGATGACGAGGGTTGCCGAGAGTGTGTCTGATGTATATTATGAGATAATTTGCGCATTTTCGCCGGTGGCGCAGGGTTATCCATGCCCAAAGACTTTTGGGAGACATCATTGGGGTATGAAGAAGTCGATCTGGCCGGATCATGTAAATTAACGGCGTGGTCACCGCCTTGGTCATCGTCCAAAAGTGATAAATGAATGGGAGCCGCGACCGAGCTCTGGCGTTGTTGCGATTCTGCCGTGCGAGAGTAATCGGGGCTGGACTGCTGATAGATTGAGGTATGAGGTAAGGGGGCAGCAGGTGAGATCGCATTACCCGCAGACTGCGGGATCTGGGACCAATCCGGGGAAGCCTGTTGTGGAAGAGCTACCCCAGCTTGGGGGGCAGACATCTCTGGCGAGCTGCTCTTAGCGGTCGACTTGGCCTTGGCTGGGGTGAGACTGGCTCGGGGAACGGATTCACTGGTAGGGGTTCGATTGACTGTAGCAGACGCAGGGGCCTGGGCACTCTTTCTCGATGCAGCGGCACTGCCACTCAAGGGAAGATCCTTGCGAGATTGGAAGTTACGGGGACTGCGGCCACGGACAATGACGGGACCTGAATGTACTTCACAAATAGGGATCTTGGTACCGGTGGACAAAGTCGCGACGACTCGGAGCCGTACAACAAAATGCTGCTGCAGCTCCTTCCTTCGCCCGTTATTGGCCGTGGCGACACGGAACTGCAGCCGCTTCCATGCGATAGGGAAAGTAGCATAGTCGGTGTCGAGGTCTTGACCAGCCATGATATCCAACGGGAGGGGTGGGGGTTCTCTCTCAACCTTGGTGTTACTGTTGTCTTCGAGGGGTGGGTTGCCATTGGCGGCGGGAGTCTTCCACGGTACGGAGATGATCTTAACTGGATTTCCCTCCACCGACTCGGTGGCCGAAACGGTGAGTTCTTGCGCCAAAATCGGTATTCGGTCGCCTTGGTCGGTCATTATATAGCGCAGACTGCGAGGCAAGGTGACAGAGCCAGTGATCTGAAAAAGATTGCGACGATAACAGGTCAACTCGGCGCCCTGTTGCGGAGGCGCATTCTCAGAGGGGGAGGTAGTCCACGGAGATTCGGCCAGAAAGAACATGCCATGCAGTTGAGCCGTCAGGGATAATGAAGTCCGCCGCAACGAATAGTCCCGCAAAGTAAAGTTGTAAACAGGTATGGAGAAGCTCAACAACTTATTGTTGTGGTCTATGGAGGAATCCGGGGGCTGTTCGGGGGGAGCGGGCTCGAACGGGGTCACGATATCTGTAAAAGGGTCTTCATAACTGGAAGGAAAGCGTTTCAAAGTTGACGTCGGTAAACCATGCTGAGCGAAAGCAATGTCATCACCGCTGGTTCACAAACACGGTTAGCATCTTGATTTCAAGCTCGTCACTGAACTTGGCAACGCACCTCACAAAGGTATCCGAGTCGAAATTAGAACGATGATCTGGAAGATCCATTCCAGGTATTGCATTAAGGTAATCAGTACCCTGAAGATTCCCGAACGACAGCGGACTGGCCAGGTAGGGCATGGCATCGAAGCCCTCCATAGCGTGGGTTGCGAACTGGAGGGGTGGAAGGGATTTGATTGCCCGTCTAACCGGCAACGGAGAGGAGGAAAGGAGAGCAAGAAGGGAAAGAACGAGGAGAAAAAAGAGGGGAAGAAAGGGGAAAATGGAAAAAAGGAAGAGAGGAGGGGGAGGGGAAAGTAGACACGGTCTTGGTTGGATCGGAGAGCTGAGCGCGATCGCAACGAACGCGGAGAAGGCGGGAGGGTCTAGAGAGGAGGGGACATGGAGAGAGGGAGAGGGAGAGGGAAAAAGAAGGAATGTATAGATGAAGGGATAGAGAAAGAGAAAAGGAAGAAGAGAGAATCGGAACCTCCCGAAGTCAGTAAGAGGAGGAGGAAGAGGAGGAGAAGAGAAGAGCAGATGAAAGAAAGAATGGATGATTGGGATTGGATGGTTCGAGCAGAAGAATCCGGAGTAAGTTTAGAGGCGAGGGGAGATAACGAGAGACGGAGGCGGCGATGGGGCGAGTGGAGCAGTCGAAATCATACAACAGAAGATAATCAAAAGAAAATAGCAACAAGAGGAAGAAGAATAGTAGACAATTGGACTGGTGAAAGCGACCGCAGACGGATAGTGGAACTGGTAGATTTCCAAGTTTTCTTCCGCCTATCTTTTGTTGTCGCTGCTGCTGCTGCTGCTGCTTCTGTCTGGCCCTGGCATCCCTTTTGGTTACTTTCCGACACTCTTGTAGAGAGCAAAGAAAAGGCAGCAGTCAGACCGAAGAGGGAGAGGAGAAGAAGTCATTTTAGCGTCCGCTGCTTATCCGCTGAATTTGCCCCAGCTCAGTCTGATGATCACCGTTGGAAAAAAGCAGGCCTTGATGTAATAAGTCTCAGTCTATTCAGGAGGGTTTTCAATCCATGTGATACAGATGATGATTACCTATTGATTGACTAGCTATCTATCTGCTCTGTATTCTCTCTCTCTCTTGCTTTTCTTCTCCATGTTCTAATCGGCTTGTCGCACAGGCTGCGAGAAAAAAAAAAAAAAAAAAAGAAAAAAAGAAAAAGAAAAAGTCCATATGTTTTGCTCTGCCAACCGTCGTCGGACGACACTAGTCCCTAGACAGTCTGGCGGGACCCACTACGCACCTACCCCAGTTAAGCACCTGCCGAATATGGTATTGCTGTTTCGGGCTAGTCCACTCGGACTCCACCCCAAACCCGGGGGAAACAAGCGGTTTTTTCTTCCTGTTCATTTCAAAGTTCAAACAGAGTTCCGGTTACTGCCGGGCAATTTGGTCTGATAATATAAATGGATTATTATCCAAGTTGTTTTTGGAATGGAATCATAATAGATTAGGATAGTGTCATACTATATCTCGAGCAAAGTAATCCGGACCCTGGTGGGTAGTTTTATTTTATTTTATTTTATCTTTATCTTTATTTTATTTTATTTTTTCTCTGCTGATTGGCTGGCATTAAGCTCTCGGGCTACCTGTTTGGGTTATTCAAGCAGTCAGCCCGCCAGGGCTGATCCAGAAAGGCTGCGAACAAAGCACCCAATGCAGTATCTACCGATTTCCTGTCTCTTTTGTCTTGTCTTGTCCATGATTACATATAGACAATATTCTTATATTGGAGAGAAGGAAATCTTTCCGCATGCAATCATACCTCGACCAATCATGAGCCTCGGTTGGGGAGGGATCCTCATCCGATCCATGTCTCCATCGCTGACTGGACCAGGATGATCACCATGGCCCCATCTGACATGCAGCCGCTTTAATTTCCAAACCACCCATCCGTCTTGCTCTTGGCTGTCCAACCAGCAGAAAACAGCTCACCTCATCCTCCTGCGCTCTGATTGGTGCCAAAGCTTTGCCAGTGCCTGGCTTTGACTTTGTGGTTCCACCACTGAGAATGGCCGGTGCGAGGGCTAGTCTGGTCGTTCTTGCCTGTCTCAACGGATGCAGAACCGGCCTTACTGGACTAGCCGGGCCTACGGCCAACTTTACTTATTCTCGCTCCTTGGGGGCCAAGAGCGGCGATTGGCTGGCGCCAGCATGTCTCAAACTCAGATCAGCCACTACAGGAGGACAATAATATCGACAATTGAGATACTGGCTGGCCTTCTAGAACCACCACGGGGGTTTTCCCTTTTCCCTGCCCTGGGATCTTCATCGCAGCCGCTTCAGGGCGTTGATGGTGAAACCACAAGTGTAACTCTGCGTATAGTAGTTATCGTACCGGAATCACAAGCAAAAAAAGTCCTGTCTGTGGAACAATCTCCATCTATCCATCTATACAAGTAGATAAGGTTGGTATCATGTGAATATAGTACCATCATCCAGATAACGTTAGATCATCCGGTCCGATCCTATACAGAATAGTCAGGTCGAACCAGAACTAGCCTACTGTCTGATACAAATTATCACCACCAAAGCCAATCTTTCAATATCATTGCTTTTTGTTAAAAAAAAAAAAAAAAAAAAAAAAAACAGCATCCATACCAAGTTATCAAATCACCTTTTTAGTCGTTCTGCAACCGCTCTTCTCCACAATGTATATTAATTAATTCTCCGCCCTGAACGGGCCCAATTTGGCCTCCGATCTCCGAAAACAGTTTTCTCTCTATGAACCTCTCTCTCGCTCGGTCTCGACTCTAATCCAAGACTACCTAAACGGTTTGTCAATCAATTAATCAATTTTGTACTCTCTCTCCCTCTCCCCATGGATCATTTCAAGCAGATCCGCGTCTACCTTACGCTTCAAGACCTTCAAATCTTTGTGCCTTGTTCATCTCGGAAAATCCAGTGCAAATCATTGGCCATGGCCTCGTATTCTCATGCCCCATTCCCCCATCCTTAATATCATCACCCACCCCGGTCAATAATCGGAGAATAACAGAGAAAGAAAAAAAAAAAAAAAAAAAAAAGAAGAGAGGAGAAAAGACACTCGATCTACTGCACTAAATGAAAATGTCTGCCCGTTTTGAACCCAGAAGATCAAATACACAAGTGGATATCATATGCCATGCCAAAAGAAGAAGAATTAAAAAAAAAAAAAAAGGAGAGAGAAAAGAAAAACCATTTCTAGGACGAGGACATCATGGTCCAGCTCGCTGCATCGCAGTTGACTTCTTCAAAGCTGTGCAGCATACTAAATCCCATCCCTGACAAACAATCAAAGTTGCTGTCGCCATCAACCTGTTTCCGTTAGATCATAGGCCAAACTATCAAGGAATACAGATAGACACTCACACAATCCAAAACAACCGCCTCTGCTCCCTGCTTGCGGATTTGTTTGATCCCCAGTACTATCAACCCCTGCATCACGGTGGCGTACTCGCCCACCGACGGTGAAATCACCGGCGATGAGATGCCCCCCGTTATTACGCCCTGCGTGGCCTTGAGTGCAGGCATGTTTTGTGCCAAGCTCGCCCGCCCGTTGTAGATCACCACACTGCCCAGCACCGCTCCATCTCCGGGTCGTTTCGCGCGGATAATCCCACAGTCCGGCGCTCCTCCTAGCGCCACCTTGTAAATTTCCATCACTCCCTGGCGCGAATTGGTTTTGATGTGATCGAGGATCGTGTTCGCATAATCCCACCCGTACACGAGATCATATGCCACTTCGGCATTCTGCAGCCCATATACTAGTCGGTCCGGCGGCGTCCACGTCGACACGTTGCGCAGCACAACGCTGCAAACCGGCCGGGAAAGCGCCGTGTTCCATCCCAGATTGGCAAACCACTGTCGCAGCCTTTTCCGCTCAACCGGGTTGGCGGCGGGGATTCCTAGGTAGATGCCGGGCAGGCGGGATCCTAGCTGGAACCGTCTGATTCCTTTCCGCTGCAGAAGCGTGCGAATAGCGCGGTTATGTAAAGAATTCCCTATTGATAGTTTGCGCCGAGACGGATCCACTATCAACGACCCAATGACTCCCGTTCCTGTGGACCGGAAGAAGTACGTCGAGCAGAAGCCGTACAGTGCACGGGTGCTGCTGTTTCGCACTACAAAGTGTGCCTCGTCGATCCCCCCTCTTCCAAGGAGAAAGCTGCTGCATGTCACGCCCAAGAGCTCGGAATGTTGCCCCTGGGGGCTGTCTGCCCTGACTGCATCCAGCAAAGCATCTAAACCACCTCCATCTCTCTCCTCGTTCCAATTCTCCACGAGCCAGTGTTGTCGTGCCTGATGAATTTTCTGGCTACGGTTTATAGACCCGGGCAGTGACCCCATCGGAGTCAATTCTCCGTAGAGAATTTTGACTAGGGCTTGGAGAGCGGTCTCGGTGAAATCGTACGTGCAGACATATGTTCCGATCGATGGGTCCATGGCAAAATCATACGGCGAACTGGCTGCGACCACAATCATCGGTTTCTCCCTAGGTTCACCGGCCGGCGAACATTGCGACTTGCATATCATGGACACGTGTTTGGCGAAGCCATGCTGGTATAGGTTCCTATTCGCATCGGCGGTGACGACAATGACTGCGCTGGCTCGCGCTATAAGATTCTCATGGACTGGACGGACACCGTTGGAGGTGTAGGAGGTGTGCAATACACGGCCGCTCCTTTGACGGGAGAGAGACCTTCCCAATTCCTTGAAGACACTCTCACCACTGAGGACCGAGGCTGTTCGATCCAATGCCATCGGATCAAGGGACAAGGCCAGATTCTCAGTCAACGAGTGAGACACTGCCGAAGCAGGCAGAGGCTTCACCAATGGGGTGAGAAGCAAGAGTTCCTCGTGTGCTTCAAGAATGTTGGCCAAGGGCAGCAAATTTTGGTTATCCCGCACCACAGAGATGGAGCTATTGTATGCTCTTGTGGAGAGGCTCGTATGTGTCGGTTGCATCTGTATAAGTGAAGTGAGTCCTGGTGGGTTCAAAGCCTGCTCCCAAGAAGTGCATTTGGCCTTCATCCTCAATACTCGACGCAAGGATTGTTCTATTCGTCCTCGGCCAATAATGCCATTTTCTACTCCGAGTTTCAATCCGTTAATGGCTTCCTGCTGCACGGGGAACGACCTGCACAACAGTATGATATCGCAGCCTGCATTTTTGGCCATAACTGTCCCACCGCCAACGCCGATGTTATGAGTCAGAGCTTCCATTTCCAAGCACTCTGAGACAACTACACCATTGAATTTCATGTCCTTACGCAGCAGATCATCAACTACCTGCTCACTCAGACAAGCATGCATCACATTGACTCCTGCGGAAGACATGGAAACACCCCCAACCATCATGGAGTCCAAGCCATGGTTGATAGCGTTGCGGAATGGAACAAGTGCAGTCAGACTTAGCTGTTCTAATGATTCGGTAATGATAGGAACGTCGGTTTGGGACCCTAGAAACTCCAGATTGCCGTAAGATGGAAAGTGCTTGCCACATGTCACGAGACCCGCTTCCTGGTAGCCTTTCATGTATTCAACCCCATACAGCGAAACCTCCTGGGGGTCATCACCCGTGGTACGCACGCCTAGAGGCTGACTCCGCACGTTGGTCAAAACATCTAGAACGGGGCCTAGAATGAAATTGACCCCTACAGCTTTGAGCTCCTGAGCTGTTGCCACAGCCACATCATGAGCCAGGGTCTTCGACCCTGTAGCTGCAATTCCCATGGCACTGGGAAATTGGCGGATATATATTTCATCGTACAGACTGTTTACACCACCATTCTCTTGGTCCAAGGCGATTAGCAGAGGCACCGGATGGCCAGCATCCCGGGCGATGATCTGTAGCTCAAGGACAAGACGACTCGCCTCTTCCGCAGCTGTAGGTACATTAGTGTGCTATTATGTATTGAGATATTATCGATTGATGGGTCATCAATTAACCACAACCGATAGGGAGGGAGATAACACGAATAGAGAGCAAAACGGGATACATTTCAGATTCTTGGCAGACAGCAAAACTGCTCCCAAGTGGTAATTCTCAATAAGTGAGCGAATTTGAGGACTGACAGTGGTTCCATCAAAGCCCATCATAAAGAGCTGGCCCATCTGCCTGTCGAGATATCAGCGCTCATCCCGTTCAACATCATCGGAATACAAGGGAAAAGCAACGGCAAGGAAAGGAAATTAAATAATAGAGGGGGGAAAGCCAAGACATTCTAGTCCTACATACCTATCTAAATCCTCCCAGCCAGGGGGCAGCATGTCCTCTTTCGGGGCCATGATGGCCCTTGATGAGGAATGCCAGTGCAGAGCCTAACGGAACAGGGTGACACCCCCCACCAGCCCACGAACGATTTTAGGAGCTTAAAGGAGGGAAGTGGAGGGGCAGGAAGTGAGGAATCAGAAATAAAACAAAATAAATAAATAAATAAATAAATAAAGACGAAGACGACGAAGAGTTTGAACACAATGTTGACCAGAAGAGGGACTCCCGAAGCAACAGTGGTTGATTCAAGCTATCTGAGGCTAAGCTCCCAGGAACAGCTTTGCTGGAATGATAAGCTAGCAATGCAACCAGCGAATGAGCGTCAATAGCGTCAATGAGGGGAAGCTGAAAACAACAATCATTAGGTCCGATACGGTAGCAATAGGAGGGGGAAAATTGGATAACGGAGGAAGGAGGGGGAGAGGAACAGATGAAGTTGTCACTGTTACAGCTGCCTGTAATCGCTGGATAAATCAAGTCGTCCACTCTGTCTGCTGGTACCGACGGAAGAAGCGCTAGGGAAAAGAGTTGGTCACGTGGCAGTGTTTCAATACTGTATTTAGGTAATATACTGGTAATAGCAATTCACGGCTGTTTCAGCATCCTGACCGTATCGTAGCCGTATCCGTACCGATACCATACCAAAATACCACGCCACGGCAGCGTTGCACTGTTTCCCCAGGTTGTCCAATTCTGCCGAATGCAACGGCGGAGCTCATCTTGGAAACCGCCTGCCAAACTATCCCAACTCTCTTCTCTTCTGGAGGGGGGTATGACACCTCTTTGTGCAACATCAGATTGGTCTCCCAGCGGATGGAACCTTTGGCCCAGCATGACATCTGCTAGGTATGCATGCAGACAATGCTCACTTACGTCGTCTTGCCTCCTGTCTGCTTTGATTGGCAGCTTCTATGCCTAAACTACAGAAGGGGGTTGCGTCATTTCCAGTATCTCAACCACGGGTCTTGTTAGATTTATGGTGCTGGATAGCATCAGATGGAGCATTTGGCCACCGTCAAGGGCAAAAAGAACAATGTGACTGCGAATCCATTGTTCTTATCCCATTCCTGGCCCCTGAACCGGTAAAAAGCGTCCAACCCAGCACGAAAAGCATAGGCCATACTACCAGATTGGGCAGGGGACGATGATGTAGAGATGAAGATCACAGTCCTGACCACTGCTGCCAGTATCACCCTGTCACACTCTCCACAGGCGGCCTAGAACGGTTGTGAGGTTGAATTGTAACAGACCCATGGATGATGGGGCTATCGGTCGCTTTGATCTTAACCTGAGCATTTCTTCTTCATGGAACCTTGAAAACGTCTTTCTTTCCCATCCACACTCCTACTCCTCAGACCAAACTTCTTTAAATCTTTTCTCCATCTCCCGCCTGCGTACCTTCCTGATCTATCTGTCGCTTATCAGTTCCTATCAAGCTTCTTCAAGTGACGTAGCTTCGCTGACTGGCATCATGTACGCTGCACCTCTTCCCAGGATTCTGATGCAGCCCCAATAGAAACAAGCTAATTACTTTTACCTTGATCTATAGGAGAGTGATTATCAGAGAGAATCCTCGAGAGGTGTCCGAGTACATCGCTGACTATATTATCAGTATGTTTCAGTCCGATCGTCAGCCCAGCAAAGCCTAGCTCTTCTAACAAAGTCTCTGAATGCAGGCCGTATCAAGTCGTTCAGACCGACCGAAGACCAGCCTTTTGTGCTTGGTCTTCCAACCGGCAGCAGCCCTGAAATTATCTACAAGAATCTTGTCCAGCGCTTTAGGGCTGGCGACATCTCGTTTAAGAATGTTGTGACTTTTAATATGGTAAGATTTGATATGCCCTCTGCCTTCAACAACCAAATCATCTGACCAAGGCAGGACGAGTATGTTGGTCTGCCTCGCGATCACCCCGAGTCATACCATAGCTTCATGTACAAACATTTCTTTTCGCACGTGGACATCCCGCCCCAGAACATTAACATCCTCAACGGAAATGCACATGACCTCGCTGCTGAGTGTGCTTCGTTCGAATCCCGAATCGCTGCCTACGGTGGCATTGAGCTCTTCCTTGGCGGCGTGGGCCCTGATGGACATATCGCGTTCAACGAGCCAGGATCGTCTCTGAGCAGCCAGACTCGGGTTAAGACTTTGGCTTACGACACCATCCTGGCCAACTCTCGATTTTTCGACAATGACATCAACCAGGTGCCACGGATGGCTTTGACGGTGGGCATTCAGACCATCATGGACGCTCGAGAGGTGGTCATAGTGGCTACGGGCCACCATAAGGCGATCGCAGTACAACAGGGTCTCGAGGGCGGTGTCAACCACATGTGCACGCTTTCCTCACTGCAGCTGCACCAGCACCCACTCATTGTGTGTGACCGTGACTCGACCCTCGAGCTCAAGGTCAAGACAGTTCGATACTTCGAATCGATCGAACAGGCTGGGACAGATGCTCGTACCCAAGGTCCACCTCTGGTCTACCGTTCCAAGACATATATGTCGGCGTCCATGGGTATTACACAGCAGCCCAGCCCAGCTACGACGCCGAAGAAAGTGCCTAAGGATCTGCGAATCAACACCGAATTCAATCGGGCGATGGACGATGAAGAATTGACGCCAGACAGCATGTCATCCCGTATGGTCGATTCCGCCATCAGTGGAATTGATACGACTCTAAAGGGCGATTTGATTTTCGATCGAATGGGTGCTCGAGTTGCAACCAACTAAGCCGATACCGATGCGAACACGAGATATATTCACACATACCGCTGGATTAGATTGCACATCTCTGTTTCTGGCGACAAACATATGGAAAAAAAAAAAAAAATACTGAACAGGGCCCAGCGGTTTTTGGTTTTTCAGATTGGCTATTTATATATTATTGGGAGCTTTGTTTGCTATGTTTATGTTAATTCCCTATAGATTTTGTTTTGGATTGCTATGAGCTGGTGTTTTCTCTGTGATGCTTAATATATATTACTCGAAGTTGTTTCATCTCTAAATGCTAGAGTACATAGAAAAAAAAATACTACTAAGATTGATATATTGATTGTCAGGTACTGTTCCGTTACACAGGTACTAAGAAGTTGCCTATCTTAGATTGGTAGTAGCAGGGAAAAGTTAAAGACAATTTTTTTATGTCCATTGAGAAACTATCTAAAAAAAAAAAAAAAAAAAAATCTAAAATCGTAATCATAATCATTATAGCTTGGCAAAGACGGTAACAACAGCACCGCTCATGTCCATCAGGGTGCTCTTGTTCTTCACCCAAGCCTCAATACCCTTCCGCCCGTTCTCAACACCAAGACCGCTGTTCTTCCATCCACCAACGGCCATCTCAGCCGGGCTCTCACCCCAAGTGTTGATCCATGTGATACCTGCCTCGAGCTGGTCGATGATGCGGTGGGCCTGGTTGAGATCCTTGGTGAAGACACCCGCAGCCAGACCCAGCTCAGTAGTGTTGGCGCGTCGCACAGCCTCTTCAACAGTCTCATAGTAGAGGATAGACATGACGGGACCGAAGATCTCCTCCTTGACGATGCGCATGGAATCGGTGCAATCGGTGAAGACGGTTGGGCGGACCCAGAATCCGGCCTCTAGGTCCTTGGGGACCTGCGGTTTACCCAAACCACCGTACAGGAGGGTAGCCTTATCTGTTTCGATACCGTGCTTGATGTAGGAGGTGACCTTTTCATGGTGGATGGCGGAGCTCAGGGGTCCCATGTTTGTAGCTTCATCGAACAAAGGACCTGGGCGAATGTATTGCATCTTTGTGAGAAGGCGCTTTTCGAATGCAACCTTCCAGCTGGCCGGCACAAACACTCGGGTGCCGTTTGTGCACACCTGGCCGGTACTGTAGAAATTGGCCATCATGGCACCATCCACTGCGTTCTCCAAGTCGGCATCTGGGAGAATCAACAACGGGCTCTTGCCACCCAGCTCCATGGTCACGTATTTCATGTTTCCAGCGGCGGAACCGGAGACCTTCATTCCGGTAGACACCTGTCCGGTGAAAGACACCTTGGCGATGGTAGGGTGAGCGGTCAAGTATGCGCCAACATCACCAGCACCGTAGACCACGTTAAAGACACCAGCAGGAAGACCGGCTTCCCTGTAAACTTCGGCGAGGGTCTGGGCGTGGAGAGGGGTGTATTCACTGGGTTTGTAGATCATGGTGTTTCCGGCAGCGAGACAGGGGGCAGACTTCCAAAGGGCACTAGAAATTTACAGTCAGCCAAGTGGACAAGACAATTAGAAACATAAATAGAAAGGGAACATACATTTGAATGGGATAGTTCCATGCGCCGATTCCTGCGCACACTCCGAGAGGTGCCTTTTTGGTATAAACGAGGGCATCTTCTCTCAATTGGGTTGTCTCGCCATTGAGACCACCACCGCCAACGAGGTTGGCATAGTATTCCAGGGTATCGGCGCCTGTGAAAACATCGACAGTGCTGGTTTCTGTGTAGGCCTTGCCGGAGTCGAGGGTTTCAATGCGGGCGATCTCATCGTTCTTCTCACGGAGAAGAGCGGCGGCTTTCTGAAGGATGCGGGCACGGGCGACAGGCGGGGTTTGGGACCACGAGGGGAAAGCACGGTCAGCAGCAGCGATAGCAGAGTCTATATCAGAATGCGAGGCGACATGGATCTCGGCCAGCGGAGTCGCATTGGAGGGGTCGATGGTGGTGAAGGTTTTGCCGGACGTGGCGGGCTGAACCTGGCCATCGTAGTAGAGTTGGCGGGGAGGGTGAGGGAGAGTCGACATGGTTTATGATATGGGAAGAACAAAAGATCAAAATGGATTTCTTTTTATTGAATAATGCAGGCCAATAACACTGCAGAAATATATACAAAACAAGATCACAAGAGGAAAATTATTGTTTCGATACAAATTGTGACGCCGAGGGAAAACGCCTTTTGCCGCCACGCGGCACGTGACCTGGATGGAGCTATCGTTCTACAAGGCAAATTCTCCGCATCAATTGATCATCATTTGCCGCAGAAAGAGGTGGAATTTTTCTCTTGAAACGGAATTTATGTTTTATGGACTCTAGCAAGTTATACATAAATCAAATGCTCGTGCAACCGGAAAATGACCGTCGACCGCTAACCGAGATCATGCTCCAGATCCTGCCATATTATCCTGATTGGAGCCGGATTCAAGGCCGAAAAATGGCAAATCGTATGATCCCGTCTGATAGTCATAAAAAAATAGCATTGACAGCCGGTCCATTGGTCTTATCTTGTTACCGTAGTGACTATGTATGTATTGCGACCACTATGTTTCACGATATCGAAAAACTTGACCGCCGAAACCCCACAAGTTTTGCTGTATGCAGGAGGGTGATCCGCCAAGCCTCGAAGAATGCGTGGCTGGTCATGTGCATCAGCACTAGGCGATAGCGATAGCCTCTATCGAAGATAACGCTATCAATTTCTCCAGATTTCTACCGAATCCAGGCATGATTGTCGCCCCGCTGTCCTTCTAGTTCTTTTGCGTTCAACACCTGAAGCAGGCAATTTTTTCCCGGAATGTTCCCGAATCACTACGCTAGCCACAAGTGGCTTAGTGGTGGTGAGAGCTTGATTCTTGATCGTGCTAGCGCTGCCCGACTGGGCTTAGCGTGATATAGTTTGGAAGTGACGTAATCCCAGTGCAGAATGGCCAATGTCAGCGCCATCGACAGTCCGAAGGGAGTGAAGCTATATGAGGGCACAATCAATACACGCCTATCAGAGTATCCTCTCGGTCTTCCTAGCCTCTAATTCCAGTTGGATCTGAATCGAATCCGACGAGATTCGCCCAAACCCATTACAATTATCTAATCCGACCCCACTCCGGGCCCGTTGAATTGGCTCGTGCACCACTTTTCTCATGCACGCCCTAATCCTCTTTGGTTGAAAAAAAAAAGGTGAGAAAATAAGTGAAGACAGACAAAAAACGATCGAAAAAAAGAAAAAAAAAAAAAGACGGCCGAACGGCGAACGTACGATCCTTTGCTTTGGCCGGTATCACCGCAGCTTATCTCGTGCACTGATTTTAAACCGCCTTTTCGCTCTCCCTTTTCTTTCCTCTTCCTCTTTTCTCTCTCTATCAATCCATCTCTTTCCCTCCTCATCTCATTCAACATGGCTCCCGTTACTACCACCAACGAGTTTCCCGCCAGCGATGTCAACAACTACGACTATGTGATCGTAGGAGGTGGTACCGCTGGCTGTGTTATTGCCAGTCGGTTGGCCGAATACTTGCCCAACAAGCGTATCCTTGTCATCGAAGGTGGTCCCAGTGACTTTATGGATGACCGTGTTCTGAACCTCCGCGAATGGCTCAACTTGCTGGGAGGCGAGTTGGACTACGACTACCCTACTACCGAACAGCCCATGGGTATGTTTTTTTACAATTGAAAATAACTTGCTGTGGGCGATTATTGACTCCTTCACAGGAAACAGCCATATCCGACACTCGCGTGCTAAGGTCCTTGGTGGTTGCTCGAGCCATAACACCCTCATTTCGTTCCGTCCCTTCGAATATGACTGCAAGAGATGGGAGGCCCTTGGTTGCCAGGGCTGGTCCTTTGAGACCTTTACCCGCGTCTTGGATAACCTTCGCAACACTGTTCAGCCCGTCCACAGCCGCCACCGCAACCAGCTGTGCAAGGACTGGATTGAGTCGTGCTCGACCGCTATGGACATCCCCATCATCCCCGACTTCAACAAGGAGATCCGCTCCAAGGGTGAGCTGACCGAGGGTGTCGGCTTCTTCTCCGTTTCCTACAACCCCGACGATGGCCGTCGCAGCAGTGCTAGTGTGGCTTACATTCATCCTATTCTGCGTGGCGAGGAGAAGCGTCCCAACCTGACAATTCTCACCAACGCCTGGGTGTCTCGCGTTAACGTCGAGGGTGACGCTGTCACCGGTGTGGATGTGAAGCTTCAGTCTGGTGTTCAGCACACCCTGCGGGCCAAAAAGGAGACCATCCTGTGTGCTGGTGCCGTCGACACCCCGAGACTGATGATGCTCTCCGGTCTGGGGCCGCGCGAGCAGCTCTCCTCACTGGGAATCAACGTGGTCAAGGACCTGCCCGGTGTTGGTGAGAACCTGATCGACCACCCCGAGAGTATCATCCTCTGGGAGCTCAACTACCCCGTGCCTCCCAACCAGACCACCATGGACTCAGATGCTGGCATTTTCCTGCGCCGCGAGCTTCCAAACGCTGCTGGCTCTGACGGCCGGGCCGCCGATGTCATGATGCACTGCTACCAGATTCCCTTTTGTCTCAACACTACCCGTCTGGGATACGACGAGCCCAAGGACGCTTTCTGCATGACCCCCAACATTCCCCGCCCCCGTTCCCGTGGCCGCCTCTACTTGACCTCCGCCGACCCCTCCGTGAAGCCCGCTTTGGACTTCCGCTACTTCACCGACCCGGAGGGCTACGACGCCGCCACCATTGTGGCTGGTTTCAAGGCTGCTCGCCAGATTGCCCAGAAGGCACCTTTCAAGGACTGGATCAAGCGCGAAGTCGCTCCCGGTCCCAAGGTGCAGACCGACAAAGAGCTGTCCGAGTACGGCCGTCGCGTCGCCCACACCGTGTACCACCCTGCTGGAACTACCAAGATGGGAGACGTCAAGCGCGACCCTATGGCGGTTGTGGACCCCCAGCTGAAGATCCGCGGATTGAAGAACGTTCGTATTGCGGACGCTGGTGTCTTCCCCGAAATGCCCAGTATCAACCCCATGTTGACCGTTCTGTCCATTGGAGAGCGTGCTGCTGAGTTGATTGCCGAGGAGGCTGGATGGAAGCGCGAGCAGCCCCGTCTGTAAGCCTTTTCCTTTTTGGGTGGGCACAGAAGAAAAAGGTTGAAGCTTTTTTTTTTTCCTTTTCTACTAACAGCATCGACGGGAATTACTCGTGACGATGTATCTCAGATGATGTATGCATTACGCCTATGGTTTTAAATAGCGTCTTTGGTACGGAAATCAACATCCAGCAGAGCTACAAAGTTGGATTGGGCCAGCGTGGAGTTGATACGGATCAAATCTTTTGGTGGGATTTTTTATTTATTTGCCGTGTACAGGATATTGGCATTTTGTTCGCATTTAGCGCCCAGGATACAAAGAAGATAGGTGTGGACTATACATATATACCAGATTTTTGTACAAATGAACCTCAAAATCAATGCTGTATATTCAGTTTCATCAATAAACAACTATTCTGGTTATTATAAATTATGAAAAGCACGAACCTGCACTCTGATATAAAGAAGAAGCCAAAAAGGCAGCCTAGTGATAGAACAATTCCCTCATAGATGAGTAGACCTTGACGGTCAAATCCTTAGACCAAACCGGGTTCTGACCCTTATTCACACTGTAAGTAATAGTCTTGGCCTTCTTATCCTTCGCTCTCTTCTGGAACCAGGTGACGTGAATCCAGTCAATAAAGATTTCATAACCATCGCCTTGGTCATGCACCAGGATCGTAGGCTTAGCAGACCGGAATCGGTTATTGAGCGAGACACGCTCCTCCTTGCCCCATTGGTTGTTGAGCAATGTATTGAAGATAATCTCGCCCTCGGCACGGCGAACAGACATGAGGAAGACGATATTCTGGTCCGCATCGGAGAAGTAGAATTGGGTGTTGTCGACGGTGTCGGTCTTGATCTTGTTGAGGTCAACTTTGGAGGAATCGATGAGGACGACGCTGTCGGCGACAACTTCGTTCTTGAAAGCCAAGGTCTGACCGATTGAGAGGTTGCCCTTGAGAATTTCAGGACTGTTTGTTTGATATTAGTATGTCATTTTATACGTGTCACAAAAGGGTTGTGTACTTACATAGGAACAGGAGGTTGCGTCACTGGCTGCTTATGAGCTGGGTTTAGAGCGCCATCAGCTCCACCACTGATGGATGGTTCTGGCTTGAAGTTCTTGTAGGCTGGAGCTTTGGTGGGGTCGTCAAAGTTGGTAGCATCGTTGGTGCTGCCAATGATCTGAGGGTCGACCTTCTTTACGTCGTAACTAGGCGCGATTTTACCATGCTGGTGGAGATTACCAGAGTCAGCAACAGTTTCAAGAACAATAAAAAAGGTCGCAGTTACCCTTATGACTCTCCAGTATGCAGAATCCAGCAAGTACTTCATAACATCGGACTTCTTCAGCGATTCCAATTTCTTCCCTTGCTTGAGTAGTTTGATCAACACAGGTGTGACCGAGATGTACGCAGTGGCCCAGGGATTGTTTGTCTGGTCCTTCTTGCAGTTCTCACAGTTATCTTTGCCATTTACCGTTGGCCTTTGGCTGAAGTTGAACACTTCAGCAATAACGGGGTCTGTTTTTGTATTCGGGGTTTCGTCCTGTGAGAGGTACAATTTAATCCAGAAAGGATCTCCCCCAAAGGCATACCTATCGGGTGTTAACAAGTCCAGACGGATGGTTGAGCACCATATATATGAACTCACTTTCTGTATCTGATGCTGAACGCATAATCAACAGACTTGATGCCTCCGTCAACAAGTTCGGTACCTGGGAGTTCACCATTAGCGCCGAGGAGAAGATCTCTTGACTCTCCATATAGACTATTGATCTGCTGTCGGACATCTTTGATGAACGCCTCCTGGCTAAAGTTGTTGCCAACATTGTACTTCGCCAACCATGTTTGCAGTTCTGGATACGTATAGCCCAAGTCGTAGGTCCAGCGGACATCATTCGCGTTCAAATATGCGCCGGTGGCATCCTTACGGAAGGGTCTCAGGGGGGTAGTTGGGCTGATTTCAGTCCCAACAGGGAGTCCGATAATGTCCTGCGCATCGAATTGGTTCACCCTTCCTTTCGTAAACCACTTGTCGGGATTAAGTGCTTGCCAAAGGGCAAATATGCGGTCAATGTTGCTACATTGCAAATGTCAGCTGCTCCGGTCAATGTCGCCAATGATTAGAAACGTACCAATGATGAAGCCAGAAGAGGGGATCGAAACTGGCCACAGGAATCTGAGCCATATGACCATAGTTATCACCTCCAACCCAACGGTGGATATCATTGTGGATGAACTCGATGTTCAAATTGGTCTCCACTTGATCTGTCGTTTTAGACTCTGTCTCACCGGTTGTAGCAAAACTGGTATACTCCATGGGCACAGTCAGTAGTCGATAAACAGCCTCAGCTGGCTTTCCAAATTTGGCACTATCCTCTGCGTTGTCAAAATTCCAGACTGGAGCTGATAATGCTCGTTCAACCTCGGAATTGTTGACCACACAATGCCTCCAGGCTTCTGTATCCGCGCGGATGGTTTCATTCTGGCCATTTGGGGCACGGATCTTATTGATACCAGCATCCTCATCATCGGGCCAACGGCTGGTTCCGATGCATTTTCTGTACTGCTACCAGTCAGTGCATGGAATAAATACCATCTATAGATAGACCAAACTGACATCAAGTCGGTCCTTTTTAGCCCAAGGATCTAAGATTCCTCGACCAAATACTTGGACATGGGCTCGTTAGTCGGCACTTTGAATTGAAAAAGCGGATTTTCGATTCTTTCTTCACCCGAGAGGTCCGACTTGGGAACCATGATTGTGGGATACTTGGACAGCTGGGGGACTTTCACGGTTCCGGTTGAAGAATTTGGGTTCGCAATGCTCCAGTCCCAGAATGGGAAACGCCAGGAGTCAGCTGCCTCTCGCCATTCCGCTTGCTGGTCTTTGGGGAAACCGGGGATGATCTCGTCGCGCATGATCTCATACAACCGTTGCTAATCGCACTGACTGTAAGCTTTTCCATCAAGTTGACGAGGGTCTTTAATTTTCCTCACTTCATAGAGCGCCAAGTACGGACGATGCCAGGCAGGGAACAAGATGGTGTTGTGCGTGCAGTAACTCTTGCCCTTGATCGATTCGCCCTTCATATCTGCTGCAGTCTCATCCCAGGTGACGTTTGGCTGGCCATGAATACCTTGATAGCTCCATCAGTATTTATTTTACTCTTGTGCTAGAGGAGGTCTCAGGAGGTCTCTTGCCTGCCACTTGGAAATATGACAACTTGTCCCAAGGATCAATCCTTTGGAATCGATACAAAGCCATGACAAACAGATGCACTTGTATCTCGTTGTCTGGATTGCTGCTCCATTGGTCGATATTTTGACGTACGCCAACCTTCTTGTAGGGTCCAACTTTGGGCTCATTCTTGACAGGTATACCCGTGATGAGATAATAAGAACTGCTTGTCCCAGCTTCGGGTGCCATGGTTGTTGATTGGGGCTGGGAAGGGGAGTGATAACGGGATTGGGCTTCAAACTGAGGCTGGAAAACTCTGAAGAATCGGTGCATTGATCCATCTGATTCTCGAGGGTGACCATGAAGGTAATTATACCTCTCCAGCTTTACCATTGTTACTCCGCATGACGTGCAGACACAGAGGGGAAGAAGTCATGGCGTATATTTGCATATCCGCAGGGAAGTCGAACCAAGAGAGCTGCACGACTGATGGGATTCGCCGGGGTCAACAACTCTTGCTAGCTCTCTGCAGATTAACCACTATGGTGAACTACGCACAATGAACATGATTACAGGTAGAATTGCAGATGTAGCTAGCTGAACTGATAGGTGATTCAGGTTAGCCACTTCTTCCCTCTCCAGCGTTCGCTAGCGGTGTTCGTATCAAACGCAAGCTCGATTGACACATCGAGACATCAATTGACTTTGTTAGTGGTGGAATGTGCCTCTCCCTAGGCTCAGAAATTAGCTTTGAGAGGTTCATCACCAACTGAACCAGCGGGGATTATCTGCAGCTCTGGACGCTGGCTTTCGTATCATTTCAAACCGCTCCTATCAGATCCCATTAGAATCCTCAGTCTCTCCAGGGCTGGAGTGCTGACCTTTGATTTAATTCGTTACTCTTTCCGGTCCCTCCGATTGACATTCGACTACAAAAGAAGCAAGGAAGGACGGGAATCCATGCAGATTCAGGCTGTGGGATATTTCTTCAGCTGGACTCGAAACAGCGGCCTGGTGGTGGGAGTCAACTTGTCTGGGTATGTTCATCAGCTCAATGCAAACTAACCTATCATTCAGACTGTCCGTTGATCCGTGTCAATAACATTCAGCCGGGCATTACCCATTATCCCCCCTCTCTAGTGAGGTTCGCGAGGCCAGGACGTGAGGCGTGCGTCGTTGGCGTAGGGAAGAAACGTAAATTTCCCTTTTTCTATTTCTGTTTTATAGTTATAACTATAGCTCCTACCATTCCTAGTAATAAAATTACTGATGCCTTTGGAAACCTAAGAATGTTGCACCTAAAACAACAGTGAAACTAATTTACGACGTAATTTTTCTTTTCTTACTTTACGTTCTATATTTAAATTATATGAATTAAAATATCCTTTAATTAATTTCGCACAGAGACATCCAGTGCTCGGCTTGTTTTGCACTTTTTATCCCCAAGCTGCAGGGATTCTATTTCAGTACTAAAGGTACGGCATAATAATATATTCCGTTCTCTTTCATTCTTGTCTATTATCATATATATCAATATCTATCCTGTAATCTATATAATTGCTCCAAGCAACAAAACCAAGACAGGAAACATGCTAGCATGTCAACCAAGTAACCAAACAATCAGAAGCGAACGTGAATGAACCAGCAATATAAGTATTAAAATGGTATAAGAGCAATAAACTTTCATAGAGTGAATCCATAGATATATCATGGCGTAGGGGTAGAAGCGTTCGCACCGTTGGAAGCAGAGGCCGCAGTGCCTTTCTCCGTATCATGAATTTTTACCCCCAGCTTCCACACCTGATCAATTGTCAAGGTGGGCCCCGAGTAGGGATCGAGGATATCGTCCAGCACAATCAGGTCGGCATCGGCACCGCTCTCCAGTGTCCCCTTGATGCCCTGCAGACCAAGCATGCGGGCCGGGGTTGCAGTAACTGCATTCAGGGCTTCGGCAGTGGAGGCACGTGACCAGCGACGGAAATTGTTGACGCACTCAATGAGGGTGGCAGAACTGCCGGCGATCTTGTCGGAGCCTTCGAGGGTCAAACGCGCGCCAGTTTTGATGATGCGCTCGCCGTTGGTCCATTCGTAGACACCATCGGGAAGCCCGCACAATTTCATCGCATCGGTGACAAGGATAAGTCCATCGGGGTGGGCATTGTAGGCAATCTTGATGGATGTTGCGTGCAGATGAATGCCGTCCGCAATCACGCCGTAAAAAGGCCGACGGCGCTCGCTCTGGCCCATCAGTCCGAAAACACCTGGGTTACGATGGTTAAAGGGTCGCATAGCATTGAAAAGGTGTGTGATCATGGTAGCGCCCTGCTCTGTGGCTGCCAGAGCTTGCTCGTAGGTAGCATCCGAATGCCCAATTGAGTAAACAATACCGCTGTTCGCGAGGGCGGAGATGTTAGCCGTCATGTTGCCCACTTCCGGGGCGGCAGTGATCATCCTGATAGGCTTTGATGCACCCAAGAGATTTTCATTGCCATAGCACTCTACCAAATCTTCGAAGGTGTTGGCGGCCCTGAGAACGTCGGTTTTATGAATGCCATTGCGGCCGGAGCTGATAAATGGACCTTCAACGTGGGCGCCTAGAGATTCAGCACCATCTTCTGGGCGATGATGACCTGCTGATGGTCCCAAGGATGGCAAGACCTAAGACAGTTAGTACCACCGCAGTTCAGTCAGACAAATCATGCATACCTTGTGATAAACCTCCGCGGTCGAGCTCACGAGCGTTGGGAGATATGAGGTGACACCAGTTCGAGCCAGACCCTTGTTGACTAAGCGCAACCCTTCATCATATTCCTCCCGGGAAGGTTGAGGGACGGAGAAATCAAAGCCCTGCGCGCCGTTTAGTTGAACGTCGATAAGACCAGGAGCGAGGATCCGGCCGCCTAAATCGATGACCTCATCGGGCGAAAGGTGCAGGCCATAGAAAGCCTCTTGATCCTTGAGGATCTTTCCGGAGAGAGAGTCAATCCAGAGATCCTGTTCGATGAGTTCCTTGCCCTTCACTATTCGGCAGTTGGTGAATTTGGTGATCCGGGGAGGTGAAGCTGTTTTGCCAGGCATGGCTGTTGATAAGAGATAAGAGCGATAGAGATAGGTAAACAGTAGATAGATAGATAGATAGATAGATATAAATGGGGATGAAAATAAATAAAAAAGTAGAAAGAGGTATGATGTTTTAGATAAGATACAGGATGTCAGACAGACTGATGAAAGTAATGAGTAAATGAGAAAGAGAAAAATAAGAGGAAATATCTGGGAATGAATATAATTGAAAGCAATCCACGAGCAGCTTAGCAACCAGCAGAAAACATGGTCACATCCATCAGATCAGATGTGACGACGACAAGACAAGAAGAAAAAAAGATCTACAAAAGCCCCACGAAGAATATTCTATGGCGTCAAGTATGTTGCTTTGAGCGAAGCAGAAACAAGAAGAGCTGAGAGAATGTGACGTTGAGAGGGGGAGAAGATAAGGCTGCAGCATGACCATGAATGTGACCTGACCGGATAGGGAGACAATGAGCATTGAGATGATGAAAGAAGAGGAGACGACGAAGCAGAGATGATGACATTCAGAAATGTTTCGATCAAGAACGAGTAGAGATTACCCGATTGGGAATGTTACATGACCCGGTGATACATACAGTACGGTATTGTGTTACCAACCCATACCCGAATATTACAGATGTTTACCATACCAGACAGTAATGAAACATCCCTACTTATGTATTGTCGATCACAGGGATTAAAGATTCATAGTAATGCAATATCTCGATCTGAATAACAACATGTTTTCTATTTAGAATCAATAAATACACATATGTATATATCCTCTTCTTTCTCTTCCATCCAAATAATATCAGATCACCATCATCTCATCCCCGCATTCGGCCGTAGAGTTGCAAGCGGAGTCAGCCCGATGTCACCGTCGTGTCTTCGCTTCCTTCCGGCCTTTCTTTTCCCTTCTTTCTCGCTCTCCTGGTTCTTATCGTGATAAAGGAGAAAAAAAAAAAAAAAAAAAGAGGCTGAGTTGCATCGGATGGCTCCATCCATCTTCGCCTTCATCTTCTCTCGTTTCTCTCTCTGCAACATCATCATCTCCCGGTCTGATCTGTCACTGTCTCAATCGCTTCGTCCTCGTGGCTGTCACGTCGGCTTATCTGCATCACATTTTCTCCATCTTTTTCCTTCTCCGCAATTTCCACTCGACAGCCATGGTGGATCGGCGTTGATTTCCATCCACTCTCTTGACTATCTTCGTCTTCTATCGCAGAATTGAGGCTTTTCATTGACTCGTCCTGCTAGAGAGAGATAAGGTACGCTCTCCACCTCTTCCTTCTTCCACATCATCACAGCCTCGTATTACTTCCCCCGACTATCATCATCATCATCTGATGGCCCCAATCGCTTTCTTTTTATTCGTCCCTCGCCGTAGCTATTTTCTTACCCCAGACTGATTCGAATCCTCGTTTTTCTTCTTTTTCTTCTCTCCCCCTGTGTTGTGTAACTATCCATTCTCTTATTTATACTCGTCCTTCCGTCTCGTCCCCCGCCCCCTTCATTCCATCCTCTCCATTCTTTCCTTGTTTTCTTCCTCCTTTGACGGCTGTCGTGCCTGAGTATCTTTTTTCCGTCTGGTTCGTTAAGGAACGCTATTTATTTTTTTATTTGGTTGCTGTCTCTTTCCCTTCCTGCATTCACCCTTGAACCTTGCGCGAACTGCACGACTCTTGCTGATCGGGATTCGTGCCCCTAGCGCCCACCTTCAAGTATATATAAAATTAAATTATATATATGCATACACTCTTATATATATACTCTTTTGAGCTTTAGGGGAATCATGGAGCCATCGACAACGGATAATCATGGATACAAACCTGAAAAAGAGTTCCCCGAAACCGCCTCGGATCCCGAGTCTGGCCACGACTCATCCGTCGTGGGTAAGCCGTGGATGTACAAGCCATTGAAATTGGGCCCTTGGAACCTGCCGTATTTTGCTTCTCCCGAAATGCAATTGATCCTCGTCTCCTTCGTCTGCTTTCTCTGTCCCGGTATGTTCAACGCGGTCAGCGGACTTGGAGGTGGTGGTCAGGTCGATACGGCCGATGTCAGTGATGCCAACACAGCCCTGTACAGCACTTTTGCCGTCGTCGGTTTCTTCGCCGGTTCCATCGCCAATCGAATTGGTCTCCGGTTGACGCTCTCATTGGGCGGTTTTGGTTATTTCCTCTACGTCGCCTCGCTACTTTCTTACAACCACAACAAGAATGTCGGCTTTCTGGTTTTTGCGGGTGCGATGCTAGGTGTTTGCGGTGGTCTGCTTTGGTGTGCACAGGGAGCTGTCATGATGAGTTATCCCAACGAGAAAGAAAAGGGTAAATTTATCTCGATCTTCTGGGTTATTTTCAACCTGGGTGGTGTCATTGGAAGTTTGGTGAGTAAAAAACTCCGACTGTGACCATATCCCAGGAATTTATCTCTAACAAAATGTTGGTAAATAGGTACCCCTCGGCCAAAACCTGCACTCAGACGCAGGGCGTGTCAACGATGGCACCTATATTGCCTTCATGGTGCTCATGGCAGCTGGATTTGTCCTCGCCTGGGGCCTTGCAGACTCGAAATACGTTATGCGCAAGGATGGCTCGCGAGTCATTGTTATGAAGAATCCCACGTGGAAGTCCGAATTCAAAGGTCTCTGGGAGACCTTGTTCACTGATTGGTACATTGTTCTATTCTTTCCCATGTTTCTTGCCAGCAACTGGTTCTACGCCTATCACTTCAACAGCGTCAACGGCGCCTACTTCAATATCCGTACTCGGTCCCTCAACAGTCTTCTCTACTGGCTGAGCCAGATGGTCGGCGCCTTCGTTTTTGGGCAGACGCTGGACATGAAATGGTTTTCACGTCCAGTGCGTGCCCGAATTAATTTGTTCCTTCTCTTTGCCATCACCATGGGAATTTGGGGTGGCGGTTATGCGTTTCAGAAGCAATATATTCGCCCAACAGTCACAGCTACCAAAGACTGGACCGACAGTGGCTATATCGGGCCCATGTTCCTTTACATATTTTACGGATTCTATGATGCCGCTTTCCAAACGTGCACCTACTGGTAAGTTTCCACATTGACTCATATACACTCATAGATCACGAGACTGACGCACTGGTTTGCTTTAGGTTCATGGGATCACTTTCCAACAACAGTCGGAAGCTCGCGAACTTTGCCGGTTTTTACAAAGGTATTCAGTCCGCTGGTGCCGCAGGAATGTGGCGGTAAGTTTGTTTCATCCAATGCTTGCAGAAGCCCATCTACTCGGAAATCAGATCACTGACAAATCATGAATTTTAGATTGGATGCCCAGAAAACCCCTTTTATGACCGAGTTTGCCTCTTGCTGGGCCCTTCTTCTCGCCAGTCTTTTGATCGCCTCCCCTGTCGTTGTTCTGAAAATTAAAGACCATGTCGACGTTGCGGATGACCTCGGATTTTCCGACCAAACCGCGCACGATGTCTCCGGTATCCCTATGGAGAACTATCCAACACCCGAGAAAAAGGATGAGAAACGAATTTCTGTCTAGTGTTTCTTCTTTTTGTTTATATATCTCCATTGTAATGTGGCTTGGGCTTCTCAATTATGACTTTTTGGGATAGCCTTGTTGTTTAATTCGTCTTTTCTTGGAGCTTCTACCACTTGTTGGAAAGCTGGGAATGTGTATTTACGACGACGACCATAATATCCTTAATCGATTGACCAAGCGCACATGCCAGCGTGCAGCTGGTCTGCGTGGCCTCTGCCGCAACAGATACCTCACTCCATGATTACATATAATAGATGATGTCCACTTTATATTCTCTATGGAGCAGCTACAGCATCCTCGTCAAGTAGATAAAAACCTCTAATTTTGGCCTTTTTCAGGAAAGAGAACAGTATTATCGATGTGACAGTATATCAGAAAATGCTGGAATGCATGTATGTACAAAACAGGTAAGAGGTCAAAATCACTGTTTTATGTAAATTTCATCAATACGGCCTGGCAATAGCGCTTTTGGTCGCAGAAGGCAATGGCACCGACGACTGAGTATGAGTCGCCTTGGCAGTACCATTTGTGGCATATCCAGGCCAAATCTGAGTGGTACCTTCAGCAATATCCCATCCACCCAAAGTCCTGTTGAACAGCTGCAAAGCTGCCACGGGCTGGTAAAATGGAACCTCGTGCCCAGCCCCGTAGACACGGGTGAAGGAGAAGTTACCATACTCACGGGTCTCGCCGTACTCGACCCCGTTGACAGTCATGGGTGCGTAACCGGCGGAGCGGAACTGGCGACTGTGGGTGTAGTTCACGGCGAGGGAGATGGCTTCGCCACCGAACCAGTTGCAGATGTAGTCTGCATCGCCGTAGATGAGGGAGACGCGGACGGGAAGCTTGAGGATTTCCTCGAGGTCATCGATGAAGTTGGGCCAAACGAAGTCGCCGGTTTGCTGGAAGGCGTAGTAGACTTCGTTGTTGGATTCGGTGTAGTTGATATTGACGCCAATGGCGTTCATCACCGAGTCTTTTTGGATGTATTTGAGGAAGTACTCGGGGGGTGTGGGGTCCTAGGACCAGCAAGATTAGTTTCTTTCTTTCTTTCTTTTCTTTTTTTTTTTTCCTGTTTTAGTATTCAGTAATATATGCATGCGACCTACCTGGTACGGGTGTCTGATGTCGTACACCCCACGTCCACTGAATTCGTAGTATGGGCCCTCTGCATGGATGTGTTAGACCATTAACTTAGTGAGATAGAACAGCGGCCAACATACCAACATTGTCCCTGCACATGTTGGTAGCCTCTGTGCAAATTGCATAGTCAGACAGCGACGTTCTGTTTGTTTGCTTGCACAGGGCGATTTGATCCTGGCATCCATTGGGCATCGCATTGGCGAATTTCATGTAGTTGTAGACAGTATCGTTGATCTGATGGCTAATTAGTAGCGGTTTGGATTGCATCTCCTGTGGAAGACTCACAGATTTGATGCCGTAGGTGTTCTTGACCGCAAATTCTGGATAGTGGGGGGCCTGCAAATGTCTTAATAGTTGCTCGGATAGTCGTCAATAGTGCGAGTGATCTACCTGGATAGCTTCGTCGATGATGCCATTGATGATACCCAAAGAGTTGAAGTCGAGGGCAATGCCATCTACAGAACCATTCACAATTTTTTCATTTTGCTCGTGGAAGTGATTGAAAAACTGCGTCTGTTAGTTTCGTGGCAAAAAGTATCGGCTGTAGTAGCCCGTTGAACTCACTGCAGGTCCATAGTGCCTTGAATAAATGGTCAGCAAAAATTCTTGATAAAATCAACCAAATAACTCACCCTCCATAACTCTCCGTCCATAGATTGAAGCTCTTTGACTTGATCTTGGAGTCCAACTGCGGAAGACCACCAAGGAAGCCCTGTAGCACCTCCCAAGCGGCTTTCGCAGCGAGATCAGTGGTATCTGTGATTGCACCAAAGTTTAGACTGGGTCTCTGAAAACCAATTTTTTTTGATCAAACCTACCAGTCAAGGTAGCATTGATAGTAGCGTAGCGGCCCTGGACTCCTCCAAATGATGCATCCTCGGGAACTCCTGTAATGGGATTCAAAGAACCCTCCTGTGTGTCACTGTAGGAAAAGCCTGCGATTCAACAAACAAGTCAGAGTTCTGCGATTCTCAAACTGTGCTCATGGTAATCCATACCAACACCCAACGGCTGGGACAGGAAAAGCATATTGGAAACTTCATTCCACGAATGAGGGTTGACATAAGATTTATAGCTAGAATTAATGCGGCAAGGGCCCAATTCTGCCCAACTACATCAGCATCACGTCTAAGATATTGAGCAAACCAGAACAAACCTTCAAAAAGTCCAATCAAAGAGTCACTGCCCGGGCCACCGTTCAACCACAGCGTGATAGGGGCATTAGCCGGGTCGTGTCGGGCCTCGAAAAACCAAAAGAAGGTATGCGAGGTTGGCGAGAGGTCAACATAACCAGAGTACGATTTGACACCGGGTGTTGTCTCGCAGACGCCCTCCTTCCCTGGCTCCTTGTAGCGAATGGTGACATTATTAGGCGTCGTCAGGGTTTTGACACCCGTAGGATCCTTGGGCAGCTGTCTACCACTGAGCGAGGCGGTCGCCAGAGGCAATAGTAACGATATCAAGCCGTATCCACGCATGATGTTAAATTATCGGCAATTGATCTTATATTTTATCAATTCCGTATCGAAGGATAAGAACGAAGCTGCTTCACAGAACCCTGTCTACTCGTGCGGAGGTCAAGGGGTGCCTGGCCCCCTTTATGTGTCTACATTTTGCCAGTACGCAGAAAGGGATCGAGAATCGATCTCCAGGCCCACATCGTGAATGTGTGTGACTATGAGGGGAGAGCTGCATGCTGCCGGGGAGAAGTGGAAGTGTGATTGGAGAGGTCTGATAGCAGGGTAGCATCCAGGTAGGTCAAATTGAGACCTGTCGGAGGTTTGTTGGGCGAGTCAAGCCATTGCTGACATGAACTGCAGGAACGGTGCTGCATTCCAACGAATCCATTACATGACTATCTATTATTTATTAATTAATTGCCATCAGCACTGTGCAGCGTGCAGCGTAAGGAGGACAAACGGATTGTGAGAACCACCAACCCTGCAGATCGCGTCATGGTAGCCGTCTCCACTGGCCGCTTATCAACGGGACAGCAGGGATCGACAGGTATACGAAGGAGAAGAAGAGAAGGAGGAAGAAGAGACTAGAGAGACATTGACGATTCGTGTTTCCGATAGGAAAGAATCGACAGATGGCGGTAGAAGGATGGGTCAGTTAGTAGAAACTAGAGTGGAAGAAGAGGAGAAAAACCCCGCAGGTGGAGAGGACAAGATGGACAGCGACCTGCCCAAAAGGGGTTGGGTTGGATAAGACTACCTGGTAAGACGGAGGATACCGATGCGATAATATATTATTATTATATGAAGGATTACTATTGTTATTATTTGGAGAGATAAGTTGAATCATATCTTGGATAATATTGAGAGACACCGATAGACATTCTAGCTAGATTAATGTCTCATAGAATTTAGGATAGAGTTGACAGAGTTGACAGAGTAAACACTGTCTTACAAGAACTATTAAAGAATGGCATTTTATTTTAAGAACAAGCAGAATTAAGCATTGATTTCAGTTTGTTTAATCAGCCAGTCCAGCATAGCATAATTAGAGCACAAGCCGTTATTTACAAAGTCTCAGTATAATGCCACCCAAACACCCTCGTAGATCTTGACCACCATGAGATCATCTATTACAGAACTTCATGTGAATAATACGTCTTGTTTCCATAGAAGAGAGCTGCAACTTTAATTCCAGTGTCAATCAATTGACCGAGTGACACAATAACATGTGATTCCGATTCCCGGAGATTTATATCACGCACTTGTACAGCAGAAAGACACATTACTTTTGTAGAATAAGTCATTCATATTCCTCATCTCATACTTTTGATAACATGTATATAAACAAATGAAAAGCAGGCACATATATATATCCCATTACAGAATAAACGCCACCCATGATTCATGTCTTTTGAAAGAGGCATGTTAAAACGAATTTCAAAGCGATAAAGCCAATCCAATCCCGTAATAAAACAGAATATTAATGAAAAAAAGAACAAGGGAATCGAAAGGAATTAATATGCACAAGTAATCGGGTTTCATGAATCCAGGCTCAGCCCGAGATCAGTGTCGAGATCGGCGGTAATGTTGGCCTCGGCTGGTGCCTCGGTCGTCGTGCCTATGGGGCCTGGAAGACCATCCGCCAGCCCAGTAAAGTCCACCCCTTTACTGTCAGGGTTGAGACCCATCATGTCAGACATGTTACCCATGTTGAATCCGTAATTCTTGTCCGCAGTGGGGTTCCCATTGAGGTTGAGATTACTGTCCTCCGAGGCCATGAAGTCGGTACCGGCATCGTCAAAGTTGATCAGCGCATCGAAATCGTTTTGGGTCACCTCGGCATCGTTGGCGAGATCCATGAGCTGGCTCAAACTCAACTCCGAATCTAGGTTGGGAATGCTAAAGGCATCTTGGTGGTAGTTCGGATTGAGGTTGTTTGTGCTGCCATTTTCACTACCATCGGATGCGGGCGGAGTCGAAGCAAAGAGTGGGCCACCTTCCTCGGCAGATTGAGCGGCCGTCTTTGCTTTAGGAGGCTTGGGATAGGTAAGGTCTGGGATCTTCTGGGCGAGGGAATCGGGGGGTGGAGTCAGGGTGTTGAGTCGCGAGGTCGTGTCTAGTGTGCTGCCGGTAGGCCGGGTCTGGACGTCCTGTGGGGCGACAGTGAGCTGGATACCGGCCTTGCGAATCGCGGCCTCGAGGAAAGATGTGGCGAAATCGGCGGAAGCGTAGATCTCTCTCAATCGCTGGAGAATACGCATGCACTGGTAGAAGCGTTGTAGGCTAGTCATCCGAACACTGGGGTCACTGGATTTGATGTCGAGAAGGTGGATGATAACGGCGGGCAGGAGCACCGTGACTCCGGTAGTGGGGAAATACCGCGTGAGATCCAAGCAGTGAAGGTCCTGGGCGATATTGGTGATCTCGACGGCGGCAAAGCGCACCTTGTTCCTCGACATTTCTTGCAATTCCGCATCCATCGACGGATATGGGATGGCCGGGAGGACTTGAGGGCGATGCAAAGCGCTGGACGTGGTCAGGTAGACCATCTTGAGCAGGGCCCGATGAGAATGCAAAACCTCTTGTGCCTCGGTCAGTTTCTGGGAGGCAGCGGGGGAGTACTGGGTCTCCACGGGAAGGTTGGCCCGCCAATCTTCCAGCTCCTGGTCGCAGCGTCGGACTTCAAACGTCTCCGCGGCCGATTTCTTGGGGACCAGCATCATAGTAGTCTCCATCGTGCCGCCGAATTTATGGCTCAGAACGGAATACTGGGCGGAGAGGACATGGCTCACGCCCAGACAGAGCTTGGCCTTTTCGATAAACATCATGGCGAGCTCTCGCTGGTGACTCGGATTCGAAAGAATTTCCGAGTTTCCAACCATGCTGACGATTTCAGGGGGGAAGGCGTGGAACTCGAAATCGTCAAGACACAGCATCGGGACATCACAGTCATCGTCCTTGACGCGCATGGGACGTCTCATTCCCAGGGCAATCAGACGATCGCGAGTGTAGGTGCTCCACCATATGCGTTTCCACATGCGCTGGCGACGAACGTCCATCCGGGAGTTTCCGGGATCGCGATGCAGTCCAATGGTATGTGCGAGAGACAGACTGACGCCCATCCAATGCCAGGTGTCTTTCTGGTCATCGGGGGTCTCGTACCAATAAGTCATCAGGAGTAGGGACTGAACGAGGGAGATACGGTCCACTTCGTAGTCAAAGTCGTACAATAGTCGGGCACGCTGGAAGAAGACCTTGCGGGCCACCTTGCGAGACTGATAACCGGCAGCATGTAAGTGCTTCAAGTCGATAAACGCAGTACCGGCGAACATGACAGCCTGGAACAGTAAAAGACTCATTCGGTGAATGCCATCGTTTTTGACGATTGTCTGCAGGAAATCTTCCAAGTCCAAAAGAGGCATGTAGGTGTGAACGTAGTGGATGTAGCTTTTCAGCAATTCATTGCGCAACTCGGGATCGGGGACGGTCAGGGCGCCTTTCATGGCCAGATAATCGATATCCTCTTTTTGCAATCGCGCGGGCAACCCGCGGATGTAGTCGGGCAGTACAACACCACCAGAACGAGCATTGGCAAAGCCCGGATCCAAGAGCTGCTGAATTTGCGAGGTGACATGATGCAGGGGAAGCGTGGCGGGGACTGCTGGGTTGGGAGCCATTCGTCTTCGATATTGGTCTTCCGAGCCAATGCGCTGGACTTGGTTTTGATCTATGAGAATATTAGTTGAAACCCCCCCCCCCATTCAGAAAAAACCCAGGGAGATAACACGAACAGAGCAGATGCGGCATATGCTGCCCTTGATCCAAGTCTACAGAATGCAGAGAGGGGGATGCGGGGGCAGCGTCCGAAAGCCCGCGACTCTCAGAGAGTCTGCGCAGAAGATTGCCACCATCTTCGGGGACGGGCGATACAGAGGGATGGTTGACAGACGGATGTTCTGTTTCAACACGAGATTTCCTGAAGAGTGGCAAAAAAAAGAGAGACACTCGACGTTAGCCGGGCAAATTCCAAGGCGGGTGATATGTTTGTGATGAAATGAATTCACCACAAGGCTATTTCGACATGGACGAACTTTCTCCTCTTGCTTTCTGTAACCACGCATTCTACCTGATCCAGACGACAATTCGTACAGGGCGAACCATTCTCGACGACATCGCAACGGACCTTGCGAGCACGACAGCAACAACATGCCTTGGAGGCTCTTCGTTTGACAGGGCGGGAGTTGACAGAGAGGCCAGCCGTAGAGGCCTTGCGTTTTGATTGGGATTGGGGATCCATTGTTTTTGCAGGGGTAGTAGATGAGGAAGAAGAGGAAGATAGTGTAGCAGTGGCGTTAGTCATTATTATGAACAGGGCGAATCAATTGAGTCATTCGTCGAGACTAGAAATGTAGGTGAAGATAGATAGATAGGATAAAAAGAGAAGCACGATCACAACGTGTAAAGAAAGGAAGAGAGTGGAGAGTGTCAGGGAAGTAGCATGTATCAACGGGGTTTCCTTTTTCTTTTTTTTTGCTTTTTTTTGCTTTTTTTTATATAAGAAATAAAATAAGAATAATCATCTATGAAGCATTTCGTCCAAAGGACGAAAACCGACTGGCGCGCTGGGCCCGGGGCGACGCCATGGTTAAATACTGTCGTTACAGAAGAGATCAGGAGGCCAAAACCGAAAAAGGACGATCCCAAGCAGCCCCAGTTTTTGCCTCCCCCAGACCAGAACCAGACAAAGTAAAGCATTAGCACAGCAATCAGAAATCAAATCACATAATACAATTATTATGACTTGAAAACTTCCATCCTTCGGTTACCTTACCGTACGCTGCCTAGGGCACGTTTCAACTGCCTCTGGATACTCCCTTTCGTTACCCCAAACTGTTAGGCCATTTATTATCCAATTCTGGCGCCCCACCCTGCCCCACCGGCCCCACCCGCTGTTTCTGCCCAACCACTGGCCGATGCGGTGACTTCGGCCCGGTCACGTTACTGAGTCCAGCCCGCCCACAGGGCCCCACTGCTGCGGCCGGCCAGTCACGGCCACCGCCGGAGGGGACCGGGAGCGAATCAGAATCCTTGTTATTGGTTGAGAGCCATGTCTTCCAAAACAGGCTAGGCCCGTGGTTCTGGGAGGGCAGCTGCGTCATTTCTCGGAATCTTTTCCGTTTTACCGCACTTAACCCTTGTGACTTGACACTTGACAGTATCTAGAGTACTATTATGAGTATTAGCATTAGAGAGTTATGTTGAGATGAATTGAATTGAAGATAACCAAGAAGAAAAAGATAGAAATAAGAACAATTTAGAACAACAAGGGAAATCACATCCATGGAATGAAGATCATTGAAAGTTTGCAGTCCCAACAATCTGCAGTCCTAAGTCTCCAGAATATTATTTGATTATTCAATATGATTCAATATTATTCATATTATTTCATACAAGTACTATGGTAAGATACAATCTGCAGAATCGATAGTCCAAAGCATGTGTCTATCCCAAATATGGACCGATGACGATTTACATCCTAGAATCCGGTTGACTGCATGTGCTCCATTATCTGTCAACTTTCCAGTATTTCAAGCTGATGAAGATCACGCTTTCCCCTTTTTACATCCAGCTACATTGTAACTCTCTTGTCTTTCAATGTCTCCTATTTCTGACTCCATACCGACCCAGATCCCGAATTGACGGTGGAGCAGAGGCAAGACTAGGTTAGACTGGAGCATGCTGATCCAATCAAATGGCGAACCCGGTGGCTCTGAAAATAGGCGACCTTGCGAGTTAGTTTAGGAGGGTTAGTCTAACATAATAGTATTACTACCACGCCAATCCCCATCAGAATCACAATCAAAATCAGACCAAATCTTGATTGCGGAAAAAAAAGACGCGCGGGTGGATCTGCCGTGTCCATCTGCCAGCCACACGTGATGCCCTGTCTGGCCCAATCAGCCTGTTGTTTTGTGCCGATGCACGGAGGGTAAACGTTCTCTCTGCTGTCAGACAGTCTGGATGGAGGCATGGGAGAGACACAGAGAGTGCGATCTTCGGATAATTCTTCTTCATGGAAATCATGGCAGACTGTGTCGGAAATCATTCGGGATCCCTTCATCCACTCCGTTATTCCGGGGACTGGGGAAACTTCCGAAAAGGAGGGGGAACAAACCACCCAAACCCCAAACCATTCCATAATTTAAATTAAAATATCCAACCCAGACGAACCAGACAATCCTGATTCCATACAGGAAGAGGCAACTATTCACCTGCCACCAGTCAGCAGCGTCACTGCGGATTCCACGGTGGGACTAGACTGGATCTTGAAATTTGATCCTCCTCTCTGGGATGCCGTTTGCGGAAATACGGCAGACAGACTTTGGTTTCTCCAGTTTCTTCTGCTCGTTCCATCGCACCGCCACCTCCGATCCTGGGGTTAATAGTCATCGCATTACAACATCTCGACCGTCCACGGTCCGAAATGGTTCAAGCCACTTTGCCGAGCCGGAGCATTTGTCCTAGACGAGTTACTTGTCGATCTTCCCCTTACCGTGACTTCTATGTAGTTGACGTAGACTACTCTCCTGTAAATGTAACTCCAACATATTCAATCATGTACATTATTATGAATCGGTCCGATCCCCCACGTTGCTGGCGGTAACCCGACAAAAAGCAAGAAGCAGACATGAAGTCATTTTTCACATGACATCCTGCCCAGATAGGCACCCAGATAGGAGGGGTCTGTGTTTATCCCAGCAGGATTCTTCCTACACCACGACTAAGCTGTACACTAAAATTACCACTACTTACAGTAATACTAAGCAGTCATGCTAATTGCTACTAAGTGAGGGAAGTCTAGATCCATACGGCACAGACTAACCGTTAGTCACCTCCGGCTAGACGGCCTCTACCCCGCAGATAAGCCGGGGCAGCGGAGGTCGATGGTTCAGGGATATACTTGCTCTGCTACCACTACTCGCTGTGATCTTGACTCAACATCCAATGACATTCCTATTTCAACGCCTTCAGGATATCTCAGTAGTAGCCAATTCAAAACTATCAAAGCAAAACGTAAAAAACCTCATACAAAAAGGGGAATAGTAATCGTAACAAATCAATCCGTCCATCATGCAGCCTATGCACCACGGCCCATCCGTTCAATCGATCCCATGATGCCACTGCGGCCTGGCGTAAACACTGCTATCCCAGATTTGCCCCCGCTGTTGCCTCTACCATGTCGACTGGCTGGCGCTGGGATCTTGGGTATCCTCTTCTCCCCTGTGCTGGGAGGACGGATGCCACTAGGGCCACTGCGTCCAATACTGCGTCGGAAATCTTCAACCATTGGCTCTGGTGTTGTCGTGCGCTCCCCAGATTCCTCCTCACGTGGACTCGAAGGTCCAGAGGTCTGCTGCTGCGGTTGCTGCATCGACAACCATTCATCCACAGCAGCAACGAGTTCGCCCTTTTCGGCCCTTTCCATTTCCAACTCCGAGCGCATTCGCTCACTGTCCGCCTTGATTGCGGCCATTTCCTGCTGTAGACCCTGCATCTGTGCTTCGAGGACGTGCCGCTCGGCTTCATGATCATCGTTCTCACGGGCCATCATGCTAGCATTGGGGTTGGCAGCCTCCGACATGGCGGCATCGCGCTCCATCTTCAACCGTTCGTTCTCTTCATTGGTGGATTTCGCCTTTTTCTCGGCCTCCCGGACGCGTTTTTCCCACCGTGACTCATAGCTCTTCTTCAACGCCGCAACCTTGGTCTCGTGCTTGCCCTTGTACAGTGCGTGAAGCTCACGAGCAACCTTTTCAACCGCATCCTGGACTTCGTTGGCCGTCTTTTCTGCCGTTTTAGTGTTGGGTGCAGCCTCAGACGCTCCTGGTTCACTGGGTGCTGAAGTCCGAGCTGCTTCCAGTTGGCTCTCTAGCTCAACAACTCGGCCTTCGAGTTGTTCCTTGCTCTTCTCGACTTCCTCCACCTTCTTCGTCAACTGTTCTCTTTCACGCTCGCCCTCCACAATGGTAGCCCTTACGGTCTGTAGGACATCTTCCATCTCCTGACCCCTTCGCTGCCATTCGACTTGTTCAATCTCCAACGCCTCTTTACTGGCAGCCTCGTGACGAACTTCTTCCATGGCTTCGCCAACACGTCGTTCCGCGTCTGCAACAGCCTGCTTAAGGCTGGCAACCTCAGCTTCCTTTCCACTCAAAGTCGCTTTCAGCGAGGAAATCTCTGACATGAAACCAGACTTAAGGGACTCAAGTTCTCGGGGTGTGACGGTTGGGATCGACCGGGGGGTCGGTACGGGAGGGATATCAAAGTCCAGCAGTGACGTTTTAGACGGCGACCTGATAGATTCGCCCACGTTTCGCAATGGCGAGCGCCGAGAGGGGGAGTATCGCGCATTCTGTACGCTATAGCGTTTACGCGGGAAAAAGGTATGCTGATCTGCGAGGTCTAGTAAGTTGGGCGTGTCGCTCGGATTTCCGATATCCCTGGCCTCCCGTTTTCTGGGCGTAGGTGAACCGATGGGCGAGCCGATGTCAATCAATGAATTTTTCATGTACGGCCTCTTGGAGCTGTTTGGAGTAGACGGTTCCACGCTGCGAGCATCGCTCTGTTGAGCTGGGCTGTTCTGGAAGTTTCGCATCGCTTTTGTGGGCGACTCGCCTCGCAGCCTTGCAAATGATGTCATGTCTGCATTTGGAACAGCTGAAAATGTGCTCAAACAAGTTTCGTCCATGGTTTCGTGAAGTTCGTCATCATCGTTGTTGTCAATCATAGCATCGTCCACGTCGTCTGCGTCTGCATTTTCGTTTTCTCCGGCTGTTTCGTCTTCGCGGAGAACAGTACTCATGCCTTCATTGTGCTTATCCTCCATCATGCTGTTGGCTGTTTCCTGTCCTGCGCCCTCGACTAAGTTCTGCTCATTGTGAGGCCGAGCATCTTCATCCGCGTAAACGTTAATCTCGGGCTGATCTCTTCGGTTCGTGTCTTTCGTGTGCCTCTCGTCCAAATCTTCGTCTGCATTCTGTTCATCGGGGACATTTTCGTAGGACCGTTTTCTGGGAGTCGTAGACCGTTCACTGAATATGGGTGATAGCTGTCTTTGTTGTTGCCTTTGCAGCATTTGAAAGTCGACGGTTTCATCTCTCCCATCAAACTGAAAAGGTGAGCTAGGTGCTACCTGGAAAGATTCGGCATCGTCCTCGACTACATTTTGCTCGTGTGATTCGTGTGTCGGGGGGTAGTCCATGTCTTCTTGAGGGTCTTCAATGTCTGTATTACTGATAACTGTTTTTAATGGACTTGAAAAGGTGTTCTCTGAATACTCGTTGTTCGCCATAGTTTCGTCAATGCCGCTGTGCTCTGTCTTAGAGTGGAAGGAGGCTGGTGAGAGACCTCGTGAGTTCTGACGCGACGACGTTAAGGGGGAAAGAGGAGTAGACATGACGAGGTAAGTAGGAGAGGGGAGGAGAGAAAACAAAAGAAGAAATCGCGCTAGTCTTGTAGATAAGCCAAGAAGCGCAATAAGTCAATGCTAATTCAAAATATGTATGAAAAGCAATAAACTGCTTGCCCACGGTAAGGAGGTTGAAGCAGATTGACTCTTGTTATTATTATTATTATTTTGTTGTTGTTGTTTTCGCCGGTTGCAATGGGTGGTAAATAAAGCTAATCCGTTTACGGTCTAGTGCGGCACTTGCAGAGCGGTGGCAACTGACAGAATTGTTTTCTCACCGCCCAAGAATAGCCCTAATTTGGCATGAGAAGAATCGAGGAGAAACAATCAATCCACTCGGTAAAATATCAGATAATTGCTCTTGAGATATTATGCATATATGGTGCCACATGATGACCGGCTTATAGTGATATATCACCAATTATCTTGGAAGGGAGTAGTCTATGTGAACAAATAAATAATCTGCCGTCAAAAAAACAACACTTATGCACATCAGAAAGAATACTCCACCAAACTAAATACATTACAAACTAGTAGATGCAATAAGAACAGAAGCTATTTACAATAGTGGTCTAATCATGCTAGATAAGCTTAATAGAAGAGCCACTAGTTCTACATCAAAAAAGGTGTTCTCAAACTGTCTTCAGTTCCACGAAATATAATATAACCAAGAAAGAAAAGTATCGTGTCGGACAAATCGTTAAGCGTTGCTCTCTGTGTTTCCATCAGCCTCAGTCACCATGATATGAATAGTCTGTTTCGCAGGCTGAGTGCCATCGGGAGCAATATGGCAAGGGACAATTGGCTGGACTGTGACCGAGGCGTGCTTCTTTCGTTGGATAAACCACACCTGGAGAGCACCAATAGTGGCCACAAAGGCGCTTCCCCACCACGCGATGGCAGTGAAACCAATTGAGGTACCGGTGCTATACAGGAACCCCGCCACAGGAGGAGCAACCGTGCGAGAGGCTGCTCCTGCGGACGCAGCAAGGCCATTGATTTTGCCCATGACAGAATCAGAAGGACTGGCTTGCTTGATGAGAATCAACAGTACCGGGAAAGCGATGATAGAAAGGATGTTGCGAACGATCAGACAGGCATATATGCCAATAAAGAGAAATTTGTGTGGCACGAAAACCAAAAAGGGAACGATAAAATAGGCAATGGGGTGCAGAACAGTCACCAGTACGAAAAGCTTCCATACCCCCAAAAAATGGGCCAGGGTTGGGAAAATAAGAGTTTGAACGAAGAGTGCAATGAAGCCGTCGGAAGACATGATCAATCCGACAGTTCGGGTCGACAGACCGACTCCACCAGGAATACTGAAGCCCGAATTGCCCAAGCCCGAGATGTTTCTGGCGTTTCCGTCTTGCAGAAAGATAGGGAGCAGATGATCATATGTCATTGAATGATATGTGAAAATAGCCAATGCAACGATGAGCATGGTAACTCGCCAGTTAAAAGTCTTTGGTTTCTCTGGACCCGATTCGACCTTTGATCCATCGACTTGTATCACCCAGTCCTCGTCCTGATGCAGATGGACCTGGTTGAAAGTTCCGTATGATTCGGCTCGTAGATCTGCGCTTGCATTTGCTGTTGCTCCAGCCGTTGCTAGAAGAGGATGTTCGGCGGATGTATGATCGAGATCTTCGGGAACACTCCATTTCTGCATGTCCGGATGGGTCTCTTGCAGAAACAGCCAGCTGCCAATGATGCTAAAAAGAAGTAAAACGGAACAAACAAGGTTTGGTAGAAGATAGGGAAATTTGCCAAATAGGCCATCAGTAGGGAAGAGGGTAGGGTAACTTTCTGCTGGCTTTGCAAGCAAACCTCCAATGGCTACAGCCAAGACATCAACATTTGTCCCATTTCAATCACCTTGAGAAGTTTGAACACCTACCTGGCCCGATGATCGTTCCAATTGACCAGACAAATGGCATCACAGCATAGGCTCGAGCTGCATTTAAACTGTCAGGCCCATGAACACCAGCACAAGAGAAGAGTTGGCACTTACGTTCATGCTCAGGCCGTTTGACCAATTCACCAACCATTGTCTGGATAACCCCAATGTTGCCATTCAAAAATCCTCCTAAAGCTCTCCCAAAGAGGGCCACCCAGAAGTTGGGGGCAAATCCCACAAGCAGAAGCGATAGCATTGTACCGAAGCAACCGGAGAGGAGAATGGGTTTGCGACCGACTCGGTCTGAAAGAGCCCCCCATAACATACCAGTCAAAGCTTCAGCAAGGGAAAAGGCGGAGACGAGTATACCGGCGTAAATAGAGGCATTGTGGCTATTCGCCATGCGAAAGTCCTTAACCATCACCCATGAATAGGGAAAGATGGACGTTAGGGCGATTGGCTCCGCAACACGACATATTGCTATCAACACCAATTAGCATGCGACTTATATATATGATTCTTCACTGGAATGAAACTCACCTAGAAGAAATAACTGGGTGGTAGGGAATCTGTCGTCCGCGCATGTTGGTCTTTCCTGGAGTGTTAATACCATTTCTTGAGAACCGTTTAAGATTCTTACGGCAATCCCCAGCCAAGTAACGGGTCTCCTGTATGAGATCTTAGTCTTTTCAGTTCTTCTCTTTCTCTATATATTTATCCCTCTCTTAAGGCGTGTGATGAAATGTGGAATCTGACAGTTGATGGGAACTGAAAGGAAGGAGAGAAAGAAATATTCCAGGCGGGGTTGATTTCTGCCTGCATCAGGCTTGCAATCAAGTCATGTGCCAGCGATGGCAAGAGATAACAGAAAAAAGTTTTGTCTGGGAACAGCCGAAAGGGAGAACCATGGGAGGCGAAACAACGGAGACGAGCTTCGGCGGATATTCGAGGAATGCTTGTGTCACAACTGATTGCCGATTGCAGCCAAAACTATTTGTTCCTAGGCGAGTACTAAAAGGACATTCCCAATTTAGCTTGTTACTATTGTTGTGATTTCTTGCATCAAGTTGTACAATATGACACACATTGAACAAAGTGGCTGAATTTTATGATATAATTGGTGACTCATCAGGTGGTATTGTTGTCAGTGTTCTTATACTATTCTGGAGAAAGCAAGCGAATTTGGCCATAAATAATCAATATTTTGGACCACGAAGATCAAGCAGTACCAAGCTGCCTCTATATAAATACTGTACAAGAAAATATCCAAATCCTGACAATTCGTGGAATACATGAAGCATTATTCAAATCTTACATGGCACCGCCATGCAAACAGGATCACGTCTCATTTTCAGAGACAGGGATGTATGACCGGCGTTCCCGTGCTGCCTGAAAGGAAATCAGCTTTCTTTTTCAAAGTGTTTACATCGTCGGCGAGATAAATCAACATACCTCAATCCACTTTTCCACCCATGGCTTAAAGACTGCCCATGCTAGAAGACCGCTTGTCGCAAATATGAAAATGAACACGATAGCTTCATCTTTGGCCGAGTCTCGTTCTAAGCAGAAAGAGTTAGCATTGCCTCAGTGTCACATGCCTGGAACGAATTGTTATACGGAAACAAGTAGTAAACACATCCTCCTCCTTCGCGTTCTTACAAGTGGGCAAGTCGTAATCAAGACAAAATTTCCGGTTACAATCGGTACAGCTCAGTGGCCGATATTTGCTCTTGTCTTTGCTGGTCCTTTTCTCAATCTCGGTGTCATCATCTTCAGTGAAGCGGCGATTCCGGATGTGGAAGAGGTTGTTTAGAGCCGAGGTGGTTTCTGGCTGTGCGGGGTCAAGGGGGATGATGGTGCTATTGGAGAAACAGGTACATTTGCAGAATGAAGTAGGTGCTATATCAAGGAGATAGTTGTTAGAAGAAGGACTCTTTCTTTGGTGTTCGCAAGGAGGGAGATCGCGAACGATTGGAAAGTTGGCTTCACTTACTGGATGCTAGTGCCAATGACGCGCAAGAAAGGAGGGCAAGAAAAAGAAGCAGCAGATAAGAACTACTGCCACGTTGTAGCATGATGGGCTTGATGTGAAGAAATAAAGGACAATCGTGATTATCGTCCAGCGACACTCGAGGTTTCTAGAAGCTGACGACGATGGGTATCATTGGCGACAATCAATCAACCTCGGGATTCTTGGCATCATGTGACAATTCGAGAATCAGCGTTGGATATCATTTGATTTGTTACTGCTAGTCAGGTATTTGATCTTTGGCGATTTTATACGCCATTGTGTAAATGTTACTTGAAAATGGGACAAGACTTTTAGAATACGTATCAAAAGGACTAGGTATATATGAAATCAAGCATCACAGCTATGCAAAATATGCCCGTCATCTTAAACCCGAAATGCTAAACACCATGCCATGTTTATGACTTTCCTTTCATTCCTTTCATCCGGTTCTCTCTCTGCCTCTGCTCCTTAGCAGCATCTCGCCTTCTCTTCTTCCACGCACGATTGTTGTCACCACGATTCTCCCAGAACCATTTGGTAAAATCGGACTCCTCCCTTTGAACAGTGGTCGATTTGGGAACTGGGGTGTTTGTATACACTTCATCATCCATATCCATAGCATCTTCCTCTCCTGAGGCATTCCAGTTGATATTTCGACCTACCAAGCCAGTGTCGGGTGTTGGAGCAGCGCTTCTCAATCCACGGAATTGCATATCCTTCTTCGTAAACGGTGTTTGGGGTTCGGTAGGTTTGGTTGGCTCTTCCTCCTCAGACTCGATATCATCTTGTCCAAAGAAACTAAACTGAGCATTGGGGGCCTCAACGGCAGGCTTTTTTTCAGACGAGTCGGGCGCAGGGCGTTTGAAAAGCGCCTCCAATGGGTGAACCTCTTTGGGGCTTGAGTCATTATCTGCCTCCATCGAGGTTTCGTTTTGATCAATCGAAGCCTCTGGCTGAGTAGGAGCCGCGGGTGTAGGATCAGAAGACTTGCCAGCCTTGGGATCTGGATCTTTCTCATCATCGCTGGAAGATTCATCTGATAAGTTGGTCGAGTCTTCGTCGCTTTCCGAACCTGCGGTATCCTCATCGGAGCTAGAGCCACTGGAAGAGGTCCAGTCCTCCTCTGATTCATCCGAGGACTCAATATTCTTGGTAGACCTTTTACCCTTTGATTTGGAAGGCTTTGACTCTTTCTCAGACACAGAGATCTTGGCCGATTTCCGCTTCTCCTTAGCCCCTGCTACCTTGCCTGGTCTATACTGGTCATTTCTGATTCTGTCACTGGGAGCTTCCTTTACGTTTCCAGAGTCATCTACCCAACCTTTGCCCTCCTCAAATGTAGATGTAGGAGTCGCTTCTTCGCCTTCGGACCGCAAGAAGCTTGGGTGTGTGACAGTATTCGCAAACTCATGGATCACGGACTCGTTTGTGGGGTTCTTCTTCTTCTTGGACTGCTTTTCTTGTTTTTTGTCGATGGCAATTTTATTAGGAGGGAGTTTGGCCCGGAATAGACACTCTTCCTTCTCTGTGTACTTGGATTTGGGTTGAGGTTTAGCCTTTTTCTCGTCCTTTTCTTTTTTCTTCTCTTCCTTGCGCTTCTCTTTTTTGGTACTACTCGACTCCGTCCAGCCTCTCTTCACCTTGCGATCCGATGGCAACTCATACCCATCAACCACAGTGTCTTCTGCCTTTCGCTTTTTCGACTTCTTGGACGATTTCTCAGAGGCTGGCTTGGGATCGGGAACAACTTCCTCATCGCCCTCTTCATCCCGATGTCTTTTGTGGGGCCGAGCAGCCTCGACCTTGAACTTCTTGCCCTTGAGAATAGAACCATTGAGCTTCTTTTTGATCTTGTCGGCCTCCATGTTGGGCAGGGTCACGTATCCGTAATTATTCTCGGGGAAGGTAGGAATGGCGTGGAAGGAAATCTCTGAGGCCAAGGGTCGAATTGATGCAGGCAAGACCGAAGGGAGGATGTCGGGGGTTAAAGGGGTGATGTGGAGGCGTGTAGTGGTTGATGTGGCCGTGGTCATTGCATCTAGATTATACAGCCGTGGATATGGACAATGAGGATTGAATGAGAGGAGAAAAAAAAAAGATTATTAATTGGTCACCAAAAGATGATCATCTGGGTTGACAGAGAATAACAGAATGAAAATATCATCCAGATTGCATCACACAAAGGACAGCCACCTGATGAAATCCCGTGGCATGTGTTGGAGCATCCCGAATAATTTTTGGCCGATTATTTTGCGATGGATTTTCCTTTCCGGCCAGACCAACCGATGTGGCGCAGGCATTGTCAGGCACCGCCACACGTGATATCCACTCTTTCATGCAGCATCAATTCAGACAGCTGTTGTTCTGCCGTGTGTTGTTATGGTTGCTTATTCTGGATGGAAAGAAGCTTTATCGACTCAGGAATATCAACCATATACTTGCTATTAAAAGCCATTCTATTCGACCTGTCCACCTCATCTCTTGGCCTTCAATACACCGTCCAGCCACAGCTGATGTAATGCGTGGCGTCCCGTGGCGTCACATTCTCTGTCTTACTCCTACTGTACGACTCTTTCTCTATCTTCCATTCTACGTATCATATTTCCTTCCATCCACTATTGAAACTCTCCATCATTGATCTCAACACCAGTCCTTCTTTTCTTTTTCCCATCTATAAGTCTCTTTTTTTCTTCTTCTTCTTTTTTTTTTTGACCAGCTGGTCTTCTTGTTCTTTTAAATCCTATCTTCTTCCCCTCTCGATCCAGATCCGGTCTATTTCCCGCTTCTGATCTCATCGTCGCCGCGCTCAGCAGCCCCCATCGGCTGCCACCTATTACGATTCCCTCCCCCGCTCTCTAAAGCTTCCCTCAGCCAACCATTGTTCCTCTCCACCTGAACCCCCCCCCCCCTGTTGCTGCTTGGATTATTATTGTTGTCTTTCTTGCTCTCTCCTCATCTTATTACCTTATTATTATCTACATTCATCTATTCAGGATTTGTCGCTCAGACTTTCCCCTTTGCTTGTCTTCCCCTCCCTTCTCCCATTCTCCCTTTCTGGGGGTAACGCCTGCTCCGTCGTCTCCGCCTGGATCCGTCGGAGGCACTCATACATTTCGGCCTATCGGCCTGATTTTCCCTTTTCTTGTAACACTATCGCTCGACCTGGCTGGATATGGGCAATTTACAGACAAAAGAGGCGCGCCCGTCTCTTGCTACATCAAACCGTCGACATGGGAGATCGCCGTACAGCGACCGTCACCACTCAGAGGGTTCCCGGTCCACCCGAGGCAGTCGGCCTGATCTCTCCATCCTCGGAATAGGCGGCAGTCATGAACGAGATGTTGAGAGCCTCGAACGTCGACGAGAGAACAAACAGGAGCGGGAAGCCCGCCGCTTGGAGCGAGAAAGGACAGCGAGGATCAAGGAGCGCGAGCGTAGCATGAAGGAAGAACATGTTGATGGGGGTTATCTGGTTACGCAAGGTGTTTATGTCGGGGTGGAGGACTTCAACAAAGCGGTGGTCCGGCAACTGATGGTAAATCCGTCCAACAATTGTGTCCCTTATAAGTCTTGATACTGACTATATCGTTCAGATCGAACGAAGGTTGGCCCCATTCTGGAGAGGTCTCAACGACTTTTCAGATTCTTGGACAGAGCATCAGCTCATGGCCGCTGCGCGAGGCTTATCGATACCACCGCCAGATGAAATTCCTCCGGAGTTGGAATACAAGAACCCCCCGAAGACAACAGAAGATACGAAAGAATCGTCCGACGCGAGAAACGTACACCAACATTTGATGGTTCCAATCACTTCGAGGTCGCAATCCTGCAATTCGGATACGTCCCAGACGTCTTCCCTGCCTTCTCCTACCTCTCCCATTGCTTCCGGTACGTCGAGCTCGCCATTATTCCGGACCCGGGCAAAGACGCTTGCCGCTCTTACTTCGTCTAAGTCTGGTTCTCAATCGGACTTGGGCCCGCGCGAGTTACAGCTCCCTCGCGATCCATTTATCAACGGACAGCCCGTTGAAGCATACCTTTATAAGGATTCGTCCGAGTGTCCCATTTGCTTCCTCTACTATCCTCCTTACTTAAATCACACCCGATGCTGTGACCAGCCGATCTGTTCCGAATGTTTCGTACAAATTAAACGCCCCGAGCCTCATCCTCCAGAACATGGGGATGCGGATCCAACGGCCGCTCCAACTCCAGCACCAGAAGGCGAGCATGCAGATTCCGCAGATTGCCAACTCGTGTCGGAGGCTGCAGCCTGCCCCTTTTGTGTCCAGCCTGAATTCGGTGTCACATACACACCTCCGGCTTTCCGCCGCGGTTTGACCTACGCCCTGGACCCGAGCGGTCGCCCGGCTAATGTGACATCCCCCGTATCATCCAGTTCATCGCTCTCCTCTGGAAACCCTGCAGCACTGACAGGTCGCCGGCGTGCTACATCACTATCCGCTTCCGATCCAACAGTCGTTACCACTGATAGGGTCCGTCCAGACTGGGCACAGAAGCTGGCTAATGCCCGTGCACATGCTGCGCGCAGGTCGGCAGCAGCTACTGCACTTCACACTGCAGCGTACCTGATGAACTCCAACGGAACCGGGAGCGATTCCCGGAATTTCAGTCTTGGCAGGAGAGGCATGAGAAGATCAAATGCGCCAGAACCTCAGAGCAATGCTCGAGGCTCCCCGGCGTTGCAAGCTCTTGCGTTCTTAACTGATAGACGTGTACCTGAGCAGGAGGCTGAGTCCCCCGAAGAAGAATCGGGGAATCTGGCGCCAGCTCGAGGCAGTTCGAGGCGCAATAGAATCGACGACTTGGAGGAAATGATGATGATGGAGGCTATCCGACTCAGTTTAGCCAGCGAAGAAGACCGGCTTAAGAGAGAAGAGAAGGAAGCGAAGAAGGATGCCAAAAAGCGAGAGAAGGACGCGAAGAAGGCGGAAAAGTCAATGCGAAAGAATGGGTTGTATAGCAATAATGGCAGCACCTCTGCTCTTGATACCAATCCAGATGGTCGATTGGCCAGGGTTGCCAGTAACTCTTCATCCCTGGAAGACTCCTCCGTTGCAGGGAAAGGGAAGGAGGTAGACCGTGCGTCGCCCTCTGCGCCGACAATTACTGAAGATACAAGCTCTGGTGCAACTTCCAGCAGTGCAAATCCCACCTCTTCAGATCCAAACCAGCTCTTGCCCTCCGTCGTCCAAGCTCCGCCCATAGAGCCGTCGAAGCGGTCCCATCTACGGCACATGTCGAGCGCATCCTCGTCCTTGTCATCGCTTGTGGAATCTACGTCCGAAGACCACATTGGTGCAACTAATGGGAACCATTCTTCCACCGAGCCAATGTTCAATTTCCGGAGCCTGGCTGCCGTGATTGGGGATGAGGACAAAGGAGACGAGTCCGCCGAGCATGTCGAGCACACAGCCCCGAAGCCCGTTGCAGAGAGCTCTGCCTCAAATGCCACTCCTGCGGATTCCAGCGCGACCGCGGCCGTGGAGCCGAGCGTGGTGCTGCCAGAGAGCCTGATGCCCAAGGAGCTGGAAACCCGATCGGTTGAGATCACCAACACCAACCCAAACACGCGGGCAACATCTTGAAACTTTAGGATTGAATGAGCGATCTACTCTTTCTCGTTCCTTTCTTTCTCTACTTTCCTTTTTTTTCCCCCCCTCTTCTTGTTACATTTCCTTTCCTTTTTTTGTCAAATTGGGATGCAGGGTATGTCTGGATTAGTTGGCGCAGAAGGCACACTGTTTGAAAAGCGATGATGACGCTCTCTTCTTTTTTTTTTCTTTTCATTCTCATGGCGGGTCCTTTCTTTTCTTGTCATACACATACAGCACAATAGAATTTCCTTTTCCTTCTTTTGTTTATCCTACATGAGGCGGGTTATAAGATTGCATATTCACTTTCTGTTTGGTTGCGACAGTGTGTTAGTGATAAGCCCGGATTGTCAGACCGTGGGTGGTTAATTGTTTGCATTCTTCTTGACAGTTGAGAAACCAAACAAAAAAAAAAAAAAATGAAAGAAGGAAAAAAATATTCATGGAGATTGATGATTTCCCGACGAGAGCTGATAGACCCATTGCCATCTCCGAGATGTTTCATGGGTCGTGATGGGTCGCGGTTTCAGATCCGTTTGACCACTCCGTCTACTATATTAATAGACTAAATGCAATAAGACTGGCTCCAGAGTTATACAGAATTCTACAGACTACAATAGAATTCTGATTGAATAAAAGAAGATTGCCAGTGGCACGGAGAAAAAAAGGACGGCCAAGTCCATGGAATACGATGTTGAACCCACCACATCATCGCCTGGCGAGACTAAAACGATCTATCCAATTCACAGGCCCACCGCTTCTGGATTAATATAAGGATCAGCGCCTAGAGGCAGAGATAGAATCATTTAGATCGCGAACAGAGTTGATGGTTGATAGAAATCAAGACAACGACATCGACTATCTTGACTATTGAGACGATAATGCGGATCTTCAGGATTTGCAGCCCATCACCCTCTAATGCTGTCTCATTCCCATCACCTCCTGCATCTAGCATCTTGCCTTCTTTTTGCCTGGAGGCGCTATTCGTGATGATGCATCGATGGTGAAAAAGAAAAACACACACCTGATCACGATATCACAGATCGGCTGGTGACGGCCAATCCTGGTCTGACAACAAACCATGAGGGTTTTGGCTGCTTTCGTACGGTCAGTCAATAGTCGCCGTCTTCTTCTTGTAGAGTTAGATTGAGCCAACTCTGGGTCCAGCCAAGTGGATGCCCCTCCAATCTGCCGTTTCTTGACCAGGACGAAGAAAATAATAATAAGTCTCTTGATCTTCGTCATCATTATCCGGTCTTTCTCTTTTCTTTCTTTTTTTTCTTTCTTTCCTTTTTCCTCTCTCTCTAGAGCGTAGATCTATTTCACCTCCATCATTTTTTTTATTTTTTATTTTTTCTTCTTCTCTGTTATTTCTTCAGCTTCACAGATATCTCAATATGGCCATCCTCGAGTCGGAAAAACGCCCGCGAGGCCTTCGTCTCCCCTCGCTTTCGGCCATGAAATCCAAGAAGAAATCCCCAGAGCCCTCTCCTCCTGAATCGCCTCCTGATTATGCTCCTCTCCCCGCTGGTTCTGGTGTTCCCGTGCGACCTGCTCGTCCAAACGAGAAGCAACTGCCTCCCAATCCGCTATCGTACCCAGCAGACTCAATCCCCACCGATATGTCCGTCAATCCGAATGAGTACCATCGTCAGATTCTCCGGGGTGACTTTGATTCTCCCTATCCTCGTCCTCAAGTTCCTGTGATCAGAGAACCATCGGCGCCAGTGCAGCGAAAACCACCGCCGCTTCCAAAGCAACAACCGGTTCAAGCGCCTGTTCAACCACCCGTCCAAATACCTGTTCAGGCACCGATCCAAGTCCCGGTGCAGTCACCATCGCGCCAGTCACCACCAATCCAACAACCCGTCAGAAAACCTCTCCAATCTCCTGTCCAATCACCCCCGGTTAGCGACGAAGAAGCGAAAGAAGATCTCGCAGTCGAAGATTTTATTCCCGAGCCCGAGCCGGAAATTGATACCGCCGATGCACGGGCAGCTGCAGCTGCAGCTGCAGATGTAGATGCAGTCGCAGAGCAAACACCCAGCGAAGAAAGCGACAATGGCCCCTGGACACCAGCGGATTATGACCCCGTCGCACCGCCTCTGGGCAAACTGCACTTTGCTTGCTACCAGGAACATCGCTCGATGCCCGTCGCTAATAACCTCTGGTATCCTTTGCCCTGCATGACCTGCCACAAGTATGACCGAGAGATCCGGCATCGCTGTGTCTTCTGCTCGTTGCGCATTTGCGCCGATTGCCATCAGGGGTTGCAGAAGTGCCAAAATCGTTCCTTGACGCAATTTATGGAGAGTCTTTCGTGATCTCGACTGTTTTCAGTTTCTTCTTTCTTTCTGGCTTATAGATGGGATTTGCTTTATTATTCGAAATGGGCCAATATCTAATGGGGAGAACAAGGTGGTTTCGGTTCAAGTCATGAGCACTATGATGGTATTTATGGGTTTGATATTCTTTTTCATTCAAAATTGTACATATGGTTGTAATATTATTGATTAGCTTCTGTACATTATGATATCATAAAATTTTCTTTTCTCGCAGATTAATTTTGTCTAAAAAAATGCAGGTCATTAATCATGATCTTCCTCTGTAGTTCCAGGACATCCTTCCATGTCCGCGGTCTCATAGCGATACTTGCACCAAAAGCAGTATTGATGTTTTTCGCGTAGGTATAGAACCAACCGGTTCAACCGCTCAGCTGGTTCCAGGGAGTTGAATTCGTCCAACTCCGGATCTTCCTCCTCGATTTCTTCTTCAACAATAGAAGAAGGTTCACGTCGGGCGGTTCCCAGTGCTTCCTTGTCCTCTCGCTCTAATGTTGGATCATCGAAACCTGGAAGCTGGGGCGTAGGAAAGAATGAGGAAGGGAGAGAGCTTTGTAGCGCATGTCGAGCCTGTATGTCACGGTCTCGCTCCTGGCGTTCGCGCACCAGACCCCGGTAGAGAATGTTGATTTGCAGAGTCGGTTTGATCTTTTTCGCTTTGGGTTGTGCAGTGCTTGGTTCATCGGCAGGCTTGTCTTTATCCCCATCTTCTCCATTTTCATCATCTTGCTTGCCTTCAGCTGGTTCTCCTTCCTCCGCTTCCGTATCCAACCGTTCTGCGACCTTCTGCGCACCATGAAATTGCGCCTCCAGTCGGCGAGTCTCCCGTTCAATCCGAACCCGATCCCGGTAATCGCCCTCCTCATGTTTAACCTTTTTGGCCGCTTCCTCGGCCTCTTCCCGGAATCTGCGCTTCTTCTCGTTCTCCAGTCCAATACCACTCCGATCTTCCTTGAATACTAGGTTAAGGGGCTCCGCTCGGCCTCGCGGCTGCGCCTCGTCTTTGCCCCCAGTCTCATTGTTGTTGTTGGGAGACGGGCGTTTCCCCAATGTCTCTCCTGGTTTGAAACCCAGTTTGGCCATCATCTGGAACCCTTTGTTGGAGGGATTTAATGTACTGGTGGATAGAGCGGCATCGCGACGGGCGGCCTCTTCGGCGGCGCGTTCGGCTTTGGAGGGAACCCTGGCGCGGGCTTCTGCCTGTTTTTAACGAACTATGGTTAGTTTGTATAACACAGACGCAGGATGATGGTTTTACCTCTCGTTGTTGTCTGCGTTTTCGCTGGGTAAAGGATTCCTTCTGTTGGGGTTCCTCAATCACCATAGACATGTAATCATCCTCGTCCTCTTCCTGTGCGGGGTCGCCATGGGGAGGCATTATGAGGGAAAAAAAAAATTGGAGAAGAGGATATATTACAAGTAAAGAGAGAACAAGAATAATGAAACCCTGCGGACTGACGTCAGGTGGTGCGATCGAGAAAGCACACGCGGTGGTGGAGAGAAGTTGGAGTTTGGCGTCTGTCTCTGTTTCTCCATCTCCGTCTCTTCTCCACATCACCGATCTTGATCTTCCCCTTCCATCCCCACCTTCTTTGGTCGTTGTGCAAGGGTCAACGTGATTTCGGATTGGAATAATAAGTCCATCAATGGGGAATTCGATTGTCCACCAAGGAAGGTTTCTACGAGGGGTGAAACGAGGGAATATCCCCCTCTTCAGACTCCAACTCCTGCAACGCCCAATCTTCCAAGAACACATCGACCTCCATCAGGATAAAATGAGTTCGGCGAATTCTGTCTATGAATCGTCCCACCAGAATGGGGTTTACCGTCTCACGGATGGCTGAAACTGCAAATATCCGTCAATAGTTCTGTGTCGATCCCTCGCCTGCTCTTGTCAAGTCTGAAGTCACCTTCGCACTTCGCAGTCTTGATGCCCGGAATTGCCGATTCATGTTTGCTGTAGGCCCATCGCCAGGTTTGCTCCCAATAACGCCATTGTTTTCTTGGCTGGAAATATGCAAAATCGGGTGCTTTTCGTCCATAATGCAATAAACGCAGGGCCTCTTTGGGCCAGGGAGCCAGCCTTGTTTCCCTGTCAGCGGGATGGGGTGGCAGTGTACCAGCACACACTGTGATAATCCCCGAATCCACGCGAGGCCCCCCAAAAGATTGGGCTATACCTGCACGGGTTATGCATTTATTTAGCTCGCGTGCCGTGGCCCCCATTATTCCACGGTCCTTGGCAGGCAGAAGAAACCAACCATGATACTCCCTTGGAATCATTGATGAAATCGTTACCGTTTTCGTCGATGTTATTCCCTGTTGGTTGGCGTGATCATTAGTTCCCATAATTATTACTTTAAGGCCTCCTGGATTTGATTTCCACTAGTGTTCTATCTTTACGTCAAGTACGGTCTGTGTCGGTCGTATATAATATTCGACAGGCCCGCCTGAGGATAGACTGGTGAGCGATAGGTTGTGGCTATTGCCAACATGTCTCTCCTCGGTCTACCCTCGGTGGTGTTTCTATTATTTTTATCTTCGGTACTTGCGCAGAGTACTTTGGTAGACTTGGGTTATTCAAAATACCAGGGTCAGGCTCTATCAAATAATATCAACCAATGGCTGGGGATACGCTATGCTGCCGCCCCCATGGATTCCCTGCGCTTTGCAGCACCGCAGGACCCCGTATCTACCAATGATATACAACATGCAACGAAGGTGTGTTCATATGGCTGTTAATGTTCGCTTTATGCTGACCATATATCATCAGCATCGCTCAAAATGCATTCCTACCGGGAAGAGCCCCATTCCGTCTGGAACATCAGAGGATTGCCTTTTCCTAGACGTCTTTGCTCCTGCGCGATCATCAAACTCGACCAAGCTTCCCGTTTTCTTTTGGATCCAAGGAGGAGGTTTCAATACTAATTCAAACGCCAACTACAATGGAACTGGGTTAATCAAAGCGTCCGGCATGGGTATTGTCGTGGTTACATTCAACTACCGAGTTGGTCCATACGGGTTCTTGGCTGGCGCAGAAGTTGAAAAGGGTGGAAGTGTGAACAATGGTTTAAAAGACCAGATCAAGGCCTTGGAGTGGGTTCAGAAGCATATCAGCAAGGTTTAGATTATCTTCTTCATTGTACTTGTTCACGATCTGACATCAATGCGTTCTCAGTTTGGTGGTGACCCCAACCATGTTGTCCTGGGTGGTGATAGTGCAGGAGCAGCTTCGATTACACTCCTTCTTTCGGCCTATGGTGGGAAAGACCAAGGCTTGTTCCATGCTGCTGCGGCAGAGTCCCAGAGTTTCGGTAGTATGTTGACTTTGGATGAAAGTCAATTTGCCTACAACAATCTAGTCATCCGTACCGGATGCGCCAGCGACAACGATACACTGGCATGCTTGCGCGGCTTAAATGTTACAGACTTGCAGCGTGAGAACTTCAACACCCCCCTTCCAGGAGCGCAGAAGCCACCGCTCTATCTGTATTCACCGGTAGTCGACGGCGACCTTGTTCAAGACTACACATTTCTCCTCTTCCACCAGGGCAAATTCGTCAAGGTCCCGGTCATATTTGGCGATGACACGAACGAAGGCACGACATTTGTACCCAAGAGCGTTTCTAGCGTCGCACAATCGGACAGATTCCTGCAGAGCCAATTCCCAAAGATTAAGCTCGATCAACTTCGGAAAATCAACGAATTGTACCTGCAGAAGAACCAAACGCAATCTTTCCCCAAGGCTGGCCCATACTGGCGACCTGCTAGCAATGCGTATGGTGAGATGCGCTACATTTGCCCCGGTATCGACATGTCCCATACGTACGCTAAAGCCGGACTCCCGAGCTGGAACTACCACTATGCTGTACTGGATCCACCCAAGGAGGAATCAGGTCTCGGTGTAGATCACACAGTGGAGGTCGGCGCAATCTGGGGACCTGAGAATGTGAACGGTGGTGCTCCCAAGTCATATTCCAACACCAATGCTGCCATCATCCCGGTCATGCAAGGTTACTGGACGAGTTTCATCAAGAACTTTGATCCCAACACTCATCGTTCTCAGGGAAGCCCTAAGTGGGATACCTGGGGAGATGAAGGATATCGTCGACTCTTCCTCAGGACCAACCAAACGAAGATGGAGACCGTTCCGGTGGATCAGAGAGAACGTTGTGAATACTTGGTCAGTATTGGGACGGAATTAGCGCAGTAGGGGCTGTTTGTTGTTTATGGACGTTTAAATGTTTTTGCTTATGACTTTGATGTTTACTACTTGTAAATACCACAGGAAAGTTTTTACATCTCTTTAAAGGGGGTGAATAGGATTAATTATAGAAATGACATGACTGGGATGTATAATCCGAAAAAAAAAAAAAGTTCTTTTGTTTGTCCCCATAACAATGTAGAAACACGTGAACATAATGTAGATGTATATACACATGCAAGCATAACGCCGCATAAAATGTAGAATAAAACAGCGAAGTGACATGAGCGAAGCAAAGATAGACTTCACTACCGCTTGCCCTGTCGCAATCTCTTCTCTTTCTCGTAGGCATTGGCTGCCCGTCCCTCTTCGTTCTGCACCTCGGCCACAAGCCTCTTGTACTTCTTCTCGTACTCGGCGTCGCGCTCCTTCTTGTCGCGCAGCTTCTCGCGCGCCACAAAGCTGGCGTCCTTGCGAAGTTCCCGCATAGCGCCCTTGTGCTCGCGCTTGTATTCCTTCTTGACACGGGCGAGTTCCGCACGCTCGCGGTTGGGGTCGTAGTGCTTGTCCGGGTTGAAGGTTTCCTCGAACTTCGGGATGGCGGTCTTGATCGCCAGACGGCGGTGGTTGTGCAGGAGGAGCGGGCGGCGGGCTCGAATGGCCTGCGTGAGATGGCTATCGATGTTGTCGAGGGTAGATTGGATGGTATCCAGAGCCGGGGCGGAGACTTTGCCGCGGCAGGACTTGCTCAGATATTGCAGGACGCGCTGGGTCGGCTCGAAGATCTCGACGAATGCCGACTTGGTGGCCCACAGATCGGATGCGTTGTTGAGGAGGGTAACGAGGGTGACGATGAGAGAAAGCTTCAGCTCTTCCTGAGCACGCTTTCCGGACTCCGGGCCAGCAATGTCCCAGAATTGAAGCTTCCGGTAAGAGACGGGCTTCGAGGCAGTTAATCGAAGGGATTCTTCCGGGCTTCTTGATGGGAAGTAGCCAAGTCTGTCCTTTGGTTGCCCCGGGGCGAGTGTGCACAGGGTGTTGAGGGTGAAGTTGATGAATTCAGGCATGTACCGTTTCGAGATAGTTTGGTACTGGATATACAGACTAGCAGCGTAAGTGCCTGTCGCGAAATCAGCCAAGGAATCCACGGCGCCCTGTCCCAGGTAGCGGGCGAGAGACAACTGTGCCGGTGTTGCGATGGCGTGGAAGTGATCTGAAGTCGGGAAGATAGTTGCAATCCCGGTCAGAATAACCAGGTCCCCAGCCCGAAGGTTGAGCGGTCGTTCTGTAGACATCTCACGTAGGTAAGTCCTAAATGCCCTGCATACGTTTTCAGGGTGTGTTTTTGCCAGGGAGTGAATGTGACGCAGGATATTCTCCAGAATGGCGAAAGGAGGGTGCTCCGGTTGCTCTGCCATGTATGCAATGTGCTGGACGAGCACTGCAGCGAAACGACCGAGTTTCATCTTGTTATCACTGTGAAGTCGAGGGTGATGAAGTGCACGAATTCGCTGGACTACAGTAGGTAAATCTTCCACTGAGACATCTTTGATGATTTGGAGGAAACTCTCATGGTCTTGAGGGCAAGGATATGTGAATGCCAGACCTTCGTTAGCACCCTGTGCACTATCGATTGCAATGGAGGTGCTTCCGGTTTTGTCTTCAGGAAGGGTCATTCCATTGATAAGATCATCCTCCTGTTCAGATTGCACAGACTCTTCCTCGGAAAACATTTCCTCATCTTCGTCACTCTCATCGAAAGTCAGGCTGACATCGGACCTAGTTTCGACAAGGTCGTCGTCGATGATGAAATCATCCTCGTCTTCAACACCCATCTCAGGACGAGTGGTCCTTTGGTTAGTGGGCTGCTGCAGTCCAAAAGCCATTGCGTCGTCGGGGATGGATTCGTCTTCAGAAGATTCGTCGCCGGACCCTTCTTCGCCATCATCATCTTCATCGTCCTGTTCGTCGCTTTCTTCTTCGCCGCGCATTCTTCGAATTCGCTCTTCCTCAAGAGCCTTCAATCTCTGTGCTTCTTCTTCGATCTTCTCCTCCTCCGTCTTCGTTCGGTCTGTTGGCATGGATCGCTTGTCAAAGGTCATTTGCCTTATATGTTGATCGTATTCCCTATCGAGGTTCTTGTCGGAAGATTCTCCCAGTAGAGCCGCGCGATCAGGATTCATTGATGCCAAATCGTCCTTCGGGGGTTCCGGTTTGGGTGGAGGCTTCGCACCCCTTAGCATCGTAAAGAGATCTCCGAGACCTTGGTCAAGCTCTTCACGGAGATCGTCGTCGTCCTCCTTGGCTTTTTGGCGCTCAAGTTTGTGAAACTTGGACTTGGCGATGACTTCCTTCATGACTTCATGCTTCGATTTTTTGCGCTCTGGTAACGCCTCTTCATCGTCATCCATCACATTCTCCAGTTCATCGTCATCATTAATGACTCGCTTTCTTTTCTTGAGCATTTCGGAATCCGACATATCATCATCGTCAGCTCCACCCAGATCGCCAGCCTCGAAGTCGTCTTGGTTTGTATCATCGCCAAAAGTCAACGACTGGCCCAAGTGTGTAAGTTGCATCTCATCTTCATCGTCCTCGAGGTTAAACATCGATTCCTTTCGCATCTTCTTTTGACTTTCTCGGGCAAATCGTTCGGCAGCTCTCTCTTCAGGCGTCATGGTCGGGTCGTCTTCACCAAAACGGCGATCCATAATACCACCAACTTTGTTCCTCCGGTTCATCTCCCTCAGGAGCGTTTGGCGTCTCTGGAAAGTGTACAGTGAGCTGCATATTCCTTTTCATGTCAATGGTGCGATGGAACTTACCTTTTCCTCGCCCAATGACTTGGTCACTCCAGGTCTTGCATTGGTGGGCTTGGAACCCGTATCTCTGGTGGTTACATCGAATTTTGCGCGGTTGGCAGTTGTCTTGATCTCGAACGGATTGAACCGATCTCTGATGGCCTGTAGAGCAGCATTGCGCTGGTTGCGATCCTGAGTACTACCGCCGGTTTTCGCATTCTGTCGCTTCTCCTTTTTCGACTTCTGGGGACCTAGCACCCCACTGTCCCGAAGGGAAGCCTTGAGCTGCTTCAGCTGCGAAGGCGGCATGTTGGTGCGCTGGTGTTGAAGCAGACGGTTCTGTTCCTCCGCCGAGATTTTGGGATTTTCTTTTTTTTTTTTTGGATCGCCGCCAAAAAAAGGTGTTCACCGCCTTCATCAGCGGGATTCTGCCGCACCGCCTTCTGGATTCTCCGCATTCACTCGAAACCCATCATGTCACTTTTCTGATATTGGCATGAGTCTGTATCCAGAAGGACGATGGCTACTCATTTAAATGATAGCCTGCTATGGCTATGCCTCGGTATAAATTCATTCCTTCATTCATAACCATTGATCATGTAGCTGACTGTGTAGGGGTGTCTCTATTCTTCGCCGTCCGCGGGATTGCTACGGATCTCCGCCGAGTGCGCGATCTAACAGAAATCAAGCATGTCGAGAAGGAAGATAAGATGATCAGTGAGGGCACAGAAGATGGTTCGCAAACATTCGATTGCAACAAGGAAGAAACTTTCAAGCTGATACCCCTCTTTCCAGCTCTGAAATTAGATACTCTCCTCAAGCTCTCCCAGAGCACGAGCTATGACCTTCGTGCAGCGTATGAGACTACAGTATTGTCCACATATAAGAACCAAGCTGACTTTTTACCCGGTAGAGCTTTGCGTATTATTTCAGAGCGGTCTACAAAAGGTTCAACTCGGGATTTACTTCTTCAAGATCTTGCAAGTAAACATCAAGGACGACGGAGCAAGGCGCTCAGCGCAATGCACTTTTTAGTGTCCAACAGAGCATGTATGGGCCTCCCACAAATATTAATTCAAGAAGAATTTTTGCCATTTGACACGGTGATGCAGTATCGCGAACGTCCGTTTGTGCCCGTTTAAAAGACCTTCCCACCTACAATGCTCTTGTCGACTGCCTCTGCAACTTCCTCGAGGAGCATACCGAAGAAACCTGTGATACTGTCTCTCCTATCCTTCCCAAAACGAGGCCATTGGGGGAGAGAAAAGCTTTGAACACCATCAACATAATACTCCCGGAGAATATACCTGCCGCTTTAGAAGCTGGAATAATCAGTCGATGGCTCTCAAAATATCCATTTCCGTGTGCAATGTCCGAAACCTCACGGAGACAGGATGTGGTAATACTTATGAAGACGTGGTGGTATGATGATACTGTCATGAGCTCGATATTTGGTACCCTTTCTTCACATCCGGACGGGGCGAAGCAACTCCGGAAACACGGTCTCATGGGTAGTGTGATGGAAGAAAACGACCATGACGACGAAGATTATGCGGGGAGCGACGTATGGATGGTTGATGGTGAGGACACAGCCGGCATGAGCCAGTATTCAGGTAGGCGTCTCCAGGAAAGAAGCCCCGAGGAACAAGCTCTGAGAAGACGCAGAAGAGAGGCAATGGTCTTGAGTGACGGAGGACGTCCACTGGGCAACGACGATATAATACAACTACCTGTTCAAAGCGATTGAAATGGCTCGTGACTACATTTTCCCCCATCGTCGGCACTGATCGGAGAGCTTAATGCCGATGGAAGCCACAAGATTTTTCGTTTTTCATGTTGAAGCGATTACTCATTGCGCATTTATGATACCCTTGAATATGAATATTTCTGCTCGAATGCTTCCTAGAAGATGATTTATTATAATACAATAACTACAGCCCAGCCCAAGCCGATTTGGCGACATGGTCGATCTTTTTCCGGCTGCTTTTAACCATACCAAACGCCTTGAGCTCCGATAGACCTCTATAAAACAAAGACAAAACCACTCGCATATCACAGCTGCCCTTTTTATCACTTTTAAAGACGGCATAAAATGCCTGCCAAAGATCGTGAATATTCACCAAAGCTCCCGACTCAAGATAAAGCTGATATAGAATCGCCGTGGCTGGCTGTTTAGTTGAAAGTTTGGTTTCCGCAGCATCTGATGTAGACTCGAGGTAATCAAAAGGATTGGTCAGTGCCCGCTCAACTGCAAACCGCGGCCGTGGTGCGAATGTCTCCTTCAAAGGATTCTTCATATCAAGCAAGAATATTTCATGTAGGATCAAATCCTGTGGTCTCACCAAGGTTTCCACAAGGTGGGCCTCGAGCACAGCATGTATGCGATCGATGATCTTCGTATACTCAATATTTTCTTTCGGCATTTTGGCTTTGCCCTTGCTAAGCTTCACCCGTTGTTGAACAATGGTTGTTTTCACGACTGAATTACGATTGTCATGTTCGCTTCGCAGCGGTTCTGTGCCCTCGTATGTCTGCATCAGAGCGTCCAAATCCGCTTGGATTTCTCGGAACTGAGGTGTATCCGTTAGAGAGCCAGGAATAACTGTGAAAAGGAGGTCCTTAAGAGCCTCCGAGTCAAGCGTCTTCACTGCCATGAGCATGTCCTCCACGAACGATGAATCTTGCAGTTCCCCAGAAAGTGCACGAATCGACAGATCCGACATGGTTGTTTTCTGGAAAATATTGAAGTTTTTGAGGCACATTTGAACCATTTTGGTGGTTTGGAAGATATCCCGCATCTTCTGTTGGCCCATTTGCAGATACTCCAAGCTCTCCTGGAGTAGAAGATTGTCATCTTCCAGAAGATTACGCACTTTCTTAGAGGAACCATTATGGACAAAATCTTCGCAGAACCTATCTCTAGATTAGACGAAATAAGACTCGGTCAAGAGACAGGTGCTTACCTTCTGAAAGATGGGAGGTTCCTGATTGCCTCACAGAGTTTGCCGTAAGGCAAATCTCCAGAAACTTTGTCTGCGAGAAGTACAGACAATGGATTTGCGAAGAAATGAGTCATATATGCGTACTGTACAGAATTAGATACAGAAGCATTGGGATCAAGCTTTGGAAGAGAACTAGACTTACCTTGACGGTTCGACTAAAGGCCTCTGGGGTTTGAAAGTAGTCATTTGACTTTTCAAACAGAATGCCGGTAATATTGCGTCCCAACCAGAACCGCCCATTACACTCTGCTTGTAGTCGTTCGTATATACGGTCGACGCAATTACTAGCTTCATGGATTTCAAAATATTTGCCCCTAAGCAAGGCAACACTTGACCGCGGTAGCCGCCCCTCGAAAAGCTCGACTGAGGTCGAGATACCAAATAGCAAAGTAAATGGTATTCTATCTAGCCAAGAACTAATAGAAGGGTTAGATTCCAAAGTTACCAGTAGATTTGGATAGACACTCACCTCAGCAATGACAAGAGGTCGGTTAGCAGGTTCGGGTCAAAGGCTTCACTGTCTCGAAAGGCCAGAACCAATTTCGTGGTTCCTTTCCTTTTCACATATTCACTAAGCAAGTCAAGATCGTATGCAAGAAGTCTAGGTCCCTGGAACGGATTTATCATTAGTTTCGCATCGTCGAGTATTGGGAATAAGGTGCGCAAACATCTCGATCAGTAAGAAAAGATTGATAACCGTCGTTTCCTTCTGTATTCGTAATAGCTGCTCGAATAATATTTTTTAACGTTGCCTTGAGGTTGGGCGCATCACCAGACTCCAGCACGACAACTCCGCCTTCCCCTGTTGTTGACAGTCGGTCATTAAGTCGAGTCAAAAGTCTGCCAAGCGAAGAGACATTCGATCCGACAGTAACCAATGCTGCAGGGATACAGCCATGGTATCTAATTGAGGAATTAGGAATTCTGCGAGAATGCATTTCAATAGGCGCATGTACTCACGTCTGCGACGAGGTTGTTCTGACGAAAGAGGAGACGTTGTCCAGAACTTTGGAATCCACATCCTCCAGTATTTCCTATAGCATGTTTAGACGCAATTCCAAGATTTCCAGAGTCCGTAGCGAGATCATTGCCCCTACTAACCTGGATCTTTTGCTCCTGTTCAGACCACAGTTTTTGATAAGTGCTATACCTCAATTCAATCGATGCTGCATTTTCATCCCCATCCAACAGAGGCGCAAATGGATACAGCTGGTCGCCCTGGTCCTTCTTATCTTCTGCTACCTTTCGACGCTTCGATGGTCGCTCTCCGTTGGCTTTGGACGGTTTCGCAGGTTGGTAGATGTACACACCCTAGTTCTCTTGTGAGTTCTTCTTGAGATACAGACGGCGTTTTGTCTCGGACTTACCTGGTTGTTGAGGCCATCCTTTGATGATTCGAATGCCTCAGTCTCTGGCAGATCCACGTCCATTGTGCCTCCCCTTGTCCTGCTGGTTTTCTGGGATGGTCACTGTTGCTCCGTTGATTGTCTGGAAATCCGCGGCGGAACTCGCGTCTGACGCTAAGCCAAAACGGGTGGTATTGGTTTTCCGCCGCGGAGCTTCAAACCCATCTTCTTTCGCAATCAATTCAACAATCAATCACCACTCTCCTTTCAGTCTTTGCATATTGCATTTTTATCTTTTTAATATACTAGCCGATGATATAAACACTCACACTCCATGCTCCGCCAGGCCGTACAAGGGGCTCGGTGGTATCAGCATGTGGCCCGCAGAAGCCCGTCGGTTTCGTCTCTTCCTCGCCCGCGAACATTTTCGATCGTAACGCCACGCTCCCTTAACTTTGGCGGACCAGATGAAAAAGTCAATTTCTATGAACAAGATACCAAAGGGAGCAAAACAAGGAGAAGAGTCGATCCGGAAGCTGAAGATCAAGCCGACCGGAAAGAAGTGGAAGATGAGCTCTCCAAGTTGGAGCGGGAACTGCAGGAGCTAAAGGAGGGCCCTTTCACTGCCAACAGCCCGTTTATGAAGAGCTTGCCAGAGAAGGATAGAGCCGTCGCTCTTGAAGCTCTACGTCAGCATGCAGCCAGGAGGGGTAAAGAAGATGCTGGTGTTGGGCTAGAGAGTATTTTCGACGAAGAGCTAGATGAGATGCTGAAGGAGGAATTCGATAGCCTGGCTAAAGAGGAGGAGGATTGGGGTGAAGAAGGGGAACCCAAGGATGCGCAAGTGCCGATGGCCAAGAAACCCTACGAGGTCGTGTTGAGATTCTCGGAGGCCAATTCATACGTGGACAAGTTTAATGAATGCCTTAGGAAGTTCGCGCATAACAGTTCGAACGATCCACTTAGACACGAACTGTGGAAATGGTATCGTCGTTGCAAACAAGTCGCCCCAGGATTTCTTGAATCGATGCCCGAAGAAGCGATAAGTTTAGTATGGGACTCGCAAACCACCGGGGAGGCCACAGGGACATCGCGAACAACCCATTTGCAGATGGTTGCAGAAGATATAATGTCCGTCGGCAAATCTCTCTCGACTCCGCATATTCTCGCGTACATCGAATCCCTTCAGAACAGTGGCAAAACGAACCAAGCACTGGATCAATGGGAGGCACGTCAAGCAGAACTCTCTCAAAGAAAGGAAGATTTGGAGGCATATTGGAATTTGGGAGTACGGCTTTTTGCCGCTGCAGAGGATCCTCAGCGAGCTCAGGACATTGCTCTTGCGTTTTTAGCAAACGACAAGTCACGCCAGTCTCGTGTTCTCATCCCAATCATCACGGCCTGGGGGAGACAGTCTGGAAAGGAAGCGGAGATAAAAGCTTGGGCATTATATCTGCAACTAAAAACTTTCCTTGGTTCTCAGATGACTATGGGCGACTATGATCATATCAGTATTGGCCTCCTCAAGGCCAATCGGCTTCATCTCGCCATTGCAGTTTTCAAAGATATGATGGTCACCGGCCAGGATCCAGCAAATGACTCGACTGCCCTGTACAAGGCAGCTTTGGGTGTGGCCGGCAATCTCCATGCGTCCAGCATCAATGAAAAAGATCTGAACAAAGTATCTCTCTCAGCGCTTACGATGTTGCCACGGCGGTTCCAAAACAGATTTTTCTATGCAAGCTGGATGAAAAAACTAATTGGAATGGGCGAAGTGGACTCAGCTGCATCGGTAGTTGAGCTGATGTACGAGCGAGGCGTCAAACCAGACCCAAAGCACCTCAACGGTGTGATTGCAGGCTGGCTCCGAGAAGGAAGCTTCGCTGCCCGTGATAAAGCCGAACGGTTAGGATGGGCCATGATTCAGCAGCGGATTGACACTGTTTGGGCAAGGGCGGAATTATCTGGAAGTCCTCCCCGGTTGTCTGCGGCTCAAGGATCGGGCAATGCTCGTATACCGAAGTTCATGCAAAGGGTAGTGCCTCCCGCGAACATCGAGACTTTTTCAATCCTTCTCCTTCACTATACTCGAAGGAGCGATGATGACATGATCAAATATCTGGTCAAATGCCTGGGAGATGGACGTATCCAGCCCAATTCCTACTTCATGAACCATCTCTTATACGCCGAGTTAAGGAAACAAGACGTCCGTTCTGTTTGGAACAAGTTCAAGACCATGACCGCTTCCATCAAGCCCGACCTAGAGACCTACGCCTGTCTGTGGGACTGCGGAAAGCTCCAGTATGATCGGGGACGAACAGCATTTGACGCAGGATTCCCATCCGCCCGCGGCCTCTATCAAGAAATGATGCAGTGGTATTCCCAGCTGACACCACGTGGAAAATCATCTACCCAAGAGGATTTCTCCAAAGAACTATATGATCAGATTGTCCGTTGCTTCTGTCTTTCCAAAGATCTCCATGGTACTATTGTCGCACTCTATTCGATGGGAATGACATTTAGCATCTTCCCAGACGAAGTCACCGCTCGGTCCATCATTCTCCAAGTAGCACGCATGGCTGGCGTACCCGCAGATACGCCCAAGCGTCGATTGCGTCGACTCTCGTCCACCCCGAAGAGCAAAGAAAACATTGCTCAAGTCAACCGACTCGTGGAGATTCTGAGCGAACGCAAAGCCGCAGCTCTTCAAGCGCAAGGGCTGAGCCCCGAGCACCTAGACCCACAAGAGAAACAGCACTATCAGCTCGAAATCTTGGGTGATCTGCTACGAGCCGTGATGGGCCGGACAGCCACACACCCTGATCAGGTCGAAGGCCAAATCGCAACAGCCGCAGCAGAGATGGGGGTTTCCGGGATTGATCTCGGATCGCCACTGAGGAAGGAAGATGGTCTACTTCTTTAGTTTGCCTATTGCAATTTCTTGGTCCATGCCTGTGGCATGCATTCCGATATCCAGGCTGATCTTCAAGAGTATCCTTGTATATTTAATTTATTGGCGTAGCTAGGTGTCATCCAAGCATACACTGGCGTTTTCGGAGGTGAATATATGAACAAAATGGCTCTGATGTATATTAGAACAAATAAATGATGACTTCTCTCTGAACATTCAAACTTGAAAGGAGCAAGATGAAGCTTCGCAGCGATTGACAATTACAATCTATATAAACAGTAGCTATAAATATACACCCATACAGTGAAGCACCATGTTCTAGCCGGTCTGAATAGAGAGAACAGATGTAGACTAGATGAAAACCAATATAGACCATAGTTCAAGGAAAACACCCCATAGATATATTGAAGACAGTAATTTCACATGGAATTGATTGATCGGTAATGGATAGCAGCTGTTTACCACTCATTTCTTGCCCTTCTTCTTCTTCCCAGGAGTCCCTGGTGTGTTCGCGCTCTGCTGATCAGCCTCAACCAAAACAGCATCATCATCACTTCCAGTCATGGATGGGGCAGCTGAGGATTCGGGGGTCTTTACTTCAGAAGGCGCGGTTTTTGTCGTGGTTTGGGCTGCAGTCGATTCACCCTTGTCGGTAGATCCTTCGCCATCCAATTCTTTCATAACAGTGGCCTTCTTCCGATCCCACCATTCACGCTCCTCCTGCAATTTTGCTTGTTGGGCTTCGACTCGCTCCCGGAAAATTGTGTTGTTCATCATCTCGTTTGCCGATTGGAAAATAGTTTGGCCCCAGTTAGGTGCGTAAGCGTTGGCCTATTGGGGTTATCCAGTTAGCAACTAGACTCGAACATAGATAAAAGATAGCAGATAGAAAAAGAAAAAAAAAATCACCTCAGACACAACATCGCGAACCTCATCTTCCATCTCCTTCTCGGCTCTCAAGAAGCGCTGCCACAGGTCATCTCCCACACTGCCCCGTTGCAAAAGCATAGCCAGTGCCTGCTTCTGGCTCCGGAGTGCCATGACGCGCTTAATGTCTTCCGCAGCCCGTCTCAACAGCGCAGCCTTGAGTACCGACTCCGGCACGGCGGGGGCCTTCTTCTCTTTGGACGAGGTTGCGGGCGGATCAAGGTGCATGAGGGAGAAGTAAATATCTCGTTGGAGGTGTGCGGGAAACCATGGTTCCAAAGAGGCAGCCTTTCCTGCAATCACACAAGATTTGAATTAGCCAAGAGCGCATTTTCAAGGGAATAGGTAGAGGGATCGGTAGATAAACGTACTGGCCTTGCGCTTGCGGTATAGCGAAGAGAAAGTTGCCAATGAGCCGATTAGAACGCCCAGGTAGGCGAGCGGCACGGCGAGACTGAGCCAGTCCACCATGGTGTTATCAAGGTTGTATGATTATAGATGGGGTATAGCAATCAATGCAAATATTTCGTGAGAGAGAATGAGTTGGTCGGCGGGGCACAAGATCAGACTCGGGGCATAGTATTATGTATCGTGTCGTGAATGAACTGTTCGGGTGGATCGTGGCCGGAAGAACTTCTCTAGGTCCCGACACAGGAATAAAGAAAGAAGACCGTTTAAAAACCAGCGACGCCAACAAAATGCGAATGCTAGTTAATAAGAAGGAAAGGAAGAGGGAAAAGAAAAAAGAATGCCCAAGAAGTAGAGGCCAGCGCAGGGAGAAGTGCGACAGAGGGCGGAAACAATGAAGAGGAAAGGCCAGGTTGGTTGGTTTAAGCCGCAGTCACATGCTCCGCCATGATTACTGTGAGAGAAACGATGCAGGTCAAGGCCATGAGTGGGCTTATGTATTTGTTTATCTACAGGCAATGAAATAGAAACGAAGATAGAAAGAGAAAGAGAAAGAAAAAAAAGGGGGAAAAAAAAAGAAGAAAGAAAAAATATGTCTAGGATGGGAGATGCAACCCACAAACAAAAGAACAGCAGAACAAGACTCAAAAGTCTCACAGGCTATGTTAACCCCAGATTGATGAAATGAAAATAAATTGAGACAGAGAATGCACGCAAGAGGAGATTGATATAATGAGAAGAAATCACAGATAGTCCGCCGTCGACCTCATTACACGAGTCTCGTTCAAACAAATGCCCCCAAACCAAAACAAACCCATGGCCATTGAAATCAAGCAGGAAGAAAAAGAAAGAAATAAAATCGAAAAGGGATATCGTCATCGCTGGCGCTATAGCTAGAAACTTGATCCCAACTGCTCCTTCGTCCTCTGACTAATAGGTCCAATCTCCTGCATGGCTTGCATGTCTTCCAGCACTTCGTTGAAGGTCTCGGTAATCCCAGCTGCCACTTTGCTGCGGTTCCATTCGCTGCGCATGCGCCAGACATAGTCCATCAGGTTGGTGCTGATCTGCTCCAGCTGCTCGACGGAGCAGCCACTGGTCCGCTGTGTGAGCTGCTCATGAAGCTGATCGATGTACTCGTAGTCCAACACCAGTTTCGGCGAAAGGTCATCGTTGTTCAATAAGGATTTTAGGTTCGTAGGGTTATGAGTTGGGTTCTTTGTGGGTGCATCAAAAAGAGGCACAGGCGGCTGCTGCTTGGGTTGGGACTGGCTGCCATTTGGCGCGTTGTTGTCGGAATTCCCAAGTTCTGCGTTCTTGGCCTGGGAGTCCTGCGGCCGGGGAGAGGCCTGGCTGCTCTCGCATTGCTGGGTATCGGGAAGATGATCCTCCTGCGATACACGATCCGGGTATTGCGTAAGATCCGGGAAATCCTGTCTCGCACCGTGGCCTGCCACAGGGCTTTGGGTGTGGTAGTGAGGGATATACGAGAGTTCCGATGACTTCTTGTCTGAAGTCGTCTGCGTGGTGGACGCCTCGTTGGTGTAGTCATTCGGCTGAGATCCAGGAGCCATGGGGGTCATAGGCCCCTTCTGCGAGAAACTGGAGAGACCCGACTCTCGCCGAATCTGCTGAGAGGGTGCGGTATGCGAATAAGGCGGTTTGGGTTGTGCAGATGGCCCGAATGAACTATTTTGCGTGTCTCCCTCGCCCGAATGATCCTCGGAATTGGTCATATAAGTATCCCCATCTCCGTCTCCTTGAGACTCATGCGATTCATGACTTGTCTGAGCATGATTGCTCAGATCATTGAGATCTGAATCTCCGCCTTGGTGATACCCGTTGGTCAAAAAGCTCACGTTCGAGCGTCGCGAGGGGGTCACCGGTCGAGCAGGGGTATTCGGCCTGCCATCTGAAAAGGACTCTCCTAGGACAACAGGCCCGCTAGATGGGCCCGATTCAGTATTCCCATGTGGTACTTGAGTGACCGCGGCACGGCCTGCAAAGTTTTCCTCTTCCTCCTCGGCCTTTTTGGCCCGCTCCACTGCAATCCGTTCTCTCTCCAACTCTCGGAGGTAAACACTCTCGCACTCTGCAACAAGAGCTGGTTCAGCCTGCTCGATGGTAGCGATGTCGACTTCAACATTAGACAGAAGCTCATTTGCTCGCAGCAACCGTTCTTGGTCTCCAAGCTGCCGTGCATCCTTGGTCAACCGTTTGATATCAGCCAAGAAGTCCGAGGGACGTTTGTAGTATCCGTTAGATAGGCGCTTCTCGATGGTGACAATCTCCATGTTGTAGAAGAATTTGCCAGAAACAGCCTCCCGAAGACCTGGGGCACCATTTTTGTCATATGCTTTCTCGAATGGTCGGAATGTTGTCCGTTGTTCAATTGGCAAGTCGCTGGTTACGATGTTCGGGTTTTCCTCCTCCCAGAGATATCGTATTTGTGACTCATCAATAACACCAGTCCTGAACCTCTTGTACTTCTTGATCTGGTCCATAATGGGCTGAATCCTGATCTTCAAGAGGTTTAGAGTTTGGTGATCCTTCTTCTTCTGCGCCTTAAGTTGTTCCTTTGTAAGTGGGGTTGCCGGTTTCGGTGGTGGTGGCGGTGCGATCTCCAATGCTTCCAGTTGCCTCGGTTTACGGTTCTCAGGATCTGGGAACTCAGACGGTGATGTCTTTACGTAGTCAATTAGCTTGCTGAAAAACTCGTACCGCGCACCATTGTCAGGAGCTTTCAAGTCATAGAGGTTCTTCTTCGAGAAACCAAACATATTCCGCAACAACCCGGCTTCTACTTCTTCCCCGCTCGATTCCAGGACTCCTAGCAGCAAAACAGGGTCTGTGGGGGGTATAGAGCGTAAAAGTCCCATGAATGTGGATATAACGGCCTGTCCCACGGTCTCGAACCATGCTTGGATGTTTGGAATGTAAATGACACTGGGTTTGTGTCTCTTAACTTCAGAGAAGAGCTGGATCACAGCTGCTTCGGGTGAGCGAGTTGAATCACTGAGCAAAGTCGGAAGATCAAACGCTTGAACATGGAGTCCTTCAAAATGGTGTAGGAGGGCAGCAGCAAGGTACTGTTGGCCCATCCCCTGGTGCCCACGGAGAAGCATCCTTGGTCTAAACACTCGTGATCGATCAAACTCCTGCAAAATCTGCTCACGCCGGAAGCTTCCTGAGCCTTCTGGCTCCTCGTACTGTGCTTCTTCCAGAGCAGTGAGCCGCTTTCGTTGGGGAATGACTTCAGACAATAGACCTTGTATCTCAACCAGAGAGTTGCGTAACAATGGCTCGACAGCGTTGGGGAGCGCTGAGGCACCGGAGGATGTGGACCTTTCCGATGACGGCACCATCTTTTTTGTTGCAAGCATGAAATCTTTAGGGCTGACATCGATCGTCTTGGGGTCTATGATAAGCTTCTGGTCCGATTTGTAGATTTGAGGGTATCGTCGCTGCACCGCATTAAGCGCAGCTTCTGTACAAAGAGCACGAAGATCCGCACCTCCATAGCCCTTGGTGATCTCGGCTAGTTGATCTTTGACATCACCTGGGAGAGGTGGATCCCAGCCCTTTGTGTGGATATCAAGAATGGAACGCCGCCCATCCTTATTGGGTAAGGGGAAGTAGAATTCACGGTCAAAGCGGCCAGGGCGGCGAAGTGCAGGGTCGATGGAGTCTGGTCGATTTGTCGCACCGATAACAATGACTTGACCACGACCATCCATACCATCCATCAAGGCCAGGAGGGTTGAGACAATGGAGGCGTGGATTTGTTCTTGTTTGCTTGACCTTACGGGGGCCAGACCTATAAGAGAATTAGCAATCACATTGTTCGCATTAATGTTGAGCACGCCGTGACTTACCGTCGATTTCATCGAAGAAAATGATACTGGGTTGTGTTTTGCGGGCCTCTTCAAAAAGCAGCCGGAGCTGCCTTTCAGCCTCACCCACCCATTTACTCAGTGCATCAGCACCCTTCCTCATATAAAAGGTGACTTTCCGCCCTTCAGAACTGACACTGTTCGCCAGAGCCCGGGCTAGCAATGTCTTACCGGTACCAGGGGGTCCATGGAAGAGAACACCTCTTGGGGGAACAATGTGGAAGCGCTGGAAGATTTCTGGATACAGAAGTGGAAGAGAAACCATCTCCTTCAGTTGGTCGATATGCCCTTGCAAGCCTCCAACACTGTCAAAGTTGACAGTCACGTCGACACCCAGTGGATCTGCATCCGCGAGGGCTTGCTTATCCTTGACTTTACCGAGATTTGCAGGCGTTCCTGAAAGTCCTTGCGCATCGTGCCCGTGGGCTTGGCCTGGAGTAACTAGGCCGGCGCCTTGCCCAACGGCAGCTGTTGAGCCAGCGCCAGCACCTAAAGGCTTGGGACGCTGCATGACCTCGTCATCGCTGCTATCACTGTCCATGCCTGTATTAGCAGGCGCTCCTGGAGGAGCCAGAATCGCAGATGGTCCGGCACCGCCAAAAGGTCCATATGTTGGGAACAGAGTGCGCTGCCAGCTGCCACCGCCGCCACCTCCTCGGCCACGCCGCGAGGGGGATTCATGGACCTCGTTCTCGGCTTCTTCTATGGGTAGAACGAGATCCGGCCGAATGATTCTGTAGTCGACATCCTTCCGGCTGCGCCGAGGCTTCTCGTAGATGATTTCCGGCTGTAGTCTACGACGGCGGTTTGGCCGGAGTTCTTCGAGCTCCTCTGCCAACTCATCTGCGATATCACCCCCAGCTTCCGACTGGCCACGAGACCGAGACGCTCTCTTCCGTAGGCCTGGACGCCTAGCAGCAGTGCTGTCCTCATCATCATCTCGGGCTTGGCTTGCCTTCCGTGGAGAGCCATGGGACTTTGCAGATTGAGACATTTCATCATCGTCATTCGATTCCTCCTCCTCGGGTTCGAAATCACTCTCTTCGTCTTGTTTGCGTTGTGAGCTTTGAGGTTTCTTTCGACCCGAACGACGAAGGTTTCGCGCCTCCTCTTCTTCTGGCTGAGCTTCTTCCTCGGCTTGCAGATTCCGATTTGGTCTGCTTCGCCTTCGCGTTGTCGGGCCTTCATCATCGTCGTCGTCTTCGCCGTCTTCATTTTTGGCCTCCCCATTTTCAGACTCAGGGATGAACCCTTCTTCCTCAGCTTGGCCGGTCTCTTTTTGACCGTCGGTCGCTGGAGGTGCGCCTTCTTCGAAGCTTTCCATTATTTCCAGTTGGGAGCCCCTGATCTCCATTGTAGTCTCATCAACAACATCAACCTCATCTTCGTTAGGCTGCGTATCATTCTCTTCTTCCTCGGGAATGACATTCTTTGAAGCACGGGATCCTCGGCGATTTGGTTGTATGGCTTCAGCTTCTGGGCTATGTGTACCACAGTGGACGGTTTCGGCATGGCGACCGGAATTCGTAAGAGCGTAGATATCCTCTGATGGGTCACGGGTCCGTCGAGTCATCCGTCTATTCCCAGAGAAGTCCGGTGCCTGTTGCCGCTTGAGAGCATTGCCGACCTTCAACGTGATCACGGTACTTTTGCGGTTCTTCTGTGGAGAGACTGGTCTGACCTGGTCCTCTTCGTCTTCGATATCGTCCGGCTCCGCTATATCGTCCTCCATGCTGTCTTCATTATAAACCGGTCGATTGCGAGCTGCCCTCCGAGAGACTAACCCTCTTGCGTTCCTGGCCGCATCTGGGTCTTCTTCTTCCGATTCCGACTCATCGGGGGTCACTTCATCTTCGTCACTTATTATATCATCATCGGAGATATCATCGTCCGAATCGCGGCGTGCCTTCTTCTTCGCCGGCTTGGACTTCTTTCTGGATTTCGATCTGGGAGCGGATTGTCGCGCTGAGCGCACAGGATGGTCACTGTAATCGTCGTCGTCGGAGTCGGACTTGTTGGCGAGTTCTTCAATTGAGCGTTTGCCACGAGCCATAGTGTCGCGCCAGAGCAGACCGGAAGAAATCTTTTTCACAATAACCATGTCAGCAGACGCAGGTGAAGTCTAGGTGGACGGAAAACAACAACAAAAAAAGATTAGGTGCTAGAGATATATAAAGCGCGGTAAAAAAAGGTCTGATAGAGTCCTGAATGAACTCACCGGTCAATAATGCGGTTGGAAGGGTATTATTTATTATTATTCACGAGACAAAGAGAAATCGCTGTTTATCAGGGTAATTGAACAATGCTGCATGGGCAGGACAATGGTGTCTAGGATCACCACCCAGGGTCGAACATCAATGAATGTTATCAAGCGAGCCACAGCTGGGCTGTATAGTTGTAGTATGCAAGTAGTAGCTATAACACGGGGCGACGGGAAATGATGCGCAGGCCGGAGAGAGGGTGGAAGGGCAGGAGAAGTGGGAATCTCACAGCCACCAACAGCCAGACGCGTCACAACCAGCACCGGGGAGATGAAAAACAGCCAGCAAGAAAGTTGAGGATGATGGTGGACAAGAACAAATGCCCGCAAAGACACCCGTCGACAGCAGGTTCACTCGTTTGTTCCGTGGGTTGCGTCTCTAAGGGCGGAAAGACTCGCGACGCCTTTTGCTTGCTTTCGCCTCAGCCACACACAAAGAGAGGGTGCTCAGCCACGCCTAACTAGATTGGGCCTAGAACCGCCACCGTCCCGCGGCGCACGTGCCCCAGAATCGACCATTGCAGCTCCACGGCAGAAGGAAATACTGGAGCTGTTGCAGCTGTTTTTTTTTTTTCGCTGCTGCGGCGCGGTCAACACCCCCTTCCAGGAACCACGTAGAACGGGGGGTTTAAGCTATCCATCATCTGTAGAGAATCCGTAGTCTGTCGAATGGAGGATTTCCATCAGAATTCCACGTTTTTAGGAGGGTTCTGGGGCGACCAGAGCAGGTCGACAGCGGCCTGAAAGAGGGGGTCAGAGAAGGAGAAAAAGTGTCAGGAACAGAGAGCTTTCCCCAGGGCCGAAGCTTATCGCCTTTTGGCTCCTCCCCGTCATTTGGTGTGCCAAAAGGAACTCCAGTTTGATATCATGTGATTGCTGAGTCAGCTCGTCGATGTGAAGGACTAATCTGGAGTGTTTATAGGAGGTTTTTATGTTATATATTGATGTATTATTGTCTAGAGAAGCTGATATATCTATTATATGGATAGTATTATATATTATTGCATATTATGCCTGTTTATTTACATCCGTGTAGACGATGCTCTGTGTATATCTCACCGCTAGTTATTCACACAATCTCTGCATGGATGAAGCCCAGTTTCCACTTGCTCATAATGAATAAATTACTATCCCAATCGATTACATTTTATCCTCTATAGCTCATCTCATCTAAATAATTTTACAATCCAAGTTCATAAAATCCAGCAGTAGCCAACATCATCCCATGACTAAGCGCTGACTAACCCCTCCCTCCAGAAGATCCTAACCTATGCAAATGTAGACAATCTCCATCTCATCCATAACCAAGCCCTAATATTCCATCCTCATCAAAGAAAGCAAACTCAATTGAATGAACTTGGAATCAAAATGTTCTCTCGAGCTGTCCCCCGTGTATCTCCTTCGTCCCTCTTCGCCGGACGAAGAACATTGACCACCACCCGTCCCCGATTCAACTCACCATCATCCACTCAACCCAATCACTACAAGGAGGGAGTGAGTATATCCTTCTTTGACTTTGAATTCTGTTTCTTTTATTCTATTACAGTTCTAATAATTCCCAGTTGGCGCGGTACAAAACCTTTAGCAGCCCCTTCGCCAAGGTCTTCCTGGGTGCCATTTTCACATATCAGGTGATTTACTGGACGTGGTTGAAGCTCGAGATGGATGAGACGAAATATGAGAAGAATCGTATGTTTTATCCTCTATCTCCATCTTTTGTTTTATGATTTACTAATTGATTCTCGTAGAACAAGTTGCAGCTCTGGAGAAGAAGGCGAGGGAAGTGACAGCCTCACAGAAATAATCATCTACCATTTTCCACAGCATCGTCTGTTTTATTTCGTGTATTATACCTCAATGACTGAATCGACTTGTGTAAATTTAATCATCTTTGCTGCTTTTGTGACAGGCTATTGTGGGATATGTGTCGACCGTTATATATACTTTGTAGGTAACGTAAATGTATCATTATTTCATCAACGCTAACAAAAGAAAGAATGCTAAGATCGGGATGACTTACAAGTCCATCACCAAACATTATCTACAGCTCTTATAACTGACTATATATCATGAGACCCCATTTGTAGAGAGATTATCCCTTTCACAGCTATCACACAAGGTATGGGGGCAGTAAAGACATTGGTCCATGCAGGCCAGCGAAAACAGACCCTGCCGACACCGACACTGTGTCGTCCTCATCAGCTCGGCTGATACAACCGTCATCAGAAGAAGGAAGACCAACGCAGTTGAAAAACGTTTGGCCTTGCTCTGGTCGTGTATTTTTCGCCGGGATGAAACCCGCAGACTCCGTTGTCGGATCTTGACTGGCACTCATGGCTTGCTGATATACAGGATCGGAATTCAACATCGGGGCCTTGCCTTTTGGTTTCTTCCCAGTACTCGCCCCCTCAGTCCTGCTGCGCTGGCGCGGAGGGTTTTGCGGTGGGTGAGGTGCTGCGTATTTTCGCTTTTGCGGAATGGTCGCCTCGGACGGGGAGTAGGAGATTGAGGCAGAATGAGAATCACAGTGTTCGAAAGAGAGCTTCTCAGCCGGATCCTGGCTCATTTCGTCCTCTGACATGCAGCAACTGCTGCTCTCAGTGTCATCATCGTCGCTGTTTTCCTCTCCAAGCTCATTCCCATTCACCATCCTTTGCTGTTTCTCCTGTTCTCTCTCCCGTCGCTTCGTCAAGTGTCCCGATGGCGGTAGCCAATCCCCGATTCTCTCCCCTTTCTTAAAGTGTTCCGTATCTATGTGATTGAATCGCTCGTTCCACGCCGCGAGACCTTGGGTCTTGAGAGGGATAATTCCTCGGCAAAAGCCACACCAGAACTGCGACTGGCCATTTCGACCAATGCGGTTTCGAGAGAGACCTGTCTGTACTTCATCTTCACTGACTTGATGGTGTTTCCTCAGATGCTGGACGTAAATCTCTTGCCGGTAGAATAGACGGGCACAAGGCAGATCGTCGTCTTTTTGTGTAGAATCCGGGAGAGTGCACCGCCAGCTTTGAAGGTGAAAGTGTTGTGAGTTCTCGTGTCGCTTCCAGTCTGCCTTGCTCCCGAATGTTTTGTTGCATTTATGGAATGTGCACCCATAAGGTCGATCGTGGCGCTTCTTGTGCTTCCTGGACCCATGGTTAGAACAGACACATACCAGAGGTGAAGGGGTCAACACATACTTCATCTCACAACGTAACCGCGTTCGTTTTGGGCAGCGGTCACACTGTATCCAGTCCTTTTTATCCAGGATCGGGTCGGATGCTCCAGACAAGCTGACCTGAGTAGAACCCGAGGGAGTAGATAGTTTGTCCAGGGCTGCAGACAGGATTCGCTGAAGCATCTCCCTCTTTCTATCGCACAGCTCGGTACCTTGGTCCATCATGTCTTCCCCATCTTCTCCTTGGCTTCGTCTCCGCTGGTTGCTGTTCATGATCTTCGTCAATGCATTGATCATGTTCCCTGCTGCTTCGGAGACAATGTCTTCCATCTTGTCATGCTTTGTACCGCCCAGTTGAGAGGTCATAGAAGATGACGAGGGAATCTGGTCGAGGGTTGGAGGAAGATTTAGAGACTTGAGGCCTGGCAATTCAACTGTTTGTGAACCAGCAAGTAAGGGTTGTGCCAGGGATTGACTCAATACATGATGATGATGGTCGTCATCGTCCTCGTCCTCATCATCATCGAGAATTTTGATGGGATTCAGGGTCAAGCTTTCCGAAGATCGAATGGGGTCAGGTTGAATCACCGTCTGGTCAGGGGCAATTGAATTGTTGCAAGACTCCTGATCGCAGTCTGTCTTCATAGTCATATAATCCGACTCAGGCACCAGATGTGTCTGGAATTCGGGCTCTTCTTGCGAGAAGCGATCAACCAAGGACGGTGCAACTTCCTGTGGTTTGACGCATTTTTCATACCATTCCTTGGATCTAGACCTTGTCAGCACTGTCCTGTTACACCCAAGAACAGAGGAGCACTCACTTTCTCAGCAAGTCTTCGGCGCTCTCATCGTTGTGCATTCGTGCCAGATGCTGTTTGAAATTATCCAAACGGGGCCATTTCTTATTTCTACGAGGGCAATTCTGCCCAAAACACATGTACAGAACTTTGGGTCCCCGTTCGGGCTCTTGCTTGTGCACACACTTCTTGTGCCTTGCGAGATCATTGATTGTCCCGAAGCCTTCTTTTCTAGTGCAGCCCGGCTCGTCGCATTTGAACAGCTTCTTATGCCGTGCCTCGTGTTTCCTGGAGCAAATTAGCACAAATGCTTAGGCAAAATGGGCGTTTGCTACGCACTTTTTATCCGAAGGACATTTTCCTGTCCACCGACAACCGGGGTAATCACAATGGATCGAATCCTGACCCATCAAAGATGAAGACTCCATCTTCTCCATGGAGTCGCCTGCTTCCTCGCCATATTTGACAGGAGCATGGTCGAAGAGTCCCCCCTGTTCATGTTCCTGCTCACGGGGTGCCGCCTTTGGGCTGCAGACTTGATCGATTACGGAGCGAGTCGCACAGCTCTTGCTGCCGTATCCCGAGTCCGATGGCTGCAGGCCATTGTATTGGCTTCCAGTTTCAGAGGGTGTACTGTACTGATAGTGGGAATATCGGCCGTCCATATCACCCATGTGCGAGGGTTTACCCATGTGCTGCATGCCAAAGGCCGCTGGAACACCTGTGATTTGCAAGGGATTCCATGCATCCTGATCACTCGAGACTGAGATCCTCGGAACATGGTACTGGGGGTAATCCAGGGGTCGAGTTCGCGGGGACGGGGGTGACTGATTGTTGTACGACAACCAATGGCCAAGGATGGATGTATGGTTTCGAGAGAAGGCAGCGGGATCCGAGCCGAACTGAAGCCCAAGTAGGGAAGTGGGATCTCCCAATGCGAGGTCAGATGGGGCTGTCAAGCCGTCCGAGGATAGTTCGACTGGCGATGGGGTCGGAACCATCCGCGTTTCCATGATGCCCTGTAGGACATCGCCGTTGTCCCAATCTCTGGATCGTGTTGCCTGCAAACTCGATAATCAGCATTGACAACTAGAATGATGCCTCAAGAAGAAGCAAGAGTGGATCATATAATGCGCACGACCGTCACATACACTCATGATGGACCGATGGCAGCTGACCGAGGATCCGTCTGTGGGGATATTTCGATCTTGCCCGGTTTTGCAACGGTTTCAGACGGACAAACAGTCTTCTGACTTGGTTGTTATCGATGGACCAGATCGATCGGAATCAGGGTGATAGTTGTCGATTTGAGGCGGATCAGCAAGCCATCAGGCTATTCTTTGTTTCCTCGGTTTGGTTCGGATGAAGCAAAGGTGCACGGTGGTAATAGTGATCCAATAACAAACAACCCTCGATAATCAGGGCGATTAAATTCCAACAATCCAATGAAGACGAAAAGTGCTCATATATAATAGATAATAGTAATAAAAAAACAAGTCAACTGGAAAAAAAAAAAAAAAAAAGTCAAAGAGTGAGAAAAAAGAGAAGCAGAGAGGGCGAGAGAGCGTGGCTAAAAGATGCGGTGATGATCAACCGCCAAACCCCACGCGATAACCAGTCCAAGACTCAGTCGTCAACGTGTCCCAGGCAGAACGAAAAGAAAATCATCTAAGAAAATTAAAAAGGCGCGCACAGACAGTGACAGAGTGACAGGGGGACCGGATGATCGATGATCGACTTCTGGGCTGGAAATGGAATGTCTCCAGATCAAATGTCCTGAGGGAGTAATAATAATAACTAGCGGGCTGTTAGTTCGAGTGACAGCTGAAAAAGGGACTCGCTAGTCGTTGAGATAGAATCGCACCTGTCATCCGTCAAATGCAAAGAGCCCCTGATTGAAAAAAGGAAGATGGGTCAGAACGCAACTATGGACAAGCGAAGAGAAGAATGGTGATAATGCTGCTGTCTCTGGATGAAGATGACTCTCTTCATCAACGTTCATTCAAGGGGGCTCATCAACCACGAGGAACCCATGAAGCTTCGTCATCCGCCCACCATTGTTATTTCCGTCGCATTTATTTCTGGCTGTCAGTTCGACCAGAAAGAAAGAAGAGAGAGTGAGAGAAAAAAGCAAACAAGAGGGGCATGTAAGGTTGAGAGGATCATCCCCCAGACCGACCGCTGATTGGGGAAAGCAACGTGTTTGCGGTGGCTGTGCCTGTAAGGACGAGAAGCGATGGCCTCCAACGATGATGAATCACTTTACAGGCATGTCGCATCACGATAATCCTAATATCTGCAGCTAAGAGCCCAACCTTCACCCGGCCCAAGGGTGATGGGGCACCCGAAATAAAGCCCTCATCGTCTCAGACCATTCCACCGGTGCTATTTCCCTTCATACTATACTCACGATTCAAGTCTCCATTCTATCCCTTGTCCAGGATCAAAACATGTGAGAAATTGTCGAACCATTGCTCTACCCCCAAGGCTGTATCTCGATTGACTATCTGAGGCTGCTGCAGGCGTTGTGGAACATCGGCTAGCTAGCTATATGCACTTTGATCCAATCATCGCCATCATACCAACTGACGTTTTCGGCTGAGACGACAATAGTACGGTGTCCAAAAGCGAAATAGAGTCCAAAACCCCCAAACTGGTACTGCAAATTCATTGATGGAATTACTCCGTATAGAACAGATCTAAACCAAAATAGACAGAAATAATAAATTAAAAAAAGGTCATCAACTCTTAGACACCGCCCAAAGTGCCAGGGTATCATGTGGATATAATATAACCGAACATCAAGGATGCAACTGGGATCGTGGATGATTTTCCTCCAAAAAGTGTAAAAGAAAAAAAGCAAAGAAAAGAAACCGGGCATCAAAATACAATAATAAAGAAAAAACTCAACCGAGGGGAAATCCGGGATCATCACATATAGTGTGGCTCGCAGGTTTGGGTGTAGTCTGTCACCATAGAACTATCATACGATAGGGTCTGTGCGATGGAAGTGGGATGGCTATAGTTGCTCTCGGCACCGGGAGACATGCAGAACTGGCCCTGTGGATCAATCATAGGCTCCGTCGAAGGTATAGGGAGATGATATTGATTCGGTACTCCTAGGTTGGGTGTTCGTGGCCTGGACATAGGCTGTGATGGTGGGGGGTAGGTCACTGAATTCTGCTGCAGAGGCATGAATTGCGTTTCGCCCCCTGCTGATCGCGGGAGATCCACATCTAGATACTCAGGCACTTCATCGAACGCGTTACCGTTATATGACTCGGGCTCAGCGGAGATAAAACCGCTAGATAATGTGGTTGTCAGGTGGGGCGGCGGATAGGTGGGGGTAAACATGGCAAGACCTGTCGGTTGCTGATGGCTATTATTCGAATATGGCCCTTGCGTCATGTCCATGTTATTATTATTATTCAACTTCCCCTCCTGTTCGTGTTTGATCCCGTTCGGATAGGGTGGTAGACCAGCCGTCCCATGCGCGTTCGTATTAAGTCCGGCAGGGTTGAATTCTGCGAGCGTGTTGACTGGAAGATCCCTCTCCTTCACGAGCGCCAGTACTGGCATGGCGATCTGTTCCATATGCTTGGCCAAGTGCACTGTGAGTTTCTTCCAACTACTGCAAACATTGCCACAGAATCGACACGGCTCCTCGCGAGGATTCTTCGGGGTATCGTGCCGGCAATTTTCCACCAGTTCCCAAAGTATCTCAATCCCACGCTCACGGTTGGCTTCTTCCTGCATTTCCGGTGTGATGATATCAGGCTGGTCCTTGGAGTTCTTGGACTTGGATTTCTTGACCTTGGGTTCAGGCAGCTTATGCTCCCGGACAAGATGCTGTACGAAGTTGTCTTTCCGGTAGCACGTATGATGGCAGTCAGGGACGGTGCAACTCCACCACTCCAGTTTCCTGTGCCGCTCGGTCTCGTGGCGTACCCAGTCTGCTTTCCGCTTGAATGATTTAGGATCACTGCAGTGGGCAAAGGTACACGTGAATGGCTGTACATCCTCGTGGATATGTTTGGTCCAATCCGATGGCTTCTGGAATTTCTTCACTCTGAAGCATACGGGACACTCAAATTCCGCCGGAAGACGTTGGACCGGTGGCAGTGGCACGCCCAATGGAAACTGTGCCGCTGTGACTGTGCTTTCCCCGAGAGCCTGTGGGTTACCATCAACCGTCCCCTGTCCTGGGATTTGGAACTGGGTATGAGCAGAATCGTCTTGAGGACTTGCCCGAGGAGCCAGCATTTTGGCTTCTCCGCCTTGGGCAAAGCAGTATTGGCCAGCCGTGCAGTTACTGTTGCTCACAGCACGACCGTGGTTAAGCTTGCCGTCAACCAGCTTTCTGTAGCGCTTAAGCTGCTCATTTGCAAAACGCTCGAGCAGAGCTGGTTGAAGCCTAGGGTTTAGCTGGGAAATCTGTGTCTTGAAGCCGTCGATCGTTGGCACGGGCAGACTGGCTAAAACAGGGAAATCCATCACCAAGCCCTTGTCATCGACATTTTCATCATCGTCGTCATCATCATCATCACCGGCATCATGTCTCGGCTCAGGCCTTACTGGCTGGGCCGGTTGGTCGTTGGTAGAATTCGTTGGGTAGGCAATATTTGCCACGGGGGGTCCCCCATGGCTTGTCATAAGGTCAACAAGTCCCGGTGAAGAAGGCCTGGGTATTTCACTCCTGCTTCTCCCGCGAGTCTTTTGAGAATACCAAGGGTTGCCTGACGGCTTGCTTGGCGATACGGCACGAACGGAATCCCTGCCTCCAATAGCCGCCATCTGGCTTGCAATTGCAATCATGGCTCCTCCCGCGCTGAGATTGGACTGTTTGGGCGATCGCCCAATACTCAATTTACGACCATGATAGTGCGGGAAGCTGTCCTTCCTCTGAAGACTGGCTTTCTCATCTTGGTGGACACCATCACCATTAGGGTGACTGACGGAAATTTCGGACAGTTGGCGTTTCAGGTTGGAAGCGGTCTTTTTAGGGAGAAACTTTCGTAGGCTACTCCGTCTCTCCTGTTTCTTGCCGTGATCGTCGTTGATCGACAGGTTCTCAAATGATCCGCCCGCTCCGATGATGCTATTAACATCCGCCTCCCGTGTGCCCCAGGTCGCGGCACGCGATAGCGTTTCCATGTCCCTGGCCCGGCGTAAAAATTCCATCATGGCTGCACTTGAACTCTGGGGTTGCACTTTAGGTGCTGGAGAGGCCGAGTCATAGTTATCCTGCCAAGGAGGTCCTCGTAACATTTGGCTAGGCAAATTTTCCTCATCCTCTGGCTGGTGTTGTTCAAGTGAGGTTGTGTGGATGACACTGACTGGAGGTGATTCGGATCCGCTTCCAGCCCACTCGGACGCGGATTCACTGAGTTCCTCGTCACTGCTTTCATGAACCAGAATGCCCGGGCCAGGGATGGTAGGGTCATCATATCGGTATTTATAGTTGAAATAGTCTTGCTGTAGCGACGGATCCCCTGCACTCTTTGCTCGGCGCCTGTTTCCCTTGTGCTCTTTCCGTCCCCGGTGCACGGGGGTATCGTCTCCTGCCTCGCTGTTGGCGACACTCACAGAAGCGGACCAAGTTCGGATGCCCTCATTCTTTTCATTGATCTCGCGTTGAATCTCCATCTCAGCGGGGCTAACCACAAAGATATCGTCCCTGGATGTCGGGTCAATACCAGCCCGTCCAGTTGTCAAATCACGAACCCAGGATCCATCGTGGGATCGCGCGATGGAATGACCAGAATCCGAGAAACCAGTGTCATCTGGTTCGTTATCATCGTCGCCGTCATCATTGTCGTCCTCGTTCACCTGAAGGTGCATGGTCGATTGGCTGGGTCGTCGTCTTGAGAAGGAATCTCTTTCGGGCGAGTCGCCACGAGTGTAAGTTTCGACCTTGACTATGGGACTGACAGCTCTTGCGGATTCAGCGCCCCAGTTGGCACTCAGGTTGTCGCTCATGGGACTCGTGATCAAAGACGGGGTCTGTTGTTGATGCTGTGTACCACCAGAGCTATGATGCTGAAAACTCGGTGATGATAGTCGGCTATCCCCTGTAGTGACGGAGAGCATGGTATTAGTCAATTCAGGCGACGGACTCGGGTTATAACTGGCGTCTGGGCTGAGTAGCTGGGTTGAAATGGCTCCTTCTATGGAATCGAAACCCTCCGAACCGGGGGTGTGCATGTTCTGAGGGACCATCAAGCTATGTTGCTGGTCACAGTTCAGGTTCATGTCCACACTTCCCCAATAATCAGTATCGGGCGAAGTGTGAGCACTCGGGCTACTAAATGCACTCTCTCGAGGGCTGAGGAAATTCGAAGACGGTATCGAGGCATTGAAAGTATTTAGATTGCCAGCATGGAGAGAAGCGGGATTGAGGCCATGATCATGGGGGAATGCGCCCTGACGATCTGAGGGAGATGGAGAAAGATCCCGCATGCCATTTTGGGTGGGATCTCCGCCCCTCATAGGCGTCAGTCTGATCGCGGTCGACCTGAACGAGGCTTCCTCCGGGTCTAACGGCGCGGAGAGATAGGGGTCTTGAAAGTTGGAATCCTGAAAGGCCATTTCTGTCGGGGATGAAGTTCGGACAAACTGAGGCGATAGAGTCGACATGGTCTGATGGTTCCAGATTTCGAAAAAAAGTATTCTTATTTCTTTTGTGGTTTATTTCGCTTTCCTTTTTTGTTCCTTGTACTATTTCAGGCGGAGAATAATGCACGCAAAGACAACTGTAGCAGAATGGGAAAAATCATGTCGAGAAATCCATCGATGATACAAAAACAGATATAAACGAGAGATATTAGCAAGAGTATTGATGCGCGGGATTCAAGATGGCATCTGCAGTGACGTAGATCCAGGGCAGAGTTGAGGCAGTCACGAATTGATGCCGGAGATACGACCGGAGGCAAATGGAAGGGCAGGTATTCTCCCGTAGGCTGACAGGGCCGGAATGAGGCTCTGCAGGACGAAGAAGAGGATGAGAGGAGAAGAAAAGAGAGGAGAAGAGCAAGAAGAGACCGGGAAAGAATGGATAACTGACGCGAAGGCGACAGGTTCAGGAGAAGTGGCCCAAGTGGGGGTGGGAAGAATTAGCTTGTGATGTGATGATGGAGAAGTTGCAGTGGCTGTGAAGTGGGTTGAAGGAACTGAGCCACGAGAGCCAGACAGAGCCAGGGATACGAGGCTAGATAGAAAGCGACAGACAAAGACGGAACAGAAGAGAAGAGAATAATAATGATGGTTCTTTGATCCTGGTCGACGAGGAAGAATGCGGCTGGCGAGGGCCAAACGAGGGCAAAAAAGACGCCGGCGTCAGACTTGGAGTTGGGCGCATTGTCGGGTGTGGCAGTCCGGGCGGGGTTGAGCAAACGAGGGATGATCATCGTGCCTATATTTATACAGAGCAGATGGGGATCGTGAAGTTATTATTCTCATTACAGATGGTTATACAGAGTAGTACCTGATTATTATTAGTACCACGAGGGTATCAACCACGGGCCAATATCCTCATCCACGGTCCACCAGTGTTCATCCACAGTTCATCCAGCGTCAATACTCGAGATCCGTGGATGGCATGGCTATCCTAATACAACCATGTTAATAGGGTTGGATATGATCATCGAGAATTCCAAATCCAATCTTGCATCGAACACTCCATACCAGCCATGATCCACCAGTATCATGGGCGATAGAATACAACTAACGTGGACGCCTTCAGCCCTGTGAGGCTATGTAGACAGTGCCCTTCTCCATCGGAAAATCATGGCCAGACCGTCGCTGTCTAAGCCACGGGATGATGCGATCGTCCATCGGCTCCTTGTACAGACTAGAGAGTGGTTTTGTGTCAATATTATCATCCTGTTTTACTGTCTGAGATATCCTTCTATATACAAGAGTTGAAGATTCATCGCCATTCCATCCTTGTAAACACCAACCGCTCTGACATCATAAACAGTGGCTGTGTCCGTTGTCAAACAAGATAAACATCATCCATTCATAGCACTAGATCGGCAGCATCAATCAGGAAAATCATATCATCGTCATCATTCATAGGCAAATCGCACCAAACACATAATAATAACACAGATCATACATGCATCGCTGAAAGTTACAAGATTAAATCATCACAAAAAGGGACTGCTCCCAAAATGAAACAATATAAAAATGCACATGAGCCTTGGTATAGCCAAGAGATGCGAAAGAAGAAAAAAAAAAGAATGTAAGAATTGGTCGGTACCAAAGTCGAGAAAACCACCCAATCATAAGTCAAATCATCAGTCATTAGGTTTATCACTTTTCGTTTTTTGTAATATCACGTTTAAATGCTATCCTTGCTTCCTCTGCGTGGCTTAGGAGACAAGGATCCGTCCCTGGAGCTGGCGATTTCTTGACGTCGGGCCATCACCACCGGAGAGTCCGAGTACAGGACGGTTCCCTGCGAGTACGTGCAGGGACTGGTCTTGCTTGCATCTTCGGCAAAGTCCTCATGGGCCGCCTCGCGAGTGATTTGAGGGAAGGTTCGGAGAATGACATGGCGGGTCGGCTCATCCTTGGAGCTAACACTGCCCTCCTTGGCGATTCCATACTCCTCCCACGCTTCGTTCGAAACACCCTCCGAGTTCGGCGAGGGGATCGAGGCCATGATAAGCTCACGTTCAACACGGGCCAGTCGCCATGTCTCCGCCGCGAGCTTGACAATCTTCTTCACCCCGGTAAGCAGGGAGTCCAGTTGCTTGGGGTCAGCAAAGTGCTTAATGTGGTCGATGATCTCGTCGACGATCACGCCAGCCACAACGTTGATTGACTGCTTGGCATCAGATGTGGTGTAGGCAGCCTTGAGCGTCTGCTGTCTCCAGAAGGCTTCACGTCTTACGGATTTGCGTCGGATATCCATCGACAGCATTTGGAAGAAAGTGTCTGCCTTGTCATATCTCCGGCCCAATGTGAACAAGAAGGGATGGAAGATACGATACGTTAGGGTTTTCGAAATAACATGTTGCACATACGCTGACCGCAGTTCGCACGATGCGGGGGTATTATCAAGGAACGATGGAAGTTCCGAAGGTATTTTGGATAGAATGTCCTTTGGTGGATCAATTGGAAGGTACGCAAAGTGCTCCTTGGACAGGGCGGCAATAAGACGGGAAAGCTGATCGAAGCAGTCCAAACTAGAGTTCAGATTCTTATCAGAGCAGGTACATTTATATCGTTATCAACATGTCGTCATCATCATCATCATCAATCTATTAAAGAACATGAAGGGAAACAAAGGGAAAGAAGAAATGGAAACAAGATAGCAGCGAGTGTGGTCTGTTTCAATCTTGGAAAAGAAAAAACAAAGTAGAAGAAACTGAGACAGAAAGGAAAAACCAAAAATTTTTTTTTTCAAAAAAGAAAGTGCGCTAAAAACACATTCTCAATGCACTAGGTCACTTACAAGAATGGATCACCCTTTGTGCTCTTGAGGTCAGTTGCTTCGCCAAGGCTGGACAAGGTCTTCCTCAGCCTTTCACAGTCCTTGTCCAAGTTATCAATGGTAGTGCGCATTCCTGATGATGCGGTTTGAACCTGCTGTTCCTTGAATGCAACGTCATCCTCCAGCTTCGCCTTCTCCTGTTCAAGTGTAGATATTTGTTCGGATTTTTGAGCAATCTGCCCTTCTAGGTCGGCGACCTGCTCCGCATGACTGGTCTTAAGAGCTTCGACTTCTTGCGCATGTTGCTCACGGGCCTCATCCAACTCTGTAACCTTGGCAGCCAGCTGGTCGCGGGTTGTCGATAGGTCATTTTGTGTCGAGTCAAGTTCAGCGGCGGTGGACTCCAGCTCTGCAATCTTGGTTTCGAGTTCAGACCTAGTGGTACCGAGTATTTCTTTTGTGGATGTCAAATCCGTCACCGTCGAGTCAAAGTTCGTTTGTAGTGTGTCGTGAGTAGCTTGCAGTGCGTCGTGAGAGTCTTGCATTTGCTGTTTTTGGTCTTCGTAATCATTCTTCATCGATTCCTGTTGGTCCAATAACTGTGCTTCGCGAGTTGCCAAGGCTTCTGCTGCCGCCCTCTCGTCTTCAGCCTTGATCTCCTCGAACGATTCAGTCATCTCCCGTTTCTGTGTTGCAAGAGCGTCCGCATGCGCTTCATTCTTCTGTTTGATTTCCGTCTCATGGGATTCATTCTTCTGTTTGATTTCTTTCTCGTGGGATTCATTCTTCTGTTTGATTTCCTTTTCGTGGGATTCCTGGGCTTCATGCATGTTGTTGGTCAACTTTGTGACCTGGCGCTCGAGGTCGATCTTGTTCAGCGAGAGCTCCTTGTTGCACTTCTCTGAGTCAGCCAGAGTTTCTTCAAGATCTCTCTGCTTTTCCTCCAGATTTCCGAGCTCCATTCGGAGTTCGTTGATTGTGTTTTTCAACTTTGCGCCTTCTTCTGCGGCTTCGTTTGCCGTCTTCCGCATCTGATTCTGTAGCGCTTCAATGTAGAAGTCCTTGTGCATCAAAGCCTGCTCATTTTGAGCCTCAATTTGCTTGATTTCAGCTTCACGGGTGGACAATTTGCTCTGAGTACTCTTGTATCCATGGAGCAGGCGATTGATGTCCGGAATAGCATCCGAGATCCTTTGGAGAAGCTGAATATGCTCACCGTCACCCTCCGGAGGCGACATCATTCCCTTCGGATCGAGCCCATGCCCCCCATTGACCATTGACAGTTCTTTGATGGCTTGGAAGGGGGCAAAAGCGGGGTCGATGTAGCCGCGAGAGGCTTGGTGATGATTTTGGGGAGGTTGTTGTTGATAATTCATGTACGGAGAGGCCATCCCGGCAGAGCTCATGACAGGTGAGTATTGAGCATAGCTTTGAGCAGACGATGGTGCCGTGACGGGCATCCCATGCTGCATCATCGACTGCATTGGCTGCATCGCTTGCATCGATTGCATAGGCGGCATCGACTGCATTGACTGCATTGGTGGCATCGGTTGCATCACCGGCTGCATGGACGGAGGGGTGGCATGTGGAGACATCATGGGGGGCATATAATTGTAAGCGCGTGCAAGTGGACTGCTGACCTTCGGCACTGGCGAGGCAGGCTTTGCTACAGGAGACGCTGCCCTCTGAACAGGAGATGCAGGTCTCTGTCTGGGGGAGGCAGCCCTCTGTCTTGGTGATGCAGTCTTCAAGACAGGCGATGAAGCCTTAGTTGCTGTGGGTTTCGGAATAGACGACTTGAGCACAGGCGACGCAGGTTTGGAACGGACAGGTGATGCAGGTTTCCAGGTAGGCGACGCAGCCTTCGTGCGTGGCAAGGGAGAAGCAGGCTTTGAAATAGGAGAAGCTGCCTGGCGAACAGGAGAAGCAGCCCGGGGTGGTGGAGATGCAATCTGGGGCTCAGGAGAAGCGACCCTGTGTTGTTCAGGGGGGAAAGCAGTTGACGTTTCAGTGGCGTACTCGGCAAATGACCCGGCACGCGAACGGGGAGGACTTGCTATGTTTTTAGCGTCCGTCCAAGATGGTGATTGTAAGGAGGCCGAAGCAGGAGCTGGTGAAAATATAGGGGCCTGGTCTTCGGTGGTTGAGATCTGTTCGGAGTGTTCTGCGGTGTCGTGTTGTCCATTCAGCACGTTATCACTAGCTTCAACAGCCTCGTTGAACGGTTCTGATTGCCCTAATTCCTCCGAGCGTAGTCCTTCATGTATCTCAGAATCATTCGGAACATCGTTCACAGCTGGTTCCTGGATTGAGATGGGGTCTGGGCTAGCTGGTCTTGCAGAGCCACTCTCTTCGATGCTGGCCGACCACTGAGGGGTCTCCTCGGCTTCGAGGGGGGCCGGGGGCTGCTCGACAGCAGCGTGTGGCTGTTCCTGATCCAGCTCTGTTACTGGTTCTGGCTCCTGCGCAGGCGCGGCTTCCAATGCAGATTCCGGCGAAGGCTCTGCGGCAGATTCAGCAGGAAGATCCGATGTAGGCTCCGGCGCGGCCTCCTCTGGTGCAGGCTCGAATGAAGTCTCTGGCACTGTTTCGGGCGCAGCTTCAGGCGCAGGCTCGAATGAATTGTCTGGCAGGGTTTCAGGAGCAGTTTCAGCAGCAGGATCGAATGCAGATTCTGCAGTAGCCTCTGCAGTAGCCTCTGCAGTAGCCTCTGCAGTAGCCTCTGCAGTAGCCTCTGCGTTGGGTTCCACAGCAAGCTCGGGTGTAGGCTCTGGTGCGGTTTCCAATGCAGAATCGAAATTAGATTCTGCGGCAGGCTCGGGTGTAGGCTCGAGCGCAGTTTGCGGTACAGGTTCAAATGTAGATTCTGTTGGCTCTGCTGTTTGCTCTGGGACAGGTTCTGATGCAGGCTCGAGTGTAGACTCTGCCGTTGGCTCTTCTGTGGTCTCTGGAGCAGTTTCTGGGGCAGTCTCCGGAACAGCCTCTGATGAAGGCTCGAGTGTGGATTCTGCCGTTGGCTCTTCTGTGGTCTCTGGGGCAGCTCCTGGTGCAGGCTCAAGTGTAGGTTCTGCTGTTGGCTCTGCTGTTTGCTCTGGAGCGGCTTCTGATGCAGGCTCAAGTGTAGATTCTGCTGTTGGCTCTGGAACAGGTTCTGATGCAGGCTCGAGTGTAGACTCTGCCGTTGGCTCTTCTGTGGCTTCTGGGGCAGTTTCTGGTGCGGGCTCTGGGGTGGATTCTATTATCGGCTCCGCTGTTGATTCAGCGATAGGCTCTGATGTAGGCTCTGGTACAGTTTCCGGTGCTGCTTCTGGTGTAGGCTCAGGTGCAGGCTCGGGCGCTGATTCGGGTGTGGGCTCTGGTGCAGCTTCTTGCACTGGAGGTTGTTGTTCCTGCTCCTGTGGTTGTTGTTCAGGAGTGGGGGTCTGAGGTGTCTGGTTCTCTGGCACATCTTGGGCCTTGCCCTTCTTATTATTCTTCTTGTTGGCGGGCTTCTTCTTCGCCATTGTGCTAGGTTATAGGGTGATTAATGCGTGCCCAAGTTCAAATGATGCTGAAAGACGTGTTTCCAGTAGGATAATACTGGATAAGGAGGGGATGACTAGGTCAGCAGAGAATCGATTGGGCGGATGCTGAGTTAGAACTGTACATTTGCAAGCGTGTTCGGCGACTTCAGAAGATATATTCCGAACAGCAGGACGCAAAGACCCAGAAAATGATCAGTCGAGAAGCCTGAATGTTTCAAATCAAGGCAGAGGCAGGAAAAAAAGAAAAAAAGAAAAAAAGAAATCCAAATTAAGGGCTCCTAATTATAGTGGAGTATGCGAGGGTGCACAAATGGAGGGGGTACACGAAGACAAGTCTGCCGGTATCAGATAGCTTTTCAAGCAGGCAGACGATTCAGGAAGGTCGGAAAGGATATCAAGTCGCGGGGCCTGAGAGTATGGAAAAATCTGAGGAATAGGAATGAAGAGAGGGAAGATGAAGGGGAAAAATGGCCAGCTAATAACCTATTTCAGGTAACGCCAAAAAAAGAAATCCTCGATTCAGATGACACCACGACAACCAGAATACCAGCCTCATGCTGCCTCAGGGGGGCTGGAAGACGAGGCGGAAGCGGACCGACCCTTGGAGAGCCCGGATTGTAGCATTGATACCCATTGTTCTACCCAAGTCAGACGAGGCCGATGATGCAGAAGAAGGCATTAGGGCGAAAATGGAAAAAAAGAACTGGGTCCGCAATCTTTAATTTCCAGCCAACACAAAACCGACGGGCTCGCCTCGTAGAATTATTGGGCAGCAACGATGAGAGCAATCTCTTTTGGTTTGCCTCTCTTTTCTGGTGGCAGGATGAATCATACTGAACGTGAGCAAAGAAAGAGGGTAAGGTGGACATGTGGGGTAGCGGCGCTAGATGACATGTCGCCCTTGATGTCCAAACGTTTGGGGCCTGCATGAATTGGCAGCACCAGGTAGCCCAATCGACGCGCTCTTAATGGAGACTTGTAACCACCAGTGGAGAGCAGTCGGTGTGAGGCAGCTGGCGATGCATCAGCATCACCTAAGTGCGGTGTAGAATCGAGAACCATTGGCGAGACAACGCAGCGACCCGCCAATTGACGAGACGACTCATCGCTGGCGAGCAAAATAGCTCCATGCAGCTAGGGATTTTCCCAAACAGCCTCGACTCCGAAGATCCCACTTGAGGGATCTGACCGGCGTAAGTTTCATCATCATAAGAGGTGGTTTGGATTGGTCGTGGTGTTTCGCTCGCTCTCCGTTGCTCGCTCTCTGTCCGCCCAAAGAGGCCAAACGCGCTCGTGCGGCACTAGGCCTAATCCGTCAGTTTAGGTCACGTGACCCTCTGTCGAAACCGCCGCGCTTTCAACCTCATCGCCGGCAGAAAGGGTAGGCGAACGGCATCATCACTGTTCGCTGCCAATTGTCCCCCTCCACACCATGTTCTTCGCCAGGCGATCAGTGGCTTCGACGCGGCACCTGCTGCGGAATCAGCAACCCCGAAGATTCGATTCCCACGCCGCTCACGCTGGCCATCATGCCCAGCCTGTGAACGAGAGCTTCGGCGTACGTTCCTGTCGCCCCTCCTATCTAATTGGCCCCCCTGCTCTACCTCTCCTCTCTTATTTGCTAGCTTATCCGCTGCATATTTTGATCTGTCTTGACTAATGTTCGATCTGGATCATATAGCGTAGCTTCTATGTCACCGTCGGCACCTTTGCATCCGCCTTCGTCCTATACCAATTCACCAAGTCCAACCAGGAGTCCGGTTCGCAATCATGGATTTCCAACCTCATCCAGAAGTGGACCCCATCGGAGAAGGTCTTTGAGGAGAGAAACGCTATCCGTACTGCTGTTATGGAGAAAGCTGCCTCTGACCGTCACCTGTTCCACTCCCAGGGACCCAGAGCTGTCTATGAATTGAAGCAGCCTGAGTATGTCATGACCCAGTTTTTTTTCTTCCCAGCCACCACGATTTGCTGATAGTATTCCTTCCGCAGGGTCATCTTCAACGGCGGATCTCCTTACAACGTCCCTGTTGGCTCGTCCGCTAACCTGAGCGGCGTCGTCTCCCACTACGAGCGTGAGAACCAGCAGGTGGAGGAATCCCGTGTCTCTCGTATGCAGGATGGCAAGGTTGTCTCTCTGTATAACTAGGCAAAGCAAAAAATATCGATCTCTTGTATTTGTTTGAATACTGCCTATCATAGGCAAGAGTAGCAGAAGCTAAGGATGCGTTTGTATGTACATATGCCAGGAGGGAGGGTTTTCCCCAGCAATACTTGATTCAATTTCACTTTCATTTGTTCCAATTCAATGCACTTTCGGATTTGCCGGCATATTTTTGTTGAATTATTGCCCAGCTTCTGCGATCTCCAAGACCACCCTCCCAACGCCTTCATACTTGACATCCAATTGCTGCTTCACTTCCACGCTCTGGTCGATACTTCTCAACACAGCCAAAAACTCATCCACGCCTCCCCCAACGCCAAAGTAAACCTTCTTGGCCGCTATCAAGCTACGACTTTTCGACTTTGCAGTGGTTGATCGCCGCAGCAGCGCAAGCAGCGTTTCTGAAAATATACCCAGGGCCGATGGGGAATAGATCGTCTCACTCGCAAGGATCAAAGTCTTGCTTGTCCCTTGTCCATTGGCAGAGAAAACCAGATCGACAAAAGCGGGTGACCAAGCACCGGAAATGAAGTCAACTGTGATACTTCGCTGGCGGAGATCTTTTTCGAAGCTTTCCAAAAGTTCAGGCGTGATATCCAATTCTTCCTCCTGGTCTAGACTCTTCTGTGTACTGTCTGCATCCGCATCCACAGGAGCTGCCAGAGTTTGACGTGTCACGATATTGTTCCAGGTCAGGAGGAGATTAGGCAGTGTGACCAGACGAAGCACGGCGGAATTGTAGTCCGCAAATGTAAAATGAGTTTTTCGTTGAGACGTAGTCGACTCCACTGGTGCTGGCTGTGATAACAGCTGCGCGAACAGAGCGAGAGACGGTATTGCCGTTCCTGCACCAAGCTGGAGAATCATATATCAGTGATGATAATGCTCCCATACAGCAGTAGAAAAGAGACAACCAACCTCGATAACATGACGATTCTCATCCCACTCATTGCTAGTCTCGGATGATCCCATCCCTCCCTGTTCGTTGACGACCAGTTTTGCCAAGTCCAATGCACACTCCCAAGTCTTGAAACCACCTTCATAGAAACGCGGCTTAATGTCACCTTCTTCAAGGCCGGCGATTAGTTCTTCGTTATCTTGCCCAGCGCTGTCTTCTGCCATCAGCTGAGTTCGAATGTCGAAAACCTCTCGACGGGCAAGAGTTAATGACCTCTTAGTGCCATCTTGAGAGGCATTGATTGAGAGCCTGTTAAATGATATTTGAGATGGGAGAGCTGGTAGCTGTGATATGGTTATTCAATGTCACATGAAAGATAAAATCCCGGTTTGAAAAAAGACTTTCAGATTAACTGGGACTTTATATTCCCATTTGAAACAGCTTTGGAAAATAAATATCATAAATGATATCTCAATTTCAATATACACTTGGAAAAGATAAGGGGAATATCCAACTTACCCATTCGCCCATTTCATGTCTTTTTGCTTCCACCAGCTCTGGAAGTGAATCATCATTATTCAGAGAAGAATTAACATTTCCTTCCTCACCAACATTGATATCTGAGTCATCGATATCAATATCGTCGCCCGAAAACCCAAAACTGAACCCGGACATTATAGGAGAACTGGTAATGTCAAACCAGGACAGTCCAAGTGATTAGCTGTCTAAATTTTCCAATGAAAATTTTGGAATCTGAGAATAAAAGACAGGAATATATGGCAGTTGTCAAATACCCTCTTCGTAAATCAGCGTTGGTGAGGGTGGGGTTGTATAGCTGCAAATCCTTTGAATGAAAGAGCGTTTGGGCAGTAATTCAGGGTCTCAATTTCGCAGTAAACCAGATCACTGATCAGAATATGCACAGCAAGGGCCGTTCCAGTGAGAAAATCTGGTGATATCCAACGAATTTTCAGAATCCTGTAGATGTGCTTCGACCCTCTTGGTCAAAATTTTGCAGGCGTCATATCCATTGATGACTAAGCGGGTGACGATGGCGGGGGTTTTGTATGTATACAATTTCACTGCTCATGATCAGACAAATATAGTATTCGCATAAGACCAGAGGCTATATAAAGGATGAAAAAGGATTTTTTTTATTAATACAGAATTGAATTGAATGCAGTAGCTTGGAGATAGTCATCTCTAAACGGTAAACACGTATCGTCATTAGTTATGCCAGTTTTCTATCAAAAGATCTATCTATGAATCCCTTGGTCTCTATCGAAGAGATCATCAATCAATGCATCATATTTAGGCGCTTCCGTTCTCCTGCTCGGCTGCAGCCTTGGCCTTGACAAGGGCCTGGAGGACATCAGTCTTGAGGTCCTCGGCATCCTCAACACCGCAGCTCATGCGGACAAGATCGTCAAAGACACCAGCAGCCTCACGCTGGTCCTTGGGGATACCAGAGTGGGTCATGCTTGAAGGGACCTCACATAGACTCTCCACACCACCCAAACTCTCTGCCAAGGTAAAGACCTTGGTGTACTGGCAGAACAGATGAGCGGCCTTTTGACCTCCCTTGATGCGGAAGCTCAGCATACCACCACCCATACCTTGGCGGTGTTGCTTGATAGCGATCTTGCGGTGGGGGTGAGAGTCGATACCGGGGTAGTTGACGGAAATGACATCTGGGGAGGCTTCGAGAGCCAGGGCGACAGCAGTTGCGTTAGTGGTCGCCTCGCGAGCACGCAGGTGAAGGGTCTTGAGACCACGGTGGGCGAGCCAGCAGTCAAAGGCAGATGGGACAGCACCAATAGCGTTCTGAAGGAAGGTAAGACGTTCTTTCAAGTCCTCGGAGCTGAAGGCTGCGACACCCATCAACACGTCCTAGTTCACAGTAAGTTTGGTGGTTTGGTTTGATGGTTCTGGAAAAAACATACCGAATGGCCGTTGATATACTTCGTGACAGAGTGAACCACAATATCTGCGCCGTGCTTCAACGGGTTCTGGACATAAGGGCTCATGAAAGTGTTATCCACCACGACAGTGATTCCATGGCGATGCGCAAGCGCTGACACCTTCTCAATATCGACCAATCCCAATGTCGGGTTGGACGGGGTCTCGATCCAGATCAATTTGGTATCATTGGGTCGAATCAATTCCTCCACATCCAACTCAATGCTTGGAGTAAATGTCACATGAACGCCATGAGCCGCTGCGACCTTGGTGAAGTATCTGTGTGTTCCACCGTACACATCGGAAACCGACACGACATGGGAGCCCGCAGCGAGGGACTGGAGGATCGTAGCTGTGGTGGCAGAACCAGAGGAAAAGGCAAGGGCATATTTGGCATGCTCGAGAGCTGCGACAGCCTGTTCAAAGTTGTCCCTGGAGAAATCAGTATTTTTTGTGAAGATATCAAGCTTCAGAGGAGCTCACCGGTTGGGGTTCGAGCTGCGAGTGTACTCATAGAGACCAACGGGGTTGCCAACGCTGGTTTGGGCGTAGGTAGTAGAAAGGGAGATCTAGCAGACTACATGTCAGATCCACGATCCAGCAACATCACCAAGAGTCATAGTTGAATAAGACTCACCGGAGCAATAACAGCACCAGTTACAGGATCGTGAGGAGCTCCAGCGTGGACAGCCAGCGTTCCGAACCCAGGCTCTTGCGGCGCAGTGCCGTTCTCCGGTCGCAAAGGAATGGTAGAGTTGCCAGTCATCTTGACGTCTATTGAAGGAACAGAAATGCGAGACTAAGAGGGGGGAAGACGAATATAGAGGAAGGATGGAGAAGAGGAAAAAGATTATTAAAAAAAAAAGAAGACGGTCTAGATAGAAGTGGAACTGTCACAAGCGAAACCGTTATTGGATTTATGGCTGAAGATGAGATGATAGAGGTAGCATATGAGATCACCGGCCCTTACAGAAATCAATGAGATCTACGGCACGTTTTCAGAAAGAAATAAATATGAACCAGAGAAAATATAGCCAGCTCGACGGATTATTTGTAATATCACAGTTTATAATCAAGAAGAAAAACCCAGAAGACTGAGGGGCAAAAGAGAAGCAGAAAAAAAACAACTCTCCCCTTCCCCTCCTTGGCGTTTTCAAGAGTCATCAAAACTCCCCTTTGGTTTCTTTTACGTGAGAACCATTCCAGAAACCCGAGTTAATTAGATTAAGATGCTAAAGACTCCACCAGCAGAACACCGTTCGGTCTTCGATCTGTCTTCGAATTCCCACTTCGACTTGGCGGTGGCCGAGAGTAACCGAACGCAGCTATCAGTGACACAGGGCGAGCTTGAAGCCGTACGCAACAGTGACATTGTTTCTGTCGAGGCGGGGTAGATAACTAGAGAATGCATGCAAGGAATCAACTTTTTATTAGTATCGGCTATTGATCTGCACTGGAAAGTCTGTGCTATCAGATTTAGATTGAGCTTTGACATTTTCAAAGGAAAGTCGTGCAGTTGCGATACAAAAATGCCGTGGCAGTATTCAGTTACACAACTACGTAGGACTACGATGTTCAACATCCTTCCAGCAAGGTGTCATTGATAGAATTGTTCGTTAATTTCATGCTCAGCTCATTAATCTCTTCAGTGTATCAAGAATCGGTTTTCTTCTATCATAAACCATCCATACCCAACAAACCAGGAATCCATCACCACCATGACACAGGTCCAAGACCAGCCATTTGCATCGAACCCTGGATATCAGTTAGCTCGGTCACTAAACACAGTAAGAGGACATATCAGGGTCATACAATGATCGAATATGCAGGCTTCCGCTCAATTGCTGCGCCATCCCCAAGATCCGGTGCGTTAGGGATCTGGTCGTGCCATTCCTCCATCTCGACTCGGAATCGAACAATTTCTCCTACATCGAAATAGAATGTCGAGCCGTCTTCGTTATCCCAGACCCAAACTTGGTCGGCGTAGTCACTGTTGGGGTTTAATAACTGAGTTGGTAGATGTGTTTGAGAGCAACTCACAATCGAGCTCCATCTAGAAGAAGGTCTGGGGGCACCAGGATATCAGTGTAGAATTCCACTCCAACTGTGACAAGTCAATACCAGGTCTCTTGTTTGAATTTGACTGCGTACTTCTAATTCCATGCTCAGTGCCGCTGGCAATCTTCCCAAGCATGATTTCGCCTTTGAATGGCCGGAAAACAATAAGGCGGAACTTGACTAGAAGGCATTAGATACAAATGCTTAAACACGAGGTCCTATATGCAAAGTACTGCACAAATGAACATACCGTTGACATTAACAAGACCAGTCCCATGGCCGATCAGACCATCGGATGATTCGAGCAAGTCATAAAAGCCGATACAGAGGCCAATTTTCTGAACAACCTTCACGACAGAGTCAGCTGAACGGTTCTTGCGCAATTGAAGCCAGTCATTGACATCGTACTTTATTAGCATATTTCTCGTTGATATTGTCCTCAATGGCCACGGCACTGAATTTGGAAAAGTCTTCGGGTGAGATCTGAATCAGATCGGAAATAGTTGTCTGAAAGAAAGGTTAGTACGATAGTCAACAAGAAAGACTTGGATAGGTCGACACTGACAAGGATAAACATGGTGATCTTGAGGTGCACACAGCGCAAATGACGGAGGAGTTCTATTCCAATACAATCACACGACAAACATGGACAGTTGAAGACTGAATCCCATATTCAGAACACACTCAAGTTTCCTATATTCCAAAGAAACTATGCCTCCAAAGACAGGAAATTCATCTTCCTGAATAATATAAAAAGCCGAAGTGCTGCAGAGAGCCTTTCAGCCAATCGCAACGTGCGGATCAGCCTGATTTTTTGCCTGACAGGCGCAGCGCCACGTGATCGGCGCGCGATTCCTCTTTGTGCTCGGAACGGAACAACCGGGCTGGAGCAGCAGATGCTCCAGGTCGATAACGAAACTTTTCTTCTGGATGGCTTCAAGATGGAGTGAGGATGGCCACTGGCTTGTCCCGATCCGACGGTCTGCTGAGATATTCCCGCAATGAGCTCCCAGGGGTTTTCTTTCCCCCCTCCCCCTCCCCCTCCTCCTCAGCGACAACCACAGCAGCAGCATAATCCTACATACCCGTCGACCGTGCAGTATGGACAAGGCCACTATAATGGCCAGCGAGGTGGACGTGGCAGTGGTGGACATCACAGAGGCCGTGGGAGAGGCTTCGGGAATCGAGGATCAGGCCGTGGAGGCCACTTGGCTTCCTCCGATGCCAGTCACCATTCTGCATACTCCCCGTCTGTCGGCTACCCACCAGTGAACTATTCGGGTTACACAGTTCAATCTCTGCCGAACCATACTTCAAATGTTCCTACCTCGCAATATACCCCCTCGCAGTCCCCTGGCTTCCAACATCAGACCCCAGCCGCCTACGCATCACCGCAACCATTTGCCCAACATGCAGCAGCGCCTTACCAGCGTCAACCAAGCTACGATGCCGCTTACAATCCACCCGCAGCGCAATCGACACCAAGCTATCCTCCAGTTATGGCTGCCCACCAGCATGTTCCTCAGCCAGGACAACCGCCTATGATGGGTCCGCCTATGCACTGGGGATTTGAGCAGGCAGGATTCACTGGGTCCTTTGCGGGAGGTGAGCACGGACATGCACGGGGCCCGCGCCAATTTAATACCCATGGCCATCAGGCCTCTACGCCTGACAAACCAATGAAGCAGTACCCGAACAAGCGTGATCATACATCAGCTTTTGGAAAACCCCAATCGGTTGGGCCACGAACTCCGGCACCGCCTCCGGTTCCGAGCTTTGGCAACCCTCTACCTTCAAAGCCACCGCCTCCGGCTGATGTTTCGCGAAAACAGAAAAAGAAAAAGAGAAGGCATAACCAGCTTGGGTTGACTCCTAAGACGGAAGACCACGAGTCGAGTGAGGAGGAAGACGATGTGGATGAAGAGTCACGGCTAGCACCAGAAAGCGGTGTTCCAGCGGCTCCGCTTCAGTTTTCCTATAAGGGGCGGACGTCCAAGTTACAAACAGCCTCGGAGATCGCTGCATGGATTGAGGAGCGGAAGAAGCGATTCCCCACTCAAGCTAGAGTCGATGAAAAGAAAAAGGCCATAGAAGAGGCGAAGAAGGCGCGCGATGCGGCCTTGAAAGAGAAGGATGCTCGCAAGCAGGAATTGAGACGGCCACAAAAGGAGGCTCGTGCAAATAAAGATCCACAAGAGAAGCCTACCGATGCAGCTGGCGTGGCCGAGAAAGCCAAGCAAAAGGCCGATAAACTACGCCGAAAGCTTGCGCGGGAAGAGAAACGGGTTGCTAAGGCCGAGGCGGATGCCGAACTGGCTCGGCTTCAAGTTGAAGCACTACAAAAGAAGTCTATGGATGATGGGAACGAGGCGACTTCAAGCCAGGCAGCGCCAAACACAGATGAGGCTCAGCCCGACCAGATTGTCAATGGGACAACATCTGAACAGGAGCCGCAGACTTTGGATGAAACCGATGTTACACAAAGTGCTACTACACCCATTGTATCAGAAGATCCTATTACACAGGACACTTCCTCAGCACTAATTGACGATGCCGTTTATATCTCGTCTTCTGATTCTGAAGCCAGCGATTGGACCTCTTCAAGCGGCTCCGACGTTTCATCGGATTCGGACGAGAGTGATGATGACTCTGCGCCCGAAGAAGCGAGTTCTCGTCGTGAAGGCCCGGAGCGCGTGCCACCGCCACCCCGAGAAGAGAAGAAGCGAGTGTGCCGGCACTTTGCTCGAAGCGGACGTTGTTTACGCGGGGACAAGTGCAAATTTTCCCACGAATTGCCAGAGCGGGGGGCCAAAGCGAAGCAGCCACCCGAAAAGAAGGGACGGAAGGGGCTTTTGCAGTCGGTAAGTGAAGAAGATATATTCACATTTCAGGGATATGGCTAACTCTTGCTAGTTACTTGAGCGCGACAAAGAAGACGAGACCCGACGAGTCATGGAAGCGATCACGTGGCTCGGCGAGAACGGCATGCTGGAAGAACCAGCCGAAGAAGTCAAAGAAGCCAAAGAGGCCAAAGAAAGCGAACCCCCAGTGGTTCAAGATAGTGAACATACTACTAATAACAACGGGAGCAAAGAGGATTTTTACTGTTACCACCCAGGGATCTAACTAGATCCTTTGACATGTATCTACTAGTATCTTCTTTCATGGTATCGGATCCAGCTAAACCAGTTGGCCACCACTACGATATAATGACCTGACTCTAGAACCAATGGCTGATAAAAGAATTTTCAAAGCATCTATACTCTTCTCAGTAACTGCCCCGTTTCTGCATCATGTACATGTAGCACTCCCACCAACGCTCTAGCTGCGTCATAGTGCAAGCTTGATTCCTAAATTGATGCACATTTCTTAGGCTTGTTTTCTTTTTTTTTTT